TTTTTTCCTTTATTTTTTTGGGGCCCCCCCAAGAGAGTGGTGCCCTAAGCTATAGCTTGTTTAGCTTATACGTAAATCCGGCACTGCCAATCAGTGTAGACAGCATGAGCTAGATTGACAAAGGTTCCTAACTCAGTACAGGACAGTTTCCTATGTTCCAGTTGCTAACTGTCATGGCAAGCTTCAGCTCTGTTGCAGGAAACTCCCCCCCCCCCCCAATCATTCAGTTTGTACAAACACGACACACACACACTCTCACATGCGACATGCGCAACGTTTCTGTTATAAATTCATAGTAAATCAACCATACATCGGATTTACACCGGTCTACTTTTATTTTACTCCATGAAGGAAGAGCTATCAAAGGGGGAAGGTTTGATACAGGACGGCCATAATCCCTTAACTGTAGCAGCACATACACAGGAGCCCTACTCAGTTGGCATGACAACCTTGATGGTCCCAGACAGAAGTCCATCAAGGTCACAAAGGACTTGCATATGGGAGTGGATTCAGCATGGAGTGGAACAAAGGACAATGATCAGATCTTCCCTCTGGGGGCAGGAAACTGCCAGCTCCCCTTTCTCTCCTGAAAGTGACTCATGGGGAGGGGGAAAGGAGGAACCAGCCAGGTGACAAGACACTCAGGTTGCTTCTACAACTCCTCCCTCAACCCCTCCTTTTTGTGATGTGTCAATGATGTAGTCATGATGTAGTTCTAGGGGTGTAGTTTGGGGGATTAGTAACTAATAAAAGTTGGGGTCTTCTTTGTTCTGGGCTTCCATTTTGTTCCACCTTGTGGCAGGTGGGAGTCCTGTCATGACAGGCTTCAGTAAAGAACAAGCCTACTGGCTGCTGTTTTGCTCTGGTATTCCTGGCTGGTGTCCTTGTTTTTTGTCCAAGGGAGCCCTCAGATTTCTCCGTTAACTGCTCCTACATGTCAAGGAACCCAAAGCACTCCTGTATCCAGGTTTTTAGAATCATAGAATCATAGAGTTGGAAGAGACCACAAGGGCCATCGAGTCCAACCCCCTGCCAAGCAGGAAACACCATCAGAGCACTCCTGACATATGGTTGTCAAGCCTCTGCTTAAAGACCTCCAAAGAAGGAGACTCCACCACACTCCTTGGCAGCAAATTCCACTGTCGAACAGCTCTTACTGTCAGGAAGTTCTTCCTAATGTTTAGGTGGAATCTTCTTTCTTGTAGTTTGGATCCATTGCTCCGTGTCCGCTTCTCTGGAGCAGCAGAAAACAACCTTTCTCCCTCCTCTATGTGACATCCTTTTATATATTTGAACATGGCTATCATATCACCCCTTAACCTCCTCTTCTCGTTCCAGTTTGTCAGTGTCCTTCTTGAACTGTGGTGCCCAGAACTGGACACAGTACTCCAGGTGAGGTCTGACCAGAGCAGAATACAGTGGCACTATTACTTCCCTTGATCTAGATGCTATACTCCTATTGATGCAGCCCAGAATTGCATTGGCTTTTTAGCTGCCACGTCACACTGTTGGCTCATGTCAAGTTTGTGGTCAACCAAGACTCCTAGATCCTTTTCACATGTACTGCTCTCAAGCCAGGTGTCCCCCATCTTGTATTTGTGCCTCTCATTTTTTTTGCCCAAGTGCAATACTTTACATTTCTCCCTGTTAAAATTCATCTTGTTTGTTTTGGCCCAGTATCTGATCTGCTGTACCATATTAAAACAGAACTCTGCTGTTTATTCTCACTACTTCTTACAGGGGAATTTGCCTGGTGAGCCATTTCCTGGTGGCTTTTGATAAAGAGCGGCACAAATATTTAGATATCGCTCAGTCCCTTCAAGTCCTCTCCTCTTGTACAGGAATGGCGTTTACAATAAAGTTCAAATTCCAGAAGGGCAGCAATGTCTTGTGGCACTTTATAAAAACAAACGGCGACGTGGGCTTTGCAAGGTGAAAGTCCACATTGTCAGATGAAGGGCATGTTACCTTCTGGTGAACCCGTTGTACACCCGGAAACGCAAGTTGGTGTGTGCATAAGGGGAGAGGAATGAGGGAATTGTCAACAATGAGACGAAAATACCATGAAGTGCAACAGGCATAGGAAGCCTGTGACAGACTGTGCAAAATGCCTGGTCCAAATTGAAATAAATAAGGTATTATATATATAATAAATGTTCATAAATGTACCAAGCAAACATGTACATAAATATATAAACCACATGTCTGAAGCAGCACAGGAAAACAGCCCTGAAACCATTTTGACTCCCAACTTGACCAAATGATTTCTCTGCAAGGTCAAGGAAAATAGAAAAGCCTCCCTATTGTCTTTTCCTTCAGAAATCCTGTCTCAAGGGTATGTCTGTGTATGAATAGGGTGAGCCTGTGACCTGGCTCAAGAACTAAGTGTTTGTCATTACAGAAGACTGGCCAGGCTCCCCAGGGTATCCAATCAAGTAAGCATTAACAGGTAACCTGCCAGACAGGAGATAACGCGCTCAGATTTCTGTTGTAGACCGCCCTTTCTGTGATGTACGTATGACGTGTCTGGGGGTGGCCTTGGACTCCAGGGCAGGCAAATTAAAATGTCTATATTAGGGTGGGCACACCTTGGTTTGGGGTCCTCCTCCTTTTCCTGCGTGTGAGGGGAGCACCCTGTTGCAGCAGTTCAATAAATATCAGGCTTACGAGCTGCTTTGCTTCTCAATATTCTCTGGTTGGCTTCTGTTATTTTCTCCGACCGATGGAGAACCTGCAAAGGACTCTATAAGGGCTCTTGTGTCCCCCATAAGGGAATAAGAACAAATTTTCGTTTATTACAGCTGGATGTGCCCAGCGGGGATTTTTAGGTGGAGATTTAAAAAACAACAACTTCAGACCCTCCTGGCAAAGGATGGTCAAATCTGCCAGTTTCTCATTCTTCCACTCTTAGACTCAGTTTTCCACAGTTCAGGGCACATTTTGGCAAAGCAATTTCCCCTATTATAATGCACCTTTGTATGCTACTTTCAAGAATGTGTGCATTCGTATGCACATGTTCCCCTGATATATGCATTTCTGTACGCATTGGTTGGCTGGAGAAACCGTGCTGCAAAATACAGAGCAGTCTAAGTCCCAATTGGCGGCTGTGTTTCGGTTCACCTTTTGATTCTGAAAGTGTGAATTAGGTATTGTAGCAGGAACCCCCCCACCCCAATCATTCAGTTTGTACAAACTTCACACACTCACACTCACACACTACATATGCCACACTTCTGTTATAAATTCATAGAAAAATCAACCATACATCGGATTTGCACTGTTCCATTTTTATTTTACTCCATATGACAAGGACTATCAAAGGGGGGTGGCTTGGTTCTGGTCAGCCATAATCCCTTCACCATCCCAGCACATCCACAGGAGCCCTGCCCAGTTGCTATGCCAACCCTGATGGTCCTAGACAGAAGACCATCAAGATCACAAAGAACTTGCATATGGGAGTGGATTCAGCATGGACTGAAACAAAGGACAATGATCAGATCTTCCCTCTGGGGGCAGGAAACTGCCAACTCCCTTTGTCTCCTGGAAGTGACTCATGGGCCGGGGGAAAGGAGGAACCAGCCAGGTGACAGGACACTCAGGTTACCACCACAACTCCTCCCTCAACCCCTCCTTTCTGTAATGTATGCATGATGTCAACCCCTCCTTTCTGTAATGTATGCATGATGTTTCTGGGGGTGGGCTTGACCTAGAGGATGGGAATTTCAAAAGTTTTTATAAGGTCTTGCACACCATCTTTCTGGGTCTTTCCTCTCCTGCAAGTGAGGGGAACACCCTGTTGCAACAGTTCAATAAAGGCCAAGCCTACAGGCTGCTGTTTTGCTCCAAGTTATCCTGGTTGGTGTCTTTGTTTTTGTCCAAGGGAGCCCTCGGATTTTTCCGGTAACAGTATGCTTGCCTTTAAGTGCATACAGTGGTACCTTGGTTCTCAAACGCCTTGGTACTCAAACAACTTGGAACCCAAACACTTCAAACCCGGAAGTGTGTATTCCAGTTTGTGAACGTTTTTCGGAAGCCAAATGTGCTCCGTTTTGAGTGTTACACTTCTGATTTGAGTGCCATCCTTCCTTGAGGTCTGTCTGTTTTTGCTATTTATTTTGCGTTGTTGTTTTTTTTGCGGCTCTTTTTTGTTTTGTTTTTGTGACTGTGTGGAACCCAGTCCAGCTACTGATGGATGGATTGTGTGACTGCAGTACATTGCTTATTGCTTTCGTTTTATGGATCAATGGTCTCGTTAGGTAGTAAAATTCATGTTAAATTGCTGTTTTAGGGGTTGTTTTTAAAAGTCTGGAATGGATTAATCCGTTTTGCATTTCTTTCTATGGGAAAGCGTGCCTTGGTTTTGGAACGCTTTGGTTTTGGAACGGACTTCCGGAACGGATTAAGTTTGAGAACCAAGGTACCACTGTACTGAATTGTATCAGCCGCCATCCTCACTTGGCCTATCAAAACCTGCATTTGAAAGCCCTCTCAATTTCAAAAGCAGCTTGATAATATGAAGTGCTATGTGTGTTTGCAAGAGACAGAAGCACTAAGACCCAATGGGTTGAGCAGAACTAGGTGTGTTGTCCTTTAACTCCTGGCCACTGTTTATACTCTCTTATCTCACCTGGGCTCTATACACAAATGTCACAGCCTACTGCTGTTAACCCCTTTGACGGCCTTTTGGCTCCAGGGATTGCAACATTCCCCACCCCCCACCCCTTGGGAAACAGGAAGCATTCAGCTCAAATGCTGAGCCTTTATTTCCTTGAATTTCCCTGCAGAAATTCATAGCTGTGGCTACGGGAGAAAGAAGACCCTTTGGGGTGTTAATGCTGTGGACCCCTGCATGACAGGCTCAGGTTGTATATATGCGTAAATAAACCATATATCATAAAGACACTGCAGTCTCCACTGGGGGTGAATCTACACACACGGGATGGGGGGGAACGCTATAAATAAGTCATAAATTAAATTGTTTTAAAAGATAAAATACTGTATGTAAAATCGCATATAAAAGTTTTGTGCTCTATAGCGCCACCTGGTGTTGTATGTTTATAACACATTTAAAATGCTGTTGCTTTTTGACTAATGTAGCTGAGTCCTGTGTCTCATTTCCAAAAGGAAACACGAACCCTGGGTAAGACACCTGGAACCTCCTGGAATCTTGCACCACTCAAGAGATTTTTCTGGGGGGGCATGCAACAATACAATAAGTTGATGCAGTGATAAAATTAGGCGCTCACTGTATTCATTTTCTTTGGCCACTTTCAGACGTGATATTTAGAGAGAGAAACTTCTTTTGTCGTTAACACATTTTTAATGTACAGCTGATTAATGCAGCAATCAGGTTGCAATGAGTTAATTCCAACGACAGTCCCTTGAGGTTTGGTGACTTGATCTGAACAAGTCACTGGAATCTACCAGGCAGATGCCCTTTTATTCTAAACAGCTGAACTCCCAAACAAGCACATCAGCATCAATTGAAGACCATCAGGTTTGCTGCCACAGAGAAGGGGTCGCCAACCAGCAACCATACCTGCCAGTTTGCCTACTGCTGCAAAAGGTCTCGGTACACCCCCTTTAAAATCCACAATATTTGGAAGACTTCTTGCTCTTCCTGCTCAGTTCCTCCTCGTATTGGCTCCGTCTCTCCTGCATTAAACACACCTGTGTTCCATTGTATGCCAGGATTAGACCCTACCCCTCCTCCTGTTCTGAAGAGAGGAGAGGCGCAAAAACCTTCTCCTTATGACTGAGCACCAGTGGCTGATGTAGATGTGTGTGTGTTTCCCCCCACAGGTGGGGGTCTGGTGGGGAAACATGTTGGGTTTTTTGACTACGTGCCATTCTGTGCAGCTTCACACAGAGTCAATTAAGAGTTGGCTGAAGGCCAAGGATGACTGGGCAGAGAGGAGTTATTCTGCCTAGAGATATGAGACCTTGGATATAGCTCTACCGTTGGTTGAGGTCTCACACAGGCATGATGACTTATGACCTTACTGACTGGAGTGTGTGTTGGTCAGTGTGGTGTTCTGAGTTCTGAGAGTCGTTTGGAGTTTAAGAGAGAGGTAGTAAAGATCTGTTTCTGTTCTTGTATATAGTAACTTGTAGGTAAAGGTAAAGGGACCCCTGACCATTAGGTCCAGTCGTGACTGACTCTGGGGTTGCGGCGCTCATCTCACTTTATTGGCCAAGGGATCCGGCGTACAGCTTCCGGGTCATGTGGCCAGCATGACTAAGCCACTTCTGGCGAACCAGAGCAGCGCATGGAAACGCCGTTTACTTTCCCAGCAGAGCGGTACCTATTTATCTACTTGCACTTTGATGTGCTTTTGAACTGCTAGGTTGGCAGGAGCAGGAACCGAGCAACAGGAGCTCACCCTGTCGCGGGGATTCGAACCGCCAACCTTCTGATCGGCAAGCCCAAGAGGCTCAGTGGTTTAGACCACAGCGCCACCCGCTCTTCATGAGCGACAGTTAAATGGGCCTGTCCCCAGATCCTGCCCTTCCTCTCTTCCCATGAGATGTAGTAATGGGCACCAGCTTGGACGGCTCTTGCACTCATGTCCTGTTTGCAGACTTTCCTTTCGCATCTGGTTGGCCACTGTGAGAACAAGATGCCAGCCCTGAGAGGAGTTTGGCCTGATCCAGCTCTTCTTAGTCACTTATCGTGCAATGCCAATATCACATGTCCGCAGTCGGACTCTGTTTTTATCAGAGAAGCCCAAAGCCTACTCCTCTGCCCTCCCAAGTTGTGCGCACGTTTCATTTCACTTGTTGTTTAGTCGTTTAGTCGTGTCCGACTCTTCGTGACCCCATGGACCAGAGCACACCAGGCACTCCTGTCTTCCACTGCCTCCCACAGTTTGGTCAAACTCATGCTGGTAGCTTCGAGAACACTGTCCAACCATCTCGTCCTCTGTCGTCCCCTTCTCCTTGTGCCCTCCATCTTTCCCAGCATCAGGGTCTTTTCCAGGGAGTCTTCTCTTCACATGAGGTGGCCTAAATATTGGAGCCTCAGCTTCAGGATCTGTCCTTCCAGTGAGCACTCAGGGCTGATTTCCTTAAGAATGGAGAGGTTTGATCTTCTTGCAGTCCATGGGACTCTCAAGAGTCTCCTCCAGCACCATAATTCCAAAGCATCAATTCTTCGGCGATTAACTTTCTTTATGGTCCAGCTCTCACTTCCATACATCACTACTGGGAAAACCATAGCTTTCACTATACGGACTATCAGTTCACTAGAGGTCGCTTTTTTCCGTATGAAATTTGCAAGGGAGGAGGCGGAGGAGGAGGAAAGAGGAAGCTGCTCCTTTCATTCCGGGTTCTCATAGTTGGTGAAACTCTGGAGCTGCCCTCGGAGCTGCTTGAAGTCTGGCCTCTCTTTTGGGTTCAGGTCCCAGCATGCGCACATGATGTTGTACATTGTGGCAGGGCAGTTGAGAGGACAGTGCATCCGGAAACCGGTCTGGACATGCTTGAAAACTTCACTGTTGGTCATACCTGCAAAGAGCGAGGAAAACAATAATGTTAATACAGTCATACCTCATGTTACGTTTGCTTCATGTTACGTTCTTTCAGGTTATGTCCCGCGGCAACCCGGATGTACCGGAAAGGGTTACTTCCGGGTTTCACCACTCGCGCATGTGCAGAAGCTCTAAATCGCGCGTAACGCATGCGCACAAGCACCAAATCATGCCGCACACCTGCGCAGATATGGCACTTCAGGTTGCGCTCTTTTCATGTTGCGAGCAGGCCTCCGGAACGGATCCCATTCGCAACCAGAGGTAGCACTGTAATAATAATAGTAGTAGTAGTAGTAGTAGTAGTAATATTAAGTGTAGCTGCATTTAAAATGCAGCAGGTACTGCTGAATTAACATTACATTTTTAAAATGATCATTAGTTTATTTTTATTATTGTTCAAGAATGAAAAATTACAGTTGTAAAATCACACAGTTACAAATTAACAAATTCAAATCCTGTGTTTATCAAATTACCGTATTTTTCACTCCATAAGAAGCACCTGACCATAAGACACACCTAGTTTTTAGAGGGGGGAATGCAAGAAAAAAAATATTCTTTAAATATTTCTTGTTTCCTTGCAACCAGCGCCTTTGTTGTTTCCCAAGCATATAAATATCCATTTATTTCATGTGTGCAATCCTTCCAGCTGGAAGGGCTGAATTAACACTATAAATCTTGTAGCCTAAGACTAGCACGGCTATGCAGTCATCATAGAATCATAGAAGAGACCCCAAAGCTCATCTAGTCCAACCCAGGAATCTCAAGTAAAGCATCCATGACAGATGACCATCCAATCTCTTCTTAAAAGCCTCCAGCTGGGGCAGGTCCTGTGCTGTCTTCATTGCCAAAATGACTTGCAGAAGAGCCGTAGCTCAGGGATAGAGAAGCTACCCTGGTTCTGCCTCTGTAAGGCTGGGAATGTGCCCTGCCGGGAAACATCAACAGCCTCTGCCAGTCAGTGCTGGCAGCACTGAGCTGGGAGGACCCGTGGTCTGGCTCAGTATAAAGCAGTTTCCTCGGTTCCTACGATGCCCCGGATCTCAAACGCACCTGGATATGGGTTCTGGCCAAGGGTCATGATTTCATACAGGAGAATTCCAAAGGACCAAACGTCGGATTTGACGGAGTAGCGGCCGTGGGAAAGGGCTTCCGGTGCCGTCCATTTGTAGGGGACGTTGTGGGAGTAAGATTCGTAAACGTTGTCCTGCGAGAACAGAAGAACAACATGTATGTATAACGACAACCCACTGAACACTTTACAGTTGTGCACTTTTATTATTAACTGCATGAGCCACAGAATTCAGCAAAATTTGGTGTCATACTGGAGCAGAATTCTTTTTTTCTTTCTTTTTTAATGCACAGCAAACACCAGCTGGGGCACAACCTATTTTTATTTACTGTCAACACTCCCCAAGCCTCAAGAAAATTCCTTTTTGTTTTTGTATATATTTTTTATTAAATTTTCTGTTTTACAATTTAAAGTACTCATTTTTACATCCTTAAAATATCAATAACCTCCCTTCTTCTCTTTCCATGGTTCATTTTACATATCATAAATCCCTGTATATTTTACAAAAACTATACCATTCAGTATTCCATTATTGCATCTATCAAAACCTATTTACACTGTTAAATTTTTCTTAATGTTGACAGTGTTTTCAACTGTACACAGTTATTCCCCATATATTCAATAAACGTTTCCCAATCTTCTCTAAACGTATGTTCTTCTTGTTTTCTTATTCTATAAGTTAAGTTTGCAAGCTGCGCATATTCTGTCAACTTAAGTTGCCATTCTTCTTTAGTTGGGACTTTGCTCGTTTTCCATTTTGGGGCTAACAAAACACGGGCGGCAGTAGTGGCATACATAAATAACCTTTTTTGACACCTGGGGATTTCATTCTGAATTATCCCCAACTCTGGGTTTGGGGGGGGAAAGTACTTTTAAACATTTTGTTTCAATTCATTATGGATCATTTCCCAGTACAGTGGTACCTCTGGTTGCAAACAGGATCCGTTCCGGAGCCCCATTTGCAACATGAGCAGAACACAACCTGTGTCTGCATGTTCGCGGGTCGCAATTCGCCGCTTCTGCGCATGCGTGTGACATCATTTTGAGCGTCTGCGCATGCGCAAGCGGTGAAACCCGGTAGTAACCCTTTCCGGTACTTCCAGGTCGCCGCAGGACGCAACCTGAAAAGATTTAACCTGAAGCAAACGTAACAAGAGGTATGACTGTACTCTTTTACCCTTTTACAAGTCCACCACCTCAAGAGAATACCTTGATCAGCCTGGCCATCCCAAAATCTCCCACTTTGCAGATGTTGTTCTCTCCGACCAGGATGTTCCGGGCAGCGAGGTCTCGGTGGATGAATTTCTGTGTCTCCAGGTAGCACATGCCATCTGCAACCTGAGACGCCATGTCCACCAGCTCTGCTATATGCAGGTGCTCCCCTTCGGCACCTGGAAGTAAACATAGAGGGGCATTCCGGTTAGGACCTGTCTGCCTTTCCTGAAGCATTTCTGTTAGGGATTGTAGGAAAAGACCTGCCAAGGAAACTGAAGAACATATTCATGTATGCGACAACGGAGGCAAGCATCTTAATAGCACAAGGATGGAAGAATGAAGAAATCCCGACAAAAGAGCAGTGGCAAGAGAAATTGATGGACTATGTGGAACTGGTGAAACTGACGCATAAATTACATGACAAGAACAACTGTGATTTTAAAGAAGAATGGGAACCTTTTACAAAGTACTTAAAGAAACAACAAAATGAACTGATCTCCTTTGCAGGCTTCGAATAAACAGACACAAATTTATTATTGGTAACATATAGACAGATAAATTAAGGATCATTACAATTTGGGAACATGCAGAGAATAACATGTGTTTAAAAACCAGAGAGAGGAGCTGAGGGAAGTCTGGGAGGGGGTGGGACGGTGGATTCTTTTTAGGGAGAGGGGAGGGAAATTTATGGGGGGGAAATGAGGTTGATATGTTTTGGATAAATTGTTATGCTGAAATGTTTAATAATAATAATTTTTTATTTATATCCCACCCTCCCCATCCGAAGCTGGGCTCAGAGTGGCTAACAACAGTAAAATAATACAGCATTCTAAAATCAATTCATTATAAAATCAGTTCAAGAAAAAATTATAAAAAAGGACCTTTCTGTGTTTCTTCTGAAAGTTTTGATATCGTTTCCATAAGGAGAGCTTGCTGGATCGTGCCAACGGCCCCTTGCAGTCAGCAGTGGCTGGGGCTGTGTGCGTGCCCAGTGCCTAGGGGCGGGGCCAGCCGGGGCAGGATACTCTGCAGGGCCTTGGAGGAGTCTGCCTGCCTCCTCCCACTCAGCCGCCCTACAGCTGGGGGGCAGGCAGTGGGCGGACCGTTTGGGGCAGCGTGGAGCCTGCGTGCACCCAAGCCACCTCGTCACTCGCCAGACAGCCAAGGACAGGCAGAGCCAACTAACTGCGGATTTGCCTCCTCCGTCATCCTCTCTGCTGAGTTCTACAAGGGCAACATTGAGACCTCAGGAGGAGGAAGCTGGTAGACAACACCACGCTTTGGATGGGTTGCAAGCAGGAAGGTGGGTGGGTAACGGGAAAACTGAAGTGGGTGTGGCAGTGCCGCATTTGCCCCTTTGGACCAGTATCCGCTGCACAGCTGGAAAAGACCACAATAGCTCAAAAGCTAACATTCACATGTGACTTGTGGTCAGCACTCGTGATTTCAGGCAGAAGCAGGGCTTTACTTCCTGTTTGCCCCCTGTGGCTGCTCTAGCTCTGCCCTCCGATGACAAAGCATTGGGCTTCTCGTGAGCAGGGTCTTCACGCAAGCAGGACCCTCGGTTGTACTGGGTTCCCAGCCCTGTGGATCCCCTGTGTGGAAACACCTGTGGGGAGTTTCCCCAGCAGACAAGTACCCTCGACACATGAGCATCAGAAGGTGGCAACACGGTGTCAGAAGTGGAGAGAGAATTACTGTCCCACTCAGGAAACTGTGAAAGCCCTACCTGCGAGCAATGCAGGAAGCGGGTTACGGTGTAGGAAGCACCTTGTGTAAAGGTCTCACCTCTGAGGAATTCTAGGAGGTTCCCTTTGCTCATGATCTCCGTGATGATGTACACGGGGTCTCCACGAGTCGAGATGGCGTAGAGGGAGAGGATGTGCTTGTGCCTCAGCTTCTTCATCGCCTCAATTTCGTTTTTGAACATGTCCTGGTACGTCAGATCAGCTGCCAGGGGTGGGAGGGAAGCAAGCACATAGAATCACAGAACTGTAGAGTTGGAAGGGACCCTGAGGGTCATCTAGACCAACCCCGCAATTCAGGAATCCTGCCCACAGCCGTCCCTGAGTAGGCTCGAAACACCAACCTTCTCACCGACCTATTACACTGACCATTGTTGCACTTGTAAAGGAAAGCATAGCGAGCCTTTTCAAGGTCTGAAAACTTTGTATTGTCAAGAGGCAATTTAGGAATACACCGTATTTTTCGCTCTATAAGACGCACCAGACCACAAGACGCACCTAGTTTTTGAAGGAGGAAAACAAGAAGAAAAATATTCTGACTCTCAGAAGCCAGAACAGCAAGAGGGATCACTGCGCAGTGAAAGCAGCAATCCCTCTTGCTGTTCTGGCTTCTGGGATAGCTGCGCAGCCTGCATTCGCCCCATAAGACGCACACACATTTCCCCTTACTTTTTAGGAGGGAAAAAGTGAGTCTTATAGAGCAAAAAATACGGTATATTTTTTCCTTACTTCCCTGGCTGAAGAAGGGTGAATAGGAATATTTTCACGTTTGAGGTTTTATTGTGTTTTTAATATTTTGTTGGGAGTCACCCAGATTGGCTGGGTGCAACACAGTCAGATGGGCGGCATATTAAGAACAACAAGGAACCCCAAACACTAATCTGGCTGCTTCTCTTTGGACCAGCTGATGATTCCAAGGCCTCTTCAACATTGACCTGGCATGATAAAGGCAGCTTCCTTTGCTCCTGTGCAAAGCCGAACTCTTACCTCTGGGGAGCACTTTGATCGCAACTCTGACTCTGTCCTTCCAGTATCCTTCATAGACTTCCCCAAAGTAACCTGCGCCCAGTTTCTGGGCAAGGCGGAACTCTTCCTTTGGCCTTTCCCAGTCGTCCCAGTGTGGCATCGCCGTGGGCTCTTGCTGGAGTCAAAAGAAAAGAAACGGCAAGCCTTTGTTACCTAAGGTTCACCCAGAGGACCAATGAAACTGTTAAGTTGTGGGTGAAGATATCAGACGACACAGCGATTCTTCAAACAGCTCTTGTTTATTCACAGGCCAGGACAGAACTGAACTGAAGGGTTCAGCCAGCCTGCTTATATAGAGCTCCAGTACAACGTAACTGTAACAATTTTCTAAAACTATCCAATCACTGAACGTCACTTTCGATCCCTTATTTGCATAACTATCTACAGTATCCCCCTGCTGGCCCAGGGTGAGAACTTCAGTACGTAACAGTAACCCTAAAGACTTCCAAAACTTTCCTGCTCAAGTTCTTAGAACGATTGAGTTGGAAGTTATTCCAAGAATCATCTCATCCAACCTCCTGCATGGAGGAATTTCAGCTAAAGCATCCCTGACTGTTGGCCATCTTTCTGTGAACTCTGTCGGTTTCACCTTACGGTTACAGACCCAGGGTGACAGAGCTTTGGGGTGCACGGGCACCCATAGCCGCTATAGCTAGTGAATGTTAGAAACTGATAAATTGTAGAATTTAGATAATATTTTGAGTATTATTATTATTATTATTAATTCAACTTATACAACACCCTATACCTGGAGGTCTCAGGGCAGTTCGCAACAAGACCACAACATATAAAATCAAACCAAAAACAGTACAGTGGTACCTCAGGTTGCAGACACTTCAGGTTACAGACGCCGCTAACCCAGAAATAGTACCTCGGGTTAAGAACTTTGCTTCAGGATGAGAACAGAAATCACGCAGTGGGATTGCGGCGGCAGCAGGAAGCCCCATTAGCTAAAGTGGTGCTTCAGGTTAAGAACAGTTTCAGGTTAAGAACGGACCTCCGGAACAAATTAAGTACTTAACCCGAGGTACCACTGTAACTCAATAATGCCCGCCCCGCCCCCCAAGCCACATTCTGAAAGGGTGTTGGATGTCAATGAGATCAACCAAAGGCCTGGTTAAAAAGGAACGTGGTACCTCGGGTTAAGAACTTAATTCGTTCTGGAGGTCCGTTCTTAACTTGAAACTGTTCTTAACCTGAGGCACCACTTTAGCTAATGGGGCCTCCTGCCGCCACCGCACAATTTCTGTTCTCATCCTGAGGTAAAGTTCTTAACCCGAGGTACTATTTCTGGGTTAGCAGAGTCTGTAACCTGGAGCATCTGTAACCCGAGGTACCACTGTATAATGAAGGCACCAGGCAAACTTCCCTGGGGAGAGCATTCTATAGATGGGGAGCCACTACAGAGAAGGCCCCGTTCTCGTGTTGCCACCCTCTGGACCTCTCGAGGAGGCGGCACATACAGAAGGGCCTTGGGTTATGATCTCAGGGTCCGGGTAGGTTCATATGGGAAGATGCCAGACGGCTTTAAAATACAGGTTGAATTTCTTTTCGGGAGATGCCATTCAGAAGACATGGAGAACAAAGTGTTAGGTAATTAAAGGACATTTGACCTTCTCATGCTCACTTCCGTTTGCTAACCGGGGCCGGCCAACTGTGTCTGCAGTTGCAAATTTGGACTTACCTTGTAGCATGGGGTCAAGAGCCTCAGCCCGTGGGTGAGCGCTTTCTCTTTGTAATACTCGACCAGGGAGTGCAGATCTGGGAAGGAGCGTGTGGCGTTCATGTAGTAAGCTCCCTGGTCGTTGCGCAAGATCTTGTAGTGCCTCACCAGTGACTCATCTCGGACTGTGAAATCGCAGAAAGGAGAGTCAGAGAAAGAGGGAACAATGCAGAAAGGGGGAGGGGAAGCAGGGGGAACACCCAAATCATTACAGGTTGTTATCTTCCTGTTCCCGTAAGTGCCCTGGTGAAAACTGGGCACGCTGCCATCTCCCCCACGGTTCTGTTCAGGACAGGATCTGCTGTGCTTCATACCTGAGTGTGGGAGAGGCTTTGGGCAAATGTTCCTCCGCGTCTGACATTTTAACGCAGCAGCTAGACTGGTGACTGGGAGCGGCTGCTGAGACCACAGAACACCGGTCTTGAAAGACCTACATTGGCTCCCAGTACATTTCCAAGCACAATTCAAAGTGTTGGTGCTGACCTTTAAAGCCCTAAACGGCCTCGGCCCAGTATACCTGAAGGAGCGTCTCCACCCCCATTGTTCTGCCCGGACACTGAGGTCCAGCGCCGAGGGCCTTCTGGCGGTTCCCTCACTGAGAGAAGCCATGTTACAGGGAACCAGGCAGAGGGCCTTCTCGGTAGTGGCACTCGCCCTGTGGAACGCCCTCCCATCAGATGTCAAAGAGATAAACAACTACCTGACATTTAGAAGACATCTGAAGGCAGACCTGTTCAAGGAAGTTTTTAATGTGTGACATTCTAATGTATTTTTAATCTATGTTGGAAGCTGCCCAGAGTGGCTGGGGAAACCCAGCCAGATGGGTGGGGTACAAATAATAAATTATTATTATTATTATTATTATTATTATTATTATTAAATCCTGCATTGCACGGGGTTGGACTAAATGACCCTCAGGGTCCTTTCCAACTCTACAGTTCTAGGATTAAGCAACCTGGAAACAAGTTGCTTAGACGACCTTCTGCTCCAGCATAAACCTGCCCAGGTGTTGAGATTGCCCTCAGAGGACCTGCTAGGACTAGGTCATAGGAGACAGGGACTATTCCGGGGGTAGGCAACCTAAGGCCTGGCCGCCGGATGCGGCCCAATCGCCTTCTAAATCTGGCCCGTGCACGGTCCGTGAATCAGCGTGTTTTGACATGAGTAGAATGTGTCCTTTTATTTAAAATGCATCTCTGGGTTATATGTGGGGCCTGCCTGGTATTTTTACATGAGTAGAATGTGTGCTTTTAGTTAAAATGCATCTCTGGGTTACAGTGGTACCTCAGGTTAAAGACGCTTCAGGTTACAGACTCTGCTAACCCAGAAATATTACCTCGGGTTAAGAACTTTGCTTCAGGATGAGAACAGAAATCGCGCAGCAGCAGCGTGGCGGCAGCGGGAAGCCCCATTAGCTAAAGTGGTGCTTCAGGTTAAGAACAGTTTCAGGTTAAGAACAGACCTCCAGAACGAATTAAGTACTTAACCCGAGGTACCACTGTATTTGTGGGGCAAAGGAATTTGTTCATTCTCTCCCCCCCCCAACCAATATAGTCCGGCCCACCACATGATCTGAGGAATGGTGGACCGGCCCATGGCTAAAAAGGGTTGAAAAAGGTTGTCTATTCCACCATAGAATCTGATCTTTGGAACTCCTCGCACAAGGAGTTTCCCCCCGACACCATTGTTAGTTTCTTTTGGGCAACTTTTGGATGACAACTTTTCTTTTAAAAATGACCAGGTCTTTGTTTCGTTTTTCATTTCCGTTTTGCCTTTGTTTTATGCTGGATTTTCGACAGCCTACTCTGGCCTGTTTATGAGGATTCCTATTCTGTTCCATTCTATATTAAAACTTGTAAGCTGCCGTGGCAGAAGAATCACCAAGAAATGGTAGTAATGAACGGTTGGCAGAAATCTTATTGCCGATGTCTCTGGCGTAAATCGCTGCAGGGCTTCTTGCAGTGGCGAGCGATATATACGTTTAACAAAATGAAAACCCAGCTCTATAAGAAAATTACTAGGAGTGTCTTCTCCTTTGCAGCTGGTCACTCAAGTCGGAAAGATAGGAAGTGAAAAACACTTACCTGACAAAACATACTCAGCCCCCTTTTTCTCGCTGATACGGATTAGGAAGGCTCCGACCATATTCTCTTCTGACATCAGCCGGTGGACTGTTTCAGAACGGGAAATCTGCCCAAAGAACCACCTACAGAAGGAACAATTTTAAAAAATTGCTTTCCTTTCAAGGAAGAAGGGTTGCAGTTCAGCGGTAGAGCAACTCCCAACGAGGTCATAGAAACGAGAAACAGTAATTTTATGGCAATGCATCGAAAGGTAACTGCTTGTTAGGATAGGGCATAGCTCTGCCAAACCCTACGCCAAAGGAGAAATGGACATAAATCTGATATCAGGAATCACAAGACAGAGAAACCAGTAGAACACTTCAGTCTCCCAGGGCATTCTATACAAGATCTCAAAGTAGCTGTCCTGTTACAAAAGAATTTCAGAAATAGACTGGAAAGAGAAGTTGCTGAATTGCAACTTATTATGAAACTTAAAACCATGGAGAAACCTGGTCTTAATAGAGACATTGGATCCTTATCTCATTATACATGATAAAGCTATTTTTAGCCATCTCACCCCTTGATTTTTCCTGTAAGACCAATTGCAGTCATTAACAACAGCCTCGGTCCTGTATACCTGAAGGAGCGTCTCCACCCCCATCGTTCAGCCCGGACCCTGAGGTCCAGCGCCGAGGGCCTTCTGGCGGTTCTCTCATTGCGAGAGGTGAGGTTACAGGAAACCAGACAGAGGGCCTTCTCGGTAGTGGCGCCCACCCTGTGGAACACCCTCCCTTCAGATGTGAAGGAAATAAGCAGCTATCCTATCTTTAAAAGACATCTGAAGGCAGCCCTGTTTAGGGAAGTTTTTAATATTTAATGCTGTACTGTTTTTAACACTTGATTGGGAGCCGCCCAGAGTGGCTGGGGAAACTCAGCCAGATGGGCCGGGTATAAATTATTATTATTATTATTATTATTATTATTATTATTATTATTATTATTATATAACAGTCCAACAGGTTTACCACACCTATCAGCCAATCACCCATTCCCACCACCCTTCTGAGTAATACACCTCCCCACCCTCTCACTATATATAAGGGTCTGGTGACTTCTGTTTCAGTGTATCTGAAGAAGTGTGCATGCACACGAAAGCTCATACCAATACAGTAGATGCTTGAGTTGCAAAGGTGATCAGTGCGGGATGCACGTTTGCAACCTGTAGCATTTGCAACCTGCAGTGGTGTGTCTGCGCATGCGTGGGTTGCGATTTAGCGCTTCTGTGCATGCACAGCCCCCGAAACCCAGAAATAACCCGTTCTGGTATTCTGGGTTTCAGCGGGTCCGTAACCCGAAAAAACACAACCTCAAGCGTCTGTAACCTGAGGTATGACTGTAACTAACTTAGTTGGTCTCTAAGGTGCTACTGGAAGGATTTTTTTATTAAAAAAAGAGAACAGTATGATTGAGGGGCACAGACATTTTAAAAACGAGAAACCTGAACCACAGGCAGTTGCACTGGAGAGCTTTTTCCTCCTTCCCAGCTCTGTGGTTCAATGTGCAGGTGTGGTCCAAAAAGGCAAATCCAGTACTGGGGACATGCAGAAAGATGAGAAGAGTCTGCTGGACAGGCTAATGGTCCCATTTAGTCCACCATCCTGTTCTCACAGCAGCCACCCAGATGTCAGATGCAGGAACTGAGCACAAATGCCCTCTCTCTCCTCCTGCGGTTTCCAGCAACTAGCATTCAGAAATATTACTTCTTCCTACTACGGAGTCATCGTGGCTAGCAGCCCTCTCTTCTTAAGAAAGTGAAGTCCATAGTTTTCCTATGCACGGCATGCAGCAAATTCTGCAAACTCCAGCACAAAAGCAGGTGCAGAATCCACATCCCTGGGAGCGGCCGCAGCTTTATTTCCAACCCTGCGTTCAGAGCAAGCTTTTTTCCTCCTTTGCCTGAAAAGGCAAGCCTTAAAGTTATAGTAAGCAATCCTACATTTCTTACAAAAGCAGAGACATCACCTTGCCAACAAAGGCCCGTATAGTTAAAGCTATGGTTTTCCCAGTAGTGATGTGTGGAAGTGAGAGCTGGACCATAAAGAAGGCTGATGGCCGAAGAATTGATGCTTTTGAATTCTGGTGCTGGAGGAGACTCTTGAGAGTCCCATGGACTGCAAGATGATCAAACCTATCCATTCTTAAGGAAATCAGCCCTGAGTGCTCACTGGAAGGACAGATCCTGAAGCTGAGGCTCCAATACTTTGGCCACCTCATGAGAAGAGAAGATTCCCTGGAAAAGACCCTGATGTTGGGAAAGATGGAGGGCACAAGGAGAAGGGGACGACAGAGGACGAGATGGTTGGACAGTGTTCTCGAAGCTACCAGCATGAGTTTGACGAAACTGCGGGAGGCAGTGGAAGACAGGAGTGCCTGGCGTGCTCTGGTCCATGGGGTCACGAAGAGTCAGACACGACTAAACAACTAAACAACAACAAAGCAATCTTACAAGGCTGGAATGAAGACAGGAGATAATGTATGGGTGAAATTGCAGTCTCCTCCTGTGCTTCACCGTCTCCTCACAAGGCTCTGCCAAAGCAGGAAGAGGGAATGCATGTTTTGGGTTTTTGTTTTGCATGTGAAATCAAATGAATCCATCAAATCTGCATATCAAATCAATCTGGCTTTTGCGGTCCCAGAATCGGGATGTGGGTTAAGTGCCTGTCCACATCTCGGTTTAATGCAGGTTGTAAACCTCTCGTGTGCGTCTTTTTAATTTCCCCTCATCCATGTAGCTCCCAGACCCCCAACTACTGCTGCCCAACACTCTTTCCAAATTCCCTGGGCCACTGATGTATCTCCCCAAATCAGATTTTCAAAGCATGGGGAACCTCTGGGTTTAGGGAGCAGAAAGTGTTGTGCAGTGCTTGCTGGAGGAGAAAGCAAGGGGAAATTGTAGGACAAAGGGATTCTCTTTTTTTTCCAAGTAATTTTTTATTGTTTTCCTTACATGTTCTTTTCCAACAAACCATATTAATACCATACATTCCCTGTGACTCTGCCGAGCCGCAACTCCCCCCCTCCCTGCAACTGGTATATTTAACCCCTTTCTATCGCACACCTCATTCTCACAATAGTACTATTATACATTGAAGGTATTATGTCAATCCTGCTAGTGTCTTGACCTCTTTACAATTCTCCTTTAAATATTCAATAAATTTACTCCAATTATTTTGGTATCTTTTATCTTCCTGGTCCCGGATCCTCCCTGACAATTTGGCAAGTTCTGCATATTCTGTCAACTTCACCTGCCACTCCGGGATGGCTGGTATGCCTTGTGTTTTCCATCTTTGGGCCAGGAGGGTTCATACATGAACAGATTTTGGCCTCCCATTTTGATTTCCATTCCTATTAAGCCTAATAGACATGCTTCCGGTCTTTTGGGGAAGGACAAAGGGATTCTCAATCCACATTAAGTCAAGGTATTGGGGAGACCCTAAATCCAAAGCACTCAATGCCCAGATCTCATCTGCACGCCACAATTTTCTTCCTTTTAAAACTGGCTGGGGATATTTGCAGACGTGTACTTACGGCTCTGCCTCCATAGTCTCCTGCTTGGCCAAGTAGTTGTAAGGCACATAGCCTTCTTCGTAACCCGTCCGGGACGGATCCAGCTTCTTGGCCCACCACCACTCTCCTTTCTTCTCGATCACTTGGAAGAGATCTCCAGCCCGGAAGCTCAGTTCTGTCTCCGTCATGGCTTTGAAGTCCCACAGGCTGGTGTAAAGGCAGTTCCTGGCTCTCCATGGTGGCGCAGGCTTGGAAGTCATGGTGTCAAGGCAGGCAAGCTGAAGGCTAGAGCAGATTAATGGCCTGTGTGGGTGAAATCTTATGCCTCTGTAGAAAATCACCCCCAACACACACTGCACAAATCCAGATTCGTTCTGGCCACAAATCCTTTTCAAAGGCCCATCGCCTGCTACAAACCTCCGCGGGTGAACCTTGGGAAAGCCTTTGCAAATCTTGCGGAGTTGCCTTTTATCTGCACCAGATCAGGGGGAGGCTGCCAAGAAAGGCTTTGCGAGAAAAACCTTCCCCACTTCCTCTTTATAAGGAAGAACGAGAGAAAGAGAGAGAGAGAGCAATAACCTGTCCCTTGCCCTGCCCTGTTGTTGTTCCTTCAACAGAAGAGGAAGGAGGAGGCGGTGAAAGAGAAAGAGAACGCTCGGATTCCCTTCTCCGAGACTGGGGCTCCAGATGCAAATCCCGACGCCTCGTGGCTACTCGGCGTCTGAGTCAGCCTTTGGGAGATGGGCTAAGCGGGGAGGCCCATCCCGTTTCGCTGCCCGAGGCGACATGGGACCGTGCCAACGCTGCCAAAGCCTTGCTGAGACGGTTGTGTGAGATCTAGCAAGATCTCTGGGAATTCTTGCGAGCTCTCGCCAGAAGCCGCTGCTATACGACCCCGACAGCGATGGCAGGGGAGAGTGGGCACCTGCGAGACACACAGAAAGTTAACAGCCAAAGGCCTGGTGAAAGAGGAATGTTTTTGCCTGGTGCCTGAAGATCTACAACAATGGTGCCAAGCGAGTCTCCCAGGGGAGAGCATTCCATAGGTGTGTGACACACCCACACCAGGGCCGGCCCACCCATGAGGCAAAGTGAGGCGACTGCCTCAGTTGGCGGGCTCCACAGGGACAGCAGGTCTCGATGCAGATCTGTCCCCCATTTCTGATTGTAGATCTTCACTTACCCCTTCTTCCCTGGCGGGGAGAAGGACCCCGTTTTGCGGTTAGCCTTAGGTGCCAAAATGTCTCTTGCCATACCTGGTTTCACACCTTGAATCCAAACAGGCCTTTTCTGTGGTGGTTCCGTGCCTGGAAAAAACCAAGCATTGGTCTGATTAACACTTTATGGTTTTCAAAAGTGTGTTTGTGGTAAGGGGGTGGTTTGTTTATTTTTGCTTCTATTCTCATTTTGCATTTTTCTGTTGTGATCTGCCCTGGAATCATCGGGTGAAAGGTATGTATGCAAACCCTAATAGGAAATAATAATAACTTCAGACGTCTCCCTCATCACTTCTATTGTTCTGATTTGAATTCTTTCTTCCCGAAAGTAACCCAACACAAGGTTCTCCCGGAGGCTAAAGGAAGATGCATGGGATCTTCCTCCTCAAGGGCAGAGAGAGGATCTCATGTAGGATTTCCCCTGCACGTGATGTGGAAACTCCCAGGGCCTGATGACGTCAGAGCTCCAGGGCTGAAAAGGGGGCGTGTGCCAGAGACGAGTCTGGGGAAGACCAGGAGAAAGTTGGGATGCAGGTGTTTCCCAATCTAACACGCCAACGCACCGACCCAAATTTCAGCTAACCCTGGATGCTGGTGCAGTTTATTTCCCTTCTATTTCCCACTTATTTTCAGCTCCGGATTCTGATCCCTTTGAGTTCCGGCGCAGCAGGAGTACTTCTGAGCGTGTGCAGAGGGCCTTCCCGTCGCTACTGAGCCACAGAGGAGCAGCAAATCCTGAATCAATTGCCTGGGACGGCAGGGTGCATGCCAGGAGGGAAGGGAGAATACCGCCAGACACGGAATGCGGGCGATGCTTTCTGCCCTGCTCTTTCTCCCCGCTAAAGGGCAGAGTGCTTCTGGGCGCGTGCAGAGCGCCTTGCCGTCGATACTGAGCCCCGGCGGCAGCAGGAGCAGCAGATCACGAGACAGCTGGCCGACATGAGCGGGCGCAGGCAAAGAAGGGAGGGCGGGAGGGGAAGCGCCAGCGATGGTCTCCGCCCCGCTCCACGTTTCTCCGCAAATGACCCGAGACTAGGAGCTACGGAGCCGCAATACCGCACTTCGCCGCCAGAGGGCGCAGCACGGACCGCGCTCCCGCCCGCGCTTGCCCGCTGCACACACGTCACTGTCGGCCTCGCGAGGGAGGGGCTGATACCCGTGACGAGCCGGAGAGTGCTCATTTGCATCCCGCCGCGACCGGCATGCCTTGCGGCCACCACCACGCGGTTCTCGCGGGCTCCGCCGGTTCGGGGCCGGTTCCGGCTATGGCGGGGACGCCGCTTGCAGGGAGAGCGAAAGGCGTCTTCCGGGGCGCCCGGGCATCTCGAGTTTGGCCCGCAGGCGAGGGCACCGTAACCTCAGGGGCAGGCGCGCGTGCGGTGGCTGCTGCCGTGCGGGTGCAGAAGGCATACTCTGGTTTCTCTTCAGATCGTATAAATCTTTCGCCTTTTACTAAAGATTTCCGTGGAGAGGAACATTTATGAGTTTTCAACTAATTTTTTGAGGCCTTGCTTCGGCAGGGCTGTCCTTTCTCGGTGTAAAAACAGAACTAGTTTTTGTTCGATTAAGCTGTGCGTTCAGCTAGTAATGAGTCAGTCTGGGTGAGCCTCAACACCACCAAATATCAAATCTGAGCTTGTAGATCCTTACTATGCTCTCCCCCCCCCCACCAAAAAAAAGCGGTATTTGGAGCTTGTTCAGCCTTATTTCACATCTCTCCATCGTATGGCAACCACAGGGAGGGGGTGGGACCATGGGGTCACGAAGAGGAGGACACAACTAAACAACAACAATATAGCAATGGTGGAGAAGTAGAGCTTTGTGTCATCCACATGTTGCCAGACGTAATGTCTCCTAGTCCTACCTGGATTTTTATTTTATTTTATTTTATTCATTAATTTGGTATACTTCCCTTTGCCTTGTTTGATGGAGGGCTGCAAAATCAGAAGCAAGAGAATATATGCTGGAGAAGGTAAGTGAAAGAGAAAATCCCAGCAGACTATAGGGATGCCAAAATTACCAATCTCTTTTTTAAAAAAGGTGACAGAATGGATAGTGGAAACTATCAAGCATCTCTTTATTAGCTGCAGCCAGTGGGATCAGGTGTTAAACAGGGTTGTGTTACTGCCCCAACTCTATTCATTATTTTCATTGCCATGATCCTACACTTTGTCGAAGGGAAACTCCCCACCTGAGTAGAAATCATTTATCAAACAGATGGAAAGCTCTTCAATCTGAGCAGGATGAAAGCAAAGAGTAAGGATAACATAACTTCCGCCATAGAGCTTCAGTATGCTAATAATAATAATAATAATAATAATAATTTATACCCCACCCATCTGGCTGAGTTTCCCCAGCCACTCTGGGCGGCTCCCAATCAAATGTTAAAAACAGTACAGCATTAAATATTTAAAAATTCCCTAAACACGTAGTGTGCGCACACTCAGAGGATGACCTCAAAACCATCCTAAATATCTTCACAAAAGCTTAGCCCATCGCTCAACATTCCAAAAAAAAAAAAAATGTGCTGCACCAACAAATACAAAATAACCCCTCTACAGTGTCACAAATCCAACTTTCCACAACGGCCAACATCAATGCCGAAATCCAGCATCGCCTGAGCTCTGCGAGTGCAGCTTTCTCCCGATTAAAGTGCAGAGTGTTTGAGGACCTGAACATTTGCAGGGAAACCAAAATGCTTGTTTAGAAAGCTATTGTACTACCAACCTTGACTGTATGCTTGTGAAACATGGACCACTTACAAACGCCATCTCCAACCCCTCGAAAGATTCCAATAGTGGAGTCTCCAAAATTTTTTACACATCACTTGGGAAGACAGGCAAACTAATGCCAGTGTACTGGAAGAAGCAAAGATCACCAGTGTCAAAGCAATGCTTCTTCAACATCGACTTCCTTGGACTGGTCATGCCCGATTATCGTCTTCCAAAGCAACTACTCTATTCCGAACTTAAAAAAGGAAAGCGTAATGCTGGTGGTCAACAAAAAAGATTTACAGACTCTCGAAAAGCAAATATAAAAAAATGTAGTATAATCACCAACAGTTGGGAAACACTGGCCTGTGAGTGCTCCAATTGTAAGATAGTCTTTACCAAAGGCATCGTGGACTTTGTCGGAAACCTATGTCCCCACTGTAGAAGGACTTGTGGTTCCAGAACTGGCCTCCAGTCACTTACTGTTAAGACCATATTCAAGGAAAACAATCTTACTTGACTAATAATAATAATAATAATTTATTTATACCCCACCCATCTGGTTGGGTTTCCCCAGCCACTCTGGGCGGCTCCCAACAGAATATTAAAAACATGATAAAACATCAAACATTAAAAACTCCCCTAGACAGGGCTGCCTTCAGATGTCCTCTAAAAGTCAGATAGTTGTTTATTTCCTTGACATCTGGTGGGAGGGCGTTCCACAGGGCAGGTGCCACTACCGAGAAGGCCCTCTGCCAGGTTTCCTGTAACTTGGCTTCTCGCAGCGAGGGAACCGCCAGAAGGCCCTCGGAGCTGGACCTCAGTGTCCGGGCAGAAAGATGGGGGCGGAGATGCTCCTTCAGGTATACTGGACCAAGGCTGTTTAGGGCTTTAAAGGTCAGCACCGACACTCTGAATTGTGCTCGGAAACATACTGGGAGCCAATGTAGGTCTTTCAAGTCCGGTGTTATGTGGTCTCGGGGGCTGGCCCCAGTCACCAGTCTAGCTGCCGCATTCTGGATAAGTTGTAGTTTCCGAGTCACCTTCAAAGGTAGCCCCACGTAGAGCGCATTGCAGTAGTCCAAGCGAGAGATAACTACAGCATGCAGCACTCTGGCCAGACAGTCTGCGGGCAGGTAGGGTCTCATCCTGTGTACCAGATGGAGCTGGTAGATAGCTGCACTGGATACAGAATTGACCTGCGCCTCCATGGACAGCTGTGAGTCCAGAATGACTCCCAGGCAGCACACGTGGTCCTTCAGGGGCACAGTTACCCCATTCAGGACCACACACATGCCCACTTTCTGTCCCAAAGAATGAGGAAATAGGAGCAATATTAGCATCTCATATCAACTACACAAAGAATAATTCTATTTTTGCACCACGAAAGGACAGCCCTGCCGAAGCAAGGCCTCAAAAAATTAGTTGAAAACTCATAAATGTTCCTCTCCACGGAAATCTTTAGTAAAAGGCGAAAGATTTATACGATCTGAAGAGAAACCAGAGTATGCCTTCTGCAGCCGCACGGCAGCAGCCACCGCACGCGCGCCTGCCCCTGAGGTTACGGTGCCCTCGCCTGCGGGCCAAGATCGAGATGCCCGGGCGCCCCGGAAGACGCCTTTCGCTCTCCCTGCAAGCGGCGTCCCCGCCACAGCCGGAACCGGCCCCGAACCGGCGGAGCCCGCGAGAACCGCGTGGTGGTGGCCGCAAGGCATGCCGGTCGCGGCGGGATGCAAATGAGCACTCTCCGGCTCGTCCCGGGTCTCAGCCCCTCCCTCGCGAGGCCGACAGTGACGTGTGTGCAGCGGGCAAGCGCGGGCGGGAGCGCGGTCCGTGCTGCGCCCTCTGGCGGCGAAGTGCGGTATTGCGGCTCCGTAGCTCCTCTTCTAGTCTCGGGTCATTTGCGGAGAAACGTGGAGCGGGGCGGAGACCATCGCTGGCGTTTCCCCTCCCGCCCTCCCTTCTTTGCCTGCGCCCGCTCATGTCGGCCAGCTGTCTCGTGATCTGCTGCTCCTGCTGCCGCCGGGGCTCAGTATCGACGGCAAGGCGCTCTGCACGCGCCCAGAAGCACTCTGCCCTTTAGCGGGGAGAAAGAGCAGGGCAGAAAGCATCGCCCGCATTCCCTGTCTGGCGGTATTCTCCCTTCCCTCCTGGCATGCACCCTGCCGTCCCAGGCAATTGATTCAGGATTTGCTGCTCCTCTGTGGCTCAGTAGCGACGGGAAGGCCCTCTGCACGCGCTCAGATGCACTCCTGCTGCGCCGGAACTCAAAGGGATCAGAATCCGGAGCTGAAAATAAGTGGGAAATAGAAGGGAAAGCTGAAGTTGCCCTTCCTTCCTTCCTTCCTTCCATAATAATAATAATTTTTATTTATACCCCACCCTCCCCACCCAAGGCCGGGCTCAGGGTGGCTAACAAGCAATAATAAAAACAAGTTGAATGAATGCAACTTAAAAACAAGATTAAAATACAATATTAAAATATTGAAACATTAAAATATTAAAATACAGCCTCATCGCAGGAGGAGAAAGGAAAAAGAAAGAGGGGGAGGGAATCAAATTGGCTCCAAGCCAAAGGCCAGGCAGAACAACTCTGTCTTACAGGCCCTGCGGAAAGAAATCAGATCCTGCAGGGCCCTGGTCTCATGAGGCAGAGCGTTCCACCAGGCCGGGGCCAGTGTTGAGAAGGCCCTGGCTCTGGTTGAAGCTAATCTAACTTCCTTAGGGCCCGGGACCTCTAGGGTGTTGCTATTTATGGACCTTAAGGTCCTCTGTGGGGCATACTGGGGTCCCGTAGGTACAAGGGTCCTAGGTACCTTGCCGTCCCAGGCAAGTTATTCAGGATCTGCTGCTGCCGCTGTGGCTCAGAAGCGAGGGGTAGGCACTCTGCACACGCTCAGAAACACTCCTGCTCATAGCTGTCAACGTTTCCCTTTTTAAAAGGTAAATTCCCTTATTCTGAATAGGATTCTTCGCAAGAAAAGGGAAAGGTTGACAGCTATGCTCCTGCTGCGACTAAGGTCAGGAGGGATCAGAACCCGGAGAGGGAAATAAACTGCCCCTGCCCCCCAGGGTTAGCTGAAATTCTCTTTTTTTACAGTATTCACCACATGGTGTCTTCCAACTGTTTCGAGTTTATGGGATATGTAGTCCAGAACCTTTGGAGGACACCTGGTCTATGAAGGCTCAGTTCCTTACACACTTGCATCTTTGCTATTGCTTGTAAGTACCATTTTTTTTCAAGGAACTGCATTCCACTGCTTTTTGTCTTCTTAAATCACCTTTTTTATTATCGCTGTTATTTTAGATACAGCTACAAACACAACTGACAAGTGCCTGTCCCATATAATTGTTACTAAAACAAGCTTACCCGAAAAAGTACTACATGTTGTAATTCTAAAGAGCTTGACTGAGAAATCAATCCCAATCAGTTCAGTGGGATTTAACTTGCAAGTTATGTGTGCATGGGATTTGCAGCCTAAATTGCTGTAAAATCAGATTCCATGATCTCTATAATAGTCTCAAAAGGGCAGCAGTAAAATAAAATGCCATCTGCATATCTTTCTCCTGACCTTTGTGCCTGCCTTTCTGCTTTGTAATAAAAAGTTGATTTTTCCATTGCCCCACCTGTTGTAAATTGCTTTTATAGGACCTGGGAGGTTGCCGTAAAATACCATAGTAACGAAATGGACATATTACGTTCAGGCCTAAGAGAGCTTGACAAGAAAAGCGTGCTCATTGCAGGTCGATTGCTCTTGGCATTACACTGGAATGAGCTCCAGGGCAATATTTGACAATATGTTTTATTTAACACGGTATTAATATTTTTGCATGAGTGTAAGACGAGCCTGCTGGGTCACACCAATGGTCTATCCCATCCAGCACCCAGTTCTCATTGTAGCTAAATAATGTTGAGATTCCTGCATTGCAGCGGGTTGAGCTAGATGACCTTTGGGTACCTTGCAGATCTATTATTCTATGATTCTGTATGACTGTGGGAATCCTGCAAGCAGGGCCTGAGCCCAGGAAATGGTCACTGATAGCTTTGCCCATTAATTTGCTGCATGATTTGTATATCTCCCTGCTTATCTACACACACACACAATTTCAGCAAAAGGAGAGATGGATACAAATATTTTTTTAAAAAGCACCACACACACAGGTTGTATCTCTAATTATATTAATCCTATTAATTTAACAACTCTCTTCCAAAAGGTTATAGTCACTAAACACCTCCATTTCTCCTTGCTAAATCTATATTAAAAACACAGTATTTTTCTGTGTATAAGACTAGGTTTTTCCCATAAAAAATGATGTGAAAAATTAGGGGCGTCTTATACACAAATACATCTCCCCCCATTTTCTTAAATCTGAGTCTGTAAAAATAGGGGCCGTCTTATACATGGCTGTCTTACAGGTGGAAAAATATGGTAAATAAATTCATGGGATAGATGGACTTTGAACAGTCCATTAAGACAAGGCATTAAGACAAGGTGGGAGAGACATGTCCAAAAGGGGTGTGAAAATACATCCATGTGACTCTGCAGTCAAATGCATCTTACATTAAAACACACCATAACTGGGGGGGGGGGGGGAGTGTATAACATGAAGTGGTTTGGTTTTTTAAAAAAAAACATGAAGAGCTTTCAGCTTTCTTATTATTCGATGGAAAAGAAACATACGTTTCATCAAAGTTGGGACCAGTCAACTTGATTTATATGGACTGATCTGGCAGTGAAAGTAAATTCTCCAAGTGCAGGGAAACTCATGTTCTTAATCCAGGGGTGAACTTGGCCTGTCAAGCCTCCCCAATTGTCCTCCTGGGCTCTTATGGGGGAAGCCATGACGACTTCCATTACACCTGATGTCTTGCGTGGTGTGAGGCTTCAAAGGAACAACTGGGAGCCTAAAGGGAGCTCTCCACTGTTCCTTTGCTGGAGCAGCTGATGGGAGCTTCATGTGACCCGAAATTTTGGATCCCCTCCAAACTGATGCCAATAATTCAGTTTGGGGGGATAGCACAAAACACATGGGTTCGTGGTGCAAAACGATTCAAAACTAGCACAAAACTCTGGCCTCTTGTTTGGAGGGGATACAAAATTTTGGGGTCACATGTTAACGAAGCTTCCTGATGGGTGGTTGACGTGTTCCTTGCCCAAGAGCGAGAAGTGGCTTCCGTGCAGTAGAAACGTCTTCTTCCTCCCAGTGCTTAAATCCTTAATCAACACGATGACCTTATTTTGTAGGAGGTGGTTAGCTAATGTGTTGTGCACTGACTCCGGTTGCGAGAGACCTCAGTCGGGCCTTACTCCTTTGTAAGTTTGCCAAGCGGACTTGAGTAAGGCTCTGACCCAAATCCAAATATAATCACACCTTAGCCGTGAATGCACACATCCTACTCAAAAGACGAGGCAGTTCAAACAGCGCTCAGCTGAACGGCAGTGAGTCGACAGCAGCGGTGACGTTTTTGGATGGCTACGTATGGACACAATGGTGTTTGGGGTTTTTTACTTTGGGCAACTATTTGTCTACTATCATCTGTAAAATGGAGGCAACAGTGATCTGTCTCACGGCACTGCTAACGAAACAGAGGCCATTCGTCGTGCATTTAACAGGCTGCGCCCAAAGGATAACATCACCTCCCGTTTCTTGGCACACATTTATTGAGTAATGAAAGTCAACTGGCACGCATGGCAAGGAATCCAATCTTAGTCCGCGGTTTGCATGGGAAGGGTGCTGAAACGACTTTGCAATGGCGTCTTGGCTGTGCAGGATCTATAGCGAATTATCTTCCGGCAGGTGCGGGCAGCAAACCCAAAAGGGGCTGCCACCCCAGCCATAATCAGGGTATCTCGCAATGCAGCTCCACGAAAACAAGGCCTTCACATAACCCCAAGCTTCTTCCTGCAACAAGGCTGACATGAACTGGCTTCTAGCAGTTCTGCCAGTCCTGTAGGGGATATAGGATCTGCTGTCCATTTCTAAATGCCGTTGGTGGCTATCTCTCCCCTCCTTCAAGAAAATGGGTAGTGGCCCCATTTGTAGATGCAGAAGAGCATCTCCCTCAGGCTGTGGAAAGGCGGCCGGTCCTCTGGGTGACTTTTCCAACACTCCAGCATGACGCTGTAAACCTCAGCAGGGCAGCTGTTGGGACGGGGGAGGCGGTAGCCCCGGGTGATCTGCTGGATAGTTTCTTGGTTGGTCATCCCTGGAAGCAATAACATATACAGTCATACCTCGTGTTACAGACGCTTCAGGTTGCGTTTTTTTGGGTTATGGATGTGCCGAAACCTGGAAGTACCGGAACGGGTTACTTCTAGGTTTCGGAGGTTGCGCATGCGCAGAAGCACCAAATCGCAACCCGTGCATGCACAGACGCAGCGCTGCGGGTTGCGAACGCTGCGGGTTGTGAATGTGCATCCCACACGGATCACATTCGCAACCCGAGCGTCCACTGTATCCAGGTATTAGATAGATATTATTTATTACATTAATATATACATAAAAAGGTAAAGGCAAAGGACCCCTAGAGATGCGGGTGGCGCTATGCGTTAAATCACAGAGCCTAGGACTTGGCAATTAGAAGGTCGGCGGTTCGAATCCCAGCGACGGGGTGAGCTCCCACTTCTCAGTCCCAGCTCCTGCCAACCTAGCAGTTCAAAAGCACGTCAAAGTGCAAGTAGATAAATAGGTACCGCTCCGGCGGGAAGGTAAATGGCGTTTCCATGCGCTGCTCTGGTTCGCCAGAAGCGGTTTAGTCATGCTGGCCACATGACCCGGAAGCTGTACGCTGGCTCCCTCGGCCAATAAAGCGAGATGAGTGCCGCAATCCCAGAGTCGTTTGCGACTGGACCTAATGGTCAGGGTTCCCCTTTACTTTTAAAGGACCCCTGGATGGTTAAGTCCAATCAAAGGCGACTATGGGGTGTGGCGCCCATCTCGCTTTCAGGCCGAGGCAGCCGGCGTTTGTCCACAGACAGCTTTCTGGGTCGTGTGGCCAGCATGACAAAACCGCTTCTGGCGCAACAGGACACCATGACAGAAACCAGAGTGCACAGAAACGCCGTTTACCTTCCCACCGGAGCGGTACCTATTTATCTACTTGCACTGGTGTGCTTTCAAACTGCTAGGTTGGCAGGAGCTGGGACAGAACAATGGGAGCTCACTCCGTTGCAGGGATTCGAACCACTGACCTTCCGATTGGCAAGCCCAAGAGACTCAGTGGTTTAGACCACAGTGGCAACCGCAATATATACATTAAACACAGACTGCTGCGTTCCTCTTCATTTCTGCTCTACGCCTGCCCAGAAACCTGGGGTGTTTTGTTGAAGGCAATAGTCAGGCACGGATAGCTCAGTTGGTTAGAGCATGGTGCTGATAACACAAAGGTTGCAGGTTCGGGCCCAGTATGGGACAGCTGCAGATTCCTGCATTACAGGGGGTTGGATTGGATGATCTTTAGGGTCCCTTCCAACTCTACGTGTCTTTGATATTAGTCTATGATAGCCTTGCATCCAAGGACCAAATGCAGCCCTACAGGCCAGACCCCTCAGCAATTCTGCTTCTCATCTTGGGTCCTTGAACTCTGATAAACCCTCTTGCTGGATGGAGGACAGAGGCTGTGTATATGTGTAGATCCTATCGGCTTACTGCGCAAATGTAAAAATTTGCTCCGCCCTCTTGTTGCTGCCCCACCCACTTTTGACTCTGGCCACGCCTCCAAGGGTGAAGTTGCATAGAAGCAAATGCAAAAGCCCTTAGGCCAGTGATGGCCAAACTTGGCCCTCCAGCTGTTTCAGGACTACAATTCCCATCATCCCTGACCTCTGGGTCCCGTTAGCTAGGGATGATGGGAGTTGTAGTCCCAAAGCAGCTGGAGGGCCAAGTTTGGCCATCACTGCCTTAGGCTGAAAGTGTTTGCCCACCCTGGTTTAAGATGTGGGGCAGAAGTGGGTTGTCTGCCAGGTTTTCTCCTAGCTAGTGGGGGTAAGGAGACATTTTTCAATTCTTCATCTTAGGGTGCTTCCAGACTGCCCCTGTCACACACTGCCAAATGCAGGTTGCTCTGTTAAGATCCCTTGGCAACAAATGTGGTTTCCTTCCAAAATATTGGGCTTTCTGTGATCGGGAAAGTGATGTGAAAATTCACTAGAAACTGTGGGGTGACATTGCTTGATGCAATGCTATATAATCCCCCCAGAAAACAATTCAGAATGAATGCTCCATAAACAGGTTGTCTGCAAGGGAGCCCAGGATCCCATTGTCTGATTTTCTTAGCACCTGGGAGGTAATTAGTCTGCAATCTTCAGTTTAAGTAGATCCCATGGCTGTAAAATTCAGCCTAATTTTTCCCTCCTCCAGTCGCCTTCTTAATTTGTGTAACGTCTTGCCTGATGAAGAGTTTTGGAGAACTTGAAAGTGAGTCACATTTTCCTGAGTTATTGATTGATCCTGATAAAGGTATTGCCCAGCGGTGGACTTTGGGTTAATTGGATCTCACATAGTTTATGTCCTTTGAGTTCTGAGATAACATGAAGCAATTTAGATATTATTACCCACACCTGAAATTCCTTTTAAAGTTTCTGTTATAAGAACTTGAAGGTCTCAAATATAAATTAAATGTTCATAAATGTACGAGACAAACACATACCTCAATATATAAACCACGTGTCTGAAATAGTGCAGGAAAGCAATCCTGAAGCCATTTTGACTCTCCAAATGACCTCAAATATTCCTCTGGAGTAAGGGAGGAAAATGGGGAAAGCCTTCCCATTGTATTTTTGCTAGCAAATCCTGTCTTAAGGGCATATTTGTATATGAATAGGGTGAGCCTGTGACCTGGATTCAGGAACTAAAGTATTAACCATCATAAAAGAATAGCTAGACTTCCCAGGTAAAGCAATCAGTGACCGTTATCAGGTATCCTGGCAGACAGGATTTCTGCTGTAGACCTCCTCCTTCTGTGATGTATATATGATGTTTAGGGGGGTGGTCTTGGGCTACAGGGGGGGCAATTTCAAAAGTCTATATAAGGGCTTGCACACCATTGTTCTGGGTTCCTTCTCCCTTCTGCGTGTGGTGAGTGGAGACCCTGTTGCAACAGTTTAATAAAGATCAGGCTTACTAGCCGCTTTGCTTCTCAATATACTCTGGTTGGCCTCTGTATTATTTCCTACCGATAGGGGACCCACTTAAGGACTCTGTATGGGCTCTTGCATACCCCACAAGGCATGGGTAGGCAAACTAAGGTCCGGGGGCCAGATCTGGCCCAATTGCCTTCTCAGTCTGGCCCGCGGATGATCCAGGAATCAGCGTGTTTTTACATGAGTAGAATGTGTGCTTTTATTTAAAATGCATCTCTGGGTTATTTGTGGGGCATAGGAATTTGTTCCTTTTTTTCCCCCTTTTCAAAATATAGTCTGGCCCCAACAAGGTCTGAGGGACAGTGGACTGGCCCCCTGCTGAAAAAGTTTGCTGACCCCTGCCATAAGGGAAAAGGAGCAGTTTCCTCCCCCCTATAACATTTCCAAGGCCTGCACGGCTCTGATTTCTAATCACTAAAAACTGAGTTCCCACCTTAGTGTGGAATGCCATTTTACACATGTTCAGGCTACAAACCTAAAGTTGCTTATCACCCAGTATTTGCTGCTGACCTTGGTGGAACTTGAGCTCTGAGTCACATTCACACAACATTTGCCACAATCCATATCACTCCAGTTAGTCTCTTGGCAAATCCTGCCATTAGATGTGTTACTTTCCTTTCCAAACCAGCTTCAATCTGGCCAGAAACCTCGATGCGGAGTAAGCAGTACAGTGGTACCTCAGGTTACAGACGCTTCAGGTTACAGATGCTTCAGGTTACAGACTCTGCTAACCCAGAAATAGTACCTCAGGTTAAGAACTTTGCTTCAGGATGAGAACAGAAATCGTGCTCCAGCGGTGCAGCAACAGCGGGAGGCCCCATTAGCTAAAGTGGTGCTTCAGGTTAAGAACAGTTTCAGGTTAAGAACGGACCTCCGGAACGAATTAAGTACGTAACCAGAGGTACCACTGTAATGTGAACGTTTGAGACAGCCATCGCACATGCGCAGGTGAGCACGCATGCACAGCTGACAACTTCATGAATAGGAGTTTATGGAAGATGGGGCTGCAGGGACACGGAAACCAAAAAGGTCACATGTGTTGGGTGAAGACATCCCTGCTCCTTTTCTGATGTGAACAGCACTGCAAATGTGGTTTGAAATGCAACTGTGTGTGGGGACCTTGCTTGGTGCTGACCTTTAAAGCCCTAAATGGCCTCAGCCCTGTATACCTGAAGGGGCGTCTCCACTCCCATCATTCAGCCCGGACACTGAGGTCCAGCGCTGAGGGCCTTCTGGCAGTTCCCTCCTTGCGAGAAGTGAGGTTGCAGGGAAGCAGGCAGAGGGCCTTCTTGGTGGTGGCACCCACCCTGTTGAACGCCCTTCCATTGGATGTCAAGGAAATAAACAACTATCTGACTTTTAGAAGACATCTGAAGTCCTGTTTATGGAAGTTTTTAATGTTGGATGTTTTATCGTGTTTTTAATTTTCTGCAGGGAGCTGCCCTGAGTGGCTGGGGAAACCCAGCCAGATGGGCGGGGTATAAATAATAAATAATAAATAATAAATTATTATTATTATTATTATTATTATTATTACTACTACTACTTGATTTTAAGCAACTAATCTGAACATACCCTAAGACAGGCTTCCTCAAACTCGGCCCTCCAGATGTTTTTGGCCTACAACTCCCATGATCCCTAGCAAGCAGGACCAGTGGTCAGGGATGATGGGAATTGTAGTCTCAAAACATCTGGAGGGCCGAGGTTGAGGAAGCCTGCCCTAAGATTACAGCAGGGCAATGACTGTTTCTTGAATACTTTACCTTCATATGGGCACTGTCCATACGTAAACACCTCATAGAGAAAAATCCCATAGGACCAAACGTCCGATTTTGGAGAGTAGGTCTGGTAGATAGCTGCTTCTGGCGCCGTCCATTTCACAGGGATCATGGCGTTGCCCGTGGTGGAATAAACATCATCCTGGAAGGAAGCCAAGATTGGGTTCTTAACAAGAGTCATCAAAATTATTCACCTGAAAGCTGCTTCTACACCTGAGGGTGTTTCCAGACTTCTGCTATTTTTGGGTGGGATTCAGTCATGTACCAGTGAATTCACAGTCACACAGTTTCAGTCATTTGAGAGGGCTTGCGCAACAAAGCCACTTTCCCCAAACAACGAACTTTTTTGCAATAAGAAAAGCAAAAGAGAAATTCTCTGGAAAGTGTGTGATAACACTTGCTAGGCGCCATATAGTCTAACCTCCCTGTAAACAAATCTGAATAAATAGACTGATGTTGTCTATCCTGCCTGCAAACTTTGCGCCGAGAAATCAGGAGGCATAAGAAGCTGGTACTCTGGAAGAGACCTCAGAAGCTAAAGCTGTCGAATGATCAAAGGCCTGTTCTAGCAACTACATCTTGTGTCCTTGGCCAAATATTTGATACCCGGGGACAGCTGTAAGCAGAATTTGAGCACGCATGTAAAGGAGCCCCTTCCACCTTCTTCCTTTCATGTTATGCCACCACAAATTTGTAAGTGCCAAAATTATTTCAGTTCCATGGCTAGAGTAGCTTCTTTGGTGAGGGAAATTGGATTGAGGTTGTGAGTTGATGTTGGGGAATTAGGACCCCTTCCCCATAGAAAGCAGGTTCAATCTAATTGTCCTTCCCATAGCTGATTTAGCAAAAAAAGAAGACTTAAGGAAATGCCATAATGCATCTCCCACATCAGATTTAGCTGCCACATTTTTGCCTTCAGGAAGGGCATACTGGCTCTACACTGCTGTTATAAGAATTAAAGATCTCAGATATATAAATTAAATGTTCATAAATTTACAAGGCAAACACATACATAAGTATGTAAACCACGTGTCTAAAATAGTACAGGAGAGCAATCCTGAAGCCATTTTGACTCTCCCAAATTGACCTCAAATGGGGACAGTGGCGTAGCGTGGGTTGTCAGCACCCGGGGCAAGGCAAGTAATTTGCCCCCCCTAACCCGTGGATTTGCGCCCCCTAACCCTAACCCCCAGATGTTGCGCCCGGTGCGGCCGGGCCCCCCCGCACCCCCACGCTACGCCACTGAATGGGGAAGGAAATGGGAAAGTCTCTCCATTGTCTTTTGCTTACCTGTCTTAAAGGCGTATTTGTGTATGAATAGGGTGAGCCTGTGACCTGGATTCAGGAATTAAAGTATTTACCATCACAAAAGAATGGCCAGGCTGCCCAGGTAAAGCAATCACTGGCCATTGTCAGGTATCCTGGCAGACAGGATTTCTGTTGTAGACCGCCTCCTTCTGTGATGTATGTATGATGTTTTTGGGGGTGGCCTTGAGCTGGAGGGTGGGCAATTTCAAAAGTCTATATAAGGGCTTGCACACCATTGTTCTGAGTTCCTTCTCCCTCCTGCATGTGGTGAGTTGCAACAGTTGAATAAAGATCAGGCTTACTAGCTGCTTTGTGTCTCAATATTCTCTAGTTGGCCTCTGTTATTTTAATGTTTAATAGGTTTTTGTATTTTAGTGTTTTGTTGGAAGCCGCCCAGAGTGGCTGGGGAAACCCAGCCAGATGGGTGGGGTATAAATAATAAATTATTATTATTATTATTATTATTTTCTCCAACTGATAGGGGACCTATGTAAGGACTCTATATGGGCTCTTGGATACCCCAAAAGGGAAAAGGAGCAGATTTTGTTTGCATCACTGCAATAAAAGTGGGACAATACCTCTTCCCGCCCCCGCTCCTGAACATTTGCAGTATGAAAAGTTTCAAAAAAGCACATTGTGGATTCTTTCCTATATGCGCATGCGAAGCCCTTCAGTGAAAGGAGTTAGATAGGCAGGAGTAAGCCAAGTCTCCAAGGCTTCCTTGAACAAACCTTGAGGAGCCTGGCAAGACCAAAGTCTGCGATTTTGCAAGCGAGATCTTCGCCCACCAAAATGTTCCTGGCTGCTAAGTCTCGATGGACAACGTGTTGTTCTTCCAAGTAGGTCATGCCATCGGCTACTTGGCAAGAGATGCTGAGAAAGTGGTGTGTGGTCAGTTCCTTCCCTGCTGCACCTACAAACAAACAAACAAAAGGAGTGAGTTAACCTCCACTAATTGCCAAATGGGGAAGAAATGGAGGCAGTGAGAGATTTTACTTTCTTGGGCTCCATGATCACTGCAGATGGTGACAGCAGCCACGAAATTAATTGATGCCTGCTTCTTGGGAGAAAAGCAAAGACAAACCTAGACAGCATCTTAAAAAGCAGAGACACCATCTTGCCAACAAAGCAAGTCAAAGCTATGGTTTTCCCAGCCAACTATGGTAGTCAAAGCTATGGTTTTCCCAGTAGTGATGTATGGAAGTGAGAGCTGGACCACAAAGAAGGCTGATTGCCGAAGAATTGATGCTTTTGAATTATGGTGCTGGAGGAGACTCTTGAGAATCCCATGGACTGCAAGAAGATCAAACCTATCCGTTCTTAAGGAAATCAGCCCTGAGTGCTCACTGGAAGGACAGATCCTGAAGCTGAGGCTCCAATACTTTGGCCACCTCATGAGAAGAGAAGACTCCCTGGAAAAGACCTTGATGTTGGGAAAGATGGAGAAGGGGACGACAGAGGATGAGATGGTTGGATAGTGTTCTCGAAGCTACCAGCATGAGTTTGACCAAACTGTGGGAGGCAGTGGAAGACAGGAGTGCCTGGCGTGCCCTGGTCCATGGGGTCACGAAGAGTCGGACACGACTAAACGACTAAACAACAACAACAATAGCCAAAACTGGTTCAAACCTCACTTGCTGTTTTTTATACTTCCTGGTGCAATCAGGAAACAGGTGACATTCTCTTTGCTGTCTTGTCTTCAACACATGCATATGAGCATAAGAAGAGTCGTCTCATCTAGTTCTGCACCTTGGTTTTTTTGTTCTTTTAAATAAATTTATTCATATTATATTATTGCAATCTGTTGCCAAAAGGCATGTGGAGGGGAGAAGGGATAATAAAGCAATTCTATAGTGCCATGCAGTGCTTCCCTCCCCCTCAAAAGAAATATATATTTAGGGGTACTCTCATTTTGACTCAAGAAAATCACCATTTTATAGTTCAAATCAGGGAAAATAAATACAGTAAATGGACAAAAGTACAAAGATTCACAAAATGTTTAGGGGTATACATACTTCTGCATCCCCCCAGAAAAAAAATCACTGGTGCCATGAATAAATTTAAAGAAAAAATATATTTACATTGTCGTTCCAGAAATGTAAGAATAAGGCCCACTCCTCAATAAATTTGTTTTCTTGATTTTTATGTACTGCGTTTTTCTTATATGTAAGTTTTATCATTAAGATAGGTTTTCCATTAAAAAAGGTAAAGGACCCCTGACAGTTAAGTCCAGTCGCAGACGACTCTGGGGTTGCGGCGCCCATCTTGCTGTACAGGCCGAGGGAGCCGGCGTTTGTCCGCTTTTGCAGACAGTTTTTCCAGGTCATGTGGCCAGCATGACTAAGCTGCTTCTGGTGAAACCAGAGCAGCGCACGGAAACGCCGTTTACCTTCCCGCCAGAGCGGTACCTATTTATCTACTTGCACTTTGACGTGCTTTCGAACTGCTAGGTTGACAGGAGCTGGGAATGAGCAACAGGAGCACACCCCATTGCAGGGATTCGAACCGCTGACCTTCTGATCGGCAAGCCCAAGAGGCTCAGTGGTTTAGACCACAGCGCCACCCATGTTCCAAGGGGTTTTCCATAACCAATGAGTTATGGGTTATTGTTTTCCATTTTTTTGCAATGCGCTGTTTTGCTGTTGTTAGCCGCATAGCAATGAGTTGTAAATCACTATTAATGACTTCAGAATGATGAAAAAGGGAGTTATTTTAGGGTTTCTTGGGAGATCATAACCTGTACTTGTGTGCATAATGTTCAGTACCTCTGTCCATAAAGGCATTATTTTCATAGCTGTCAACTTTTCCCTTTTCTTGTGAGGAATCCTATTCGGAATAAGGGAATTTCCCTTAAAAAATAGGAAAAGTTGACAGCTATGATTATTTTTCAGTATGTTTTCAGTGGCCTGTGAGATCCCTATGGGACCTGAGCGCAACAACCCTCCCTCTGCTAATGATCCCATTCAGAGACATCTTGCCTCTGGCAGTGGGGGGGACGGGACCACTGGGAGCCCCTTCTTCCAAAAATTCATCTCATCTGCTTTGAAGCCTCTCTAGACTTTGGGGGAGCTCTAGCTCCGATGCTTTGGAGAATCAAATCCATTCTAGATAGAGTCAATTTTCTTAAAAGAATATTCCCGGGTTGGTGCCTCCAGTAATGGCGGAATTCCTCTGATTGGGAGGAATTTGCTCCGTGGGAATTTGGGTCTGGCCGCTACGGTGAAGGCGGGGACCCGTAAAAAATCACAGGAGGGAGAAGCCTGTGAGCGTGGGATTCGGCGGGCACCCTTTGCGCCTCCCCTACTCGCGGGGAAACCCGGTTTCGGGGGTCCGGAGCGACGTGGGGTGAGCGGCGCGGTGCTTCGAATCGTCTGCTTCTTCCACGGAGCGAAGCCGCATAGCTGTTGCCAGAGAGCGCTGACCTTTTCCTGTGGACAATTTGACTTTAAAGTAATTACCCGTGTGTAGAGCTGAAGCAGGAGAATTGGATTTTTAAACGTTTAATTTGGTACTGTAACGGGGAGGCTTAATACAGGAAGTCCGCCTTCCCCCTTTTGTAAATAGACTGAAGCAATGAGGCTGCAAGCTGAAGTCTTGGAAAGCCTTTTGTAAAAGAATAAATCCCCATCGGTAAAGATCATTTAAACCCCCCCTGGAGGCTGGAGAAGAGGGGGGGAAGTTGTGGACTGAGTATGTCCGCAGGAGAGAGTGAAGAGAGCTAAAATACCGCCGCTCTGACCCTGGAAACGGGCTGCTAGCAGGACTGACGTCTTTTGGAATGTTCATTGACAGCGTTCAGAACGTTCATTGACAGCTAGTTAAACAAGAGAAATACATTGTTTCTACTGTCTCCGGCTGCTTTTAAAAAGGAGCAAAGTAACTGAAAATTGAAACTAACTTTGGATTCGGCAGGTGCACAATTAAACAAGGAGTTGACATCCTGATTTGTGGCTTAGTCAGTGCTCTGCCTCAGGCCTTTGTCTTATGATGTTGTCATATTTCAGGACATCCTGAAAGCTTTTTTTTTTTTTTTAAACAAAAACACAAAGAAACTGTGATTTTTCAATTGTCTATTCTGCCTTTGAAATCCCATTAACGTCTGGGAAAATGTCCGGACGTATGACAGCCCTAAAGGGTATTAGGCACAGATGAAATTCTCGTTCCAGGTTGTGTAAAAAAGAACATCTGCAATTTCTCAGGGTACTGGCTTCTTTGCTATTGAGACGAGTGGAGAAGGCCTTGATTCTGCCACCTTCATAGGTCTGGTGTGCAGTGGTTTGTGGTGGAGACTTCTCTGCGGTGGCCCCCAAACTGTGGAACTCCTTCCCCATTAAGGTCTATCTGGGCTGAGACTTTGCAGCTTATTTATTGATTTAATTTGTCAGTTGCTTTATCTTGCCCAGGGCAACCCAATGCAACTTACAACCAACCAACCAGACAGACAATAACGCCCCATATGGATACATTAAAGCCAAGAGGAAAAAAAATACATTAAAAAACATCCCACTCACTTCTAAAAGGCCCCAGATTAAAGTGCTAATTTGCAGTTCTCCTCCCTGTGAATGGTGTTATCAAAATGCATCATTTTTTTGCTTCCATTGTGGTTGTTTTGTGGTTTGTTGATTACTCATTATTTTGCAATTTCAATTTCAGTTTACATAACCTGACTTTAGGGCGAAGGGCGGGTAAAAAATAACCAGGAACAAAAAACAGACAATTGCATTGTCTCACAGCCTTGAATTCTCCTGTCCCACTTGTTTGCCGTAAAAAAATTTTCTGCCCCACATGATTCTTTTTTTGCAGTTGCAAGCTGATGATCAGACTGTCAGCAGTCTGGCACTAGGTTGAAGCCAGCTAAGCTTTTATTTGCAGTGGACAAATTGAAATTAATGGACCTAAATAGTCACACTTATTAATTTCAGTGGGTTTACTCTGAGTCAGACTAACATTGGCTAAAACCCCGCTGCGTGTAAAGCAGGGCTCAGCAATTTTTTTCAGCAGGGGGCTGGTCCACTGTCCCTCAGACCTTGTGGGGGGCCGGACTAGATTTTGGTGAAAAAAATGAACAAATTCCTATGCCCCACAAATAACCCAGAGATGCATTTTAAATAAAAGGGCACATTCTACTCATGTAAAAACACCAGGCAGGCCCCACAAATAACCCAGAGATGCATTTTTAATAAAAGCACGCATTCTACTCATGTAAAAAACACCAGGCAGGCCCCACAAATAACCCAGAGATTCATTTTAAATAAAAGGGCACATGTAAAAACACGCTGATTCCTGGACCGTCCATGGGCTGGATTTAGAAGGCGATTGGGCCGGATCCGGCCTCTGGGCCTTAGTTTGCCTACCCATGGTGTAAAGTCTCATCTCCACTTCCACTTGCTCCCCTGTTTCCCAGAAAAACCTGCTCTTTACCGCTGAATCGGATTTTCTGCGGATCGGATGCTTCATTAAAAAACAACAGTGAAATAAGAAACCAATGCAATTTTAATTCCCAACCTCCGGGTGACATCAGGGTGCAATAAGGAAGTTCGTTATTAGACAAAGCTAGTGTTGGGGAGTTGTTAGCCAAGAAGGACGACTGCTCTCCCTCATCAGTGGGGCTCCTAGACCTGTTCTCCTTGGGAGTTGTCCCTCCTTGGGTAACAAAGAAGAACTGAGAAGGAGGTCAAGTCGTTCACCGCAGATTGTCTTTCGCGAACGAACGCCCTACTTTGCAAGCTGTTCGACCGGCTTCCTGGGCCAAACCTTTCTCAGCTGGGAGGAAGAGGCGAGAGAGAATATTTGCACCACAGGGGTGTTCTTTTGTTGTGGTTGCCACCTGGGTGCTGAAAGGGGAGGTGCCCTTTCATGAGATCTGTACAGACAAATTGAAACATCCTGGTTGCCCAGGAGGGAGGAGATTTGGGGTGTGTGTGTTGTGCTCGTCCTAAGCATCAATTTTCTCCAGCGAACCCGTGAGTTATAAACGTTGCGCAACAAAGCTCAGGGAGCCGGCACTGGGTGCTTTTGAAAGGTGATGCATCGTGGGCCAGGAGAGAAAATAAAGGCCTGCGCATGTAATGCTTATACACACATGCACACGGACATTCCAGAGAGCCAAATAGGCTTCCTCATTGCTCGAACATTTGTTGCAATGTGCAATCCTTCTACTTAGACGTAGGCGGCAGCTACAATGATTTCTCAAGGTGTGCTCACTTCACAACGCACCCATTGATTGATATGGAACGTGGTGTGATAGGAATTTTGAGGTCTTAGATACACGTTAAATGTTCACAAGTGTACCAACCAAGCATGTACATAGATCAGCACAGGAAGACCGACCTGAAACCATTTTTGATTCCCAAACAGACCAAATGTTTTCTCTGCAAGGTCAAAAGAAAATGGAAAAGCCTCCCCATTGTCTTTTCCTTCACAAATCCTGTCTTAAGGGCACATTTAAGATATGAATAGGGTGTGAGCCTGTGACCTGGCTCAGGAACTAAGTATTTATCATTACAAAAGACTGGCCAGGCTCCCCAGGCAATCCAATCAAGTGACCATTAAACTGGTAACCTGGCAGACAGGAGGTAAACAAAGCACTCAGATTTCTGCTGTAGACCACCCTTTCTGTGATGTAGGTATGATGTATCTGAGGGTGGTCTTGAGCTCCAGGGCAGGGAATTTAAAATGTCTATATAAGGCCTTGCACACCATTGTTCTGGGTTCCTCCTCCCTCCTGCATGTGGTGAGTGAGGACACTGTTGCAACAGATCAATAAAGATCAGGCTTAGTAGCTGCTTTGCTTCTCAATATTCTCTGGTTGGCCTCTGTTATTTTCTCCTACCAATAGGGAACCTACGTAAGGACTCTATATGGGCTCTTGGATACCCCATAAGGGAAAAAAGGGCAGATTTTTGTTTACAACACTGGTGTGGCTTGTTGAAGCACTGTGACTTGCAATGGTGCGCATATCTGTTTTGCACCCACAAAATTCTCTTCAAAACTACTTTTATTTTATGCATAGACTTTGGGGTCCTGATGCGCACATTTTTTATAGTATCTATTAGACAGGCTTCGCTTTAAGCATGATTTGGGGAGGGGCGCGTGTTGTGGGTGGGGCCTTACTGGTCAGCTATGAGCATGTTTGGACTCTTTTTCTGCCTTGTCAAAATGTGGCTCAGAGGAAGAGGGCTGTGTGGCCCAACGAAGTCACAAATAAGTCATCTGGCAGGGAAAGGCGAAGGCATGCTGAGCGCCTAAGCTAAGTCAGGTTTCACAGCGTGACCAAAATGTGAATGATTCTAACAGAAAGGACAATGAAAATGGAAATAATAAAGTTTTATATGTGCATATATACTGGCACATAGGCAAGAATGCAAATTAAAACTAAGGGCCAGATTTAACTAACCTGCCGCCAGCAGAAGTCAACACAAGGACTCCTGCTGTTGCAAAATAAAAAAAGATAGAGAGAGAGAGAGAGTTTTTGAGCTATTTTAAATGAAATTCACCAAAATCTACACTTCCAGCAATTTCTGCCTGGTCACTGTTTCTGAGGCCCGAATACCAGTTATGTCTGGGGAATTTTAGACGTATGGCAACCCTAACCATCTCCCATATTTCCCTGTACCTATCTCACGCAGCTCTGTTTACGTTCTGCTGCAGTTCGTCTTTCGCCAAACCACTCTTCGTCTTGCTGTTCGCTGCAGTAAAACTTGTGTAATTTACGCAACAAATTACGTAACTTCTGCAGGCTACGTAAGCTATGTTGTCGTGCTATTGTGCCAAGTTTGTTTCAGCGCAAAAGAAACGCGTTGCAAATAGGGAAAGATGTAATGGGTTATGTACCGTTTGTGGCAGGGACGCGGGTGGCGCTGTGGGTTAAACCACAGAGCCTAGGACTTGCCATTTGTGGCAGGGACGCGGGTGGCGCTGTGGGTTAAACCACAGAGCCTAGGATTTGCCGATCAGAAGGTTGGCGGTTCAAATCCCTGCGACAGGGTGAGCTCCCGTTGCTCGGTCCCTGCTCCTGCCAACCTAACAGTTCGAAAGCACCTCAAAGTGCAAGTAGATAAATAGGTACCGCTCCGACGGGAAGGTAAACGGTGTTTCCGTGCACTGCTCTGGTTCGCCAGAAGCAGCTTAGTCATGCTGGCTACATGACCCGGAAGCTGTACGCCGGCTCCCTCGGCCAAGAAAGCGAGATGAGCCCCACAACCCCAGAGTCGTCCGGGACTGGACCTAATGGTCAGGGGTCCCTTTACCTTTACCTTACTGTTTGTGGCAACAACAATTGCAATATGGTTGTATTTGCTGGATTAATTTTCATTCTGCACATGGGGTGAGGAAGCGAATATCAGGAATTTTAGCTCTTGTTTCCACTTTTTTTGCTGGGATTCTCTGACATCCCAGCACTTTGATGGGGCATCAAGTTCAGCGCAACTGCTGGAGCGATACTCACTGTTGAGGTAGCTATGTAGGTTCCCCTTCCTCATCAACTCAGTGACAATGTAGACAGGTTCTCCTACAGAGCAGATGGCCAGGAGTTTGATGAGCCTTGTGTGCTTCAGACATTTCAAGTTCTGAATCTCTTTGGCAAAATCATCCCTCATGTCAGCTGTGGAAGAAAGACCAAAACGCTTCAGGGATGTAGGGTTTCTCAAGGAAATTCCATGGGTGGGGGTCCTCCAGGAAAGTAGCTTACCCCTCACAGAGCTACAATTCCCAGCACCCTTCACAAACTTCAGTTCTTGGGAATCTTTGTGGGGATGTGTGCTTTACACGTATGGTGTGTCCCAGGGCTGTGTTTAGGTTTGATGAGGCCCTAAGCTACTGAAGGTAATGGGGCCCTTTATATATCCAGCTGCCCTTTGTCAACAACAAATTGCCACTGTTTTTTTGTGTCGAATATATGCTATATGGTAATAGGTATCTAAAGCGATTTGCACATGTTGCCGTGCAACCAGTCCATGCAGAATGTAGGCACCCTATATATAGAAATGAGCAAACCAGGGATATTTTAGGGAGGGCCCACAACACGAAACACTGTTGCTGTACAGTGGTACCTCGGGTTACATACGCTTCAGGTTACACACTCTGCTAACCCAGAAATAGTGCTTCAGGTTAAGAACTTTGCTTCAGGATAAGAACAGAAATTGGGCTCTGGTGGCACGGCGGCAGCAGGAGGCCCCATTAGCTAAAGTGGTGCTTCAGGTTAAGAACAGTTTCAGGTTAAGAACGGACATCCGGAACGAATTAAGTACGTAACCAGAGGTACCACTGTAATGTGAACGTTTGAGACAGCCATCGCACATGCGCAGATGAGCACGCATGCACAGCTGACAACTTCATGAATAGGAGTTTATGGAAGATGGGGCTGCAGGGACACGGAAACCAAAAAGGTCACATGTACTTAACCCAAGGTACCACTGCATGTAGGTTTTAGTTTTATTTTTATTATCTTATATTTTGGAAATGTACATCCAATCCAGTTTTTTCTCCTTTAATTTTTTGGGGGCCCCCAAGAGAGTGGGGCCCTAACCTATAGCTTATTTAGCTTATATGTAAATCCGGCACTGGTGTGTCCACAGCCTGTGTTCGACTCCCATTCCCAGGAGCCCCAGCCGGCGTGAGCAATGGCCAGAGATGATGGGATGTCCCCAGCCCTACCTGACGATGCTGAAGGTTGAGCCAGGAACCTTCTGCTGTACCCCTGAGCTACAGCCCATCCCTGAAAGAAGGATTCCGCAACCAATGACATGTTCTGCACCCCACAAACCTTGCTTCATGATTTTGATGGCCACCGGCACCGTGTTCTTCCACGTTCCTTCCCACACCTCTCCGAAGCATCCTTCGCCCATCTTCCTCCAGAGCTGGAACTCTGAACGGGGACGTTCCCATTGGTCCGTCTCAGTAGGCCTCTGAAAAAGGGCAGGCACATGGGGGGGGGGGATACTTGTTAGGAGCGTCCTACTCTTTTTTTATATATTATATTTTTATTGGTTTTCAAATACAAAAACAAAATTATACATTCCACACATCTTGATTACATCTTGCTTCTCTTTTTTGACTTCTCTCAATCTGTCTGCAATTCCTTCACTTTATTACGTTTTCCACATTTCTACCCATTGTTATTAATACTGTTAACTTCAGTTCCTTTTTTAAACTTATTTTCACATTTTCCCATCACAGAGCTTCCTTAAAACTTACAAACGTAATCTGATTATCACTCAGTTTTTGCAAATATTGAATAAATTTTCCCCAATCTTCTATAAATCTTTGGTCTCGTCGATTCCGGATCCTTCCTGTCATTCTATCCTACTCTCATGTAGGACCCTGGCAGAGACGCATGCCCACCTGGCATGTTCTCTTCCTCCTGGTCAATCGTTCGGGAGCTTCAAAAGCTTTCTTCTGCCCGAACATCACAGCGACTGATGCCAAAAGGCACCAGTACACTTAGGGAGCCACAGAGTATTTGCAGTTTGCGTAACAGAACTCAGTAGCACAGCATTTTGGCTAATCTACGTTTATTTACATATAATATACTCGGAGCATTCTGCTTTAGCTCCTTCCTCTTTCTTATCAGACAGTAAAGAGAGAAAGAACAAAGGACAATAGTCCCACTTCATGGAACACAGTACAGTCATATCTCATGTTACGTTTGCTTCACGCTGAGCATTTTCAGGTTGCGTCCTGCGGCGACCCGAAAGTACTGGAAAGGGTTACTTCCGGGTTTCGCCGCTCGCGCATGTGCAGACGCGCAAAATGATGTCATGTGCATGCACAGAAGCGGCGAATCGTGACCCGTGCATGCACAGACGCGGCTTGTGTTCTGCTCATGTTGCGAACGGGCCTCCGGGATCCCGTTCGCAACCAGAGGTACCACTGTAATACCAAAACATCCTGTCTCCGTCACTTCCCACACTGTGGAATGAAAACATACACTGTCATGTGATAGACAACAATCCCATGACTGCAGACACGTGGAATAAATCTCCAGCTACACTGAAACTGTAAACCTGCCCAGGCAGAAGGGCCTACCTGAAGGCTGGTGGGCTCTCCACGGGGTTTTTTTAAAACAAAGGTAGGATGGCCATCTGTTAGGGATTTATTAGCTGTGATGCCTCTCTACATTGAAGGAATGGCCTTGTGGGTCCCAACTCTATGATTCTGTGGATAAGGTGATTGACAGGTCACACACCACAGGAAATGGTTACTTCTTGAGCCATATAATAAAGAATGCAGATTTGCAACTTGGAATTGTACGTGGGGAATTGCATTCTCGCTTTTAACCAAGAAAATCCGAAATGCAGTACATTCAGTGACCATTTTGCATGCGTCCAGTTGATGCATGACTCCCGATACATGGGTCGTTTTGGATCTGGAAGAGGGCAGAATGGGGCGGAATGGGGGGTTGGGACAGGGCGCAACTGGGCAGAGCAGGATTATGTGTGCTCTACCGATGCGCGCAGGGGTCAGGAATAAAACCCCCATGGAAAATGGTCTCTGCCAGTACAAGAAGGTGGACTCTGATCTTTGCGGAGTTAGATGATCTCAGGTCCACTGATTTCAATAGACTTGGGTCAGGGGTCAACAATGGTTTTAGGTCCAAGGGCACCATGGGTGTCGACCCCTGACTTCTCTCTCCCTCCGGCAGATCAGTCCCGCTGAGAGGTGGACAGAAAGGAAGCGTGCCAACACACTCTGTGTTCTTCCAGAGGATATGAGTAAATGTCTGATCCATTACAATTAATATGAGCCTTGAAAAGAACATAGAACTGAAGAAGGAAGTGGAGAAGAGTGTCATTCTTGCAATTTCCTCCTTCAGCTCTTTTCAAGGGACAAGAAGGTAACCAGCCTCATGACCGGGGGTGGGGGGGGAGACATTGAAAGGCGGGCTCAGGTGTTTTGTGAGCACTACAGGAATAACCTAAGGGTGCCATTGTGCCCACGAGCACCATGTTGGAGACCCTGGATTAAGTATTTCTAACTCTGCACAAGATCAGGTTGTTGTTTGGTTTGAAGGGCTCGGTTCTGGTTAGCATCCAAACTCCTGGGAAAGAAATGTAACTGTAAACAGGGAAATGATATAAAGAAATTTTGAAAAGAAAATCTGGATGACAAGAACTAAAGAGAGAGAAAAAACCAGACGGACAGACAAACCCAACCCTGCTATTTTGTGTTGCTTGATCAGAGGAAGGAAAAGATGGTGGGAGGTATGAATTAAGGAGACAGGCTGAGGTTTCTAGGTGGGGCCTGGCTTGAGGCCAGGAAAATTTGGCAAGTGTGCGCAGGTGACTAGGATGTGTGGAATCTATAGCAAGGAAACTGGGTAGCTGAATGTGAAGGCAGGCAAGGTGCCAGTCCTCTTCTTTTAGCCCTTTCAGCCCCTCCCAGGAAACTTCAGAAGTGTCTAACTGGGTGATGTTTCTAAGGCAGCAAAATCTGGAGGAGGATCTCATCTTATACAGGGGGAAAGGTACGAGGGCGACATTTCTCACTGCTGAATTGTATTTTTGCGTCAATTAGAAATCCCTCCTCCTGCGATGTAATCCGAACTTAATAATAAATTTTGAAACTATGTGTGTGTGCTTGAAACCCACAAGCGTCACAATTCAGACTTCCACTTCCAATATGGCCACGGAGTCTTGACGTTTGGCTACAGAGGTCAGTCACAGAAAAATATGCATTGGGTTATGGGTGTCAGCGTTCCTATCCCCAAAAGTCCCCCAAATTTCAAAGATGTGGCATGTGAATTTGCAATTGTGCAGGCTGAACCACGAATAAAAATGAATAGATGGAGGGAGGGACAATCAGATGTAATGGAGAGAGTCATGTTTGGTTTCCAGAGTGTACAGACACAGAGCAGCCCCATGCTAGCCAGAGCTGATGGGAGTTCCAGTCGAAAACATCTGGAGAGTACCAGGTCAGGGAAGGCTTACATGGAGATACTGAATGGATAGAAGAGGACAGAAGTAATACAGAGGACAAGCAGAAGACAGAAGTAATGCATAAGAGGAGGACAAAAGTAATACAGAAGACAAGCGGAAGACAGAAGTAATGCATAAGATCAGAAGGAAATGAGTGATGATACAGGAAAACATACCTTTTGGATGCAGGGATGAAGCAAGGGACTATGTATGACATTCCAGTTGGCTGTGTAGTAGGCAAGGAGCTGCTCCAGATTTGGAAACATGTGTCCCTTTTCCAAGTAAAAACTCCCTCCAGGCTCTTTGTAGATTCTGAAATGTCGCACTTTGGTATGGTTCCGAACTGAAGGTTGAAGGGAAGGAGAAGATGACACAACGTGTGATTGCTTTGCCCCCAGAAATACGGTATGTCTTGAGCTAGCCCTGGTTTCCAAGCATGCTAGAAAAATACAACCTGTGCTGCTGATAGTAGTAGTATGACTCCTGCAACACGTTGGCGACTAATATACACACAATAATTACCAAAGCGATTACACATTCTTTATCAAACTTCTGAGAAAAATACAAAATCTTATGCAAAGCCACAGAGACTCACGAACTGCCCAACCTAAGATGAACTTATAATATCTGATTTCAATGGATTTTTCAAGTTCTTAACTCAGTCTTTTGTTTTTTATCTTTTTAGATAATAATAATAATAATAATAATAATAATAATAATAATAATTTATTATTTATACCCCGCCCATCTGGCTGAGTTTCCCCAGACACTTTGGGCGGCTCCTAATCAAGTGTTAAAAACAGTACAGCATTAAATATTAAAAACTTCCCTAAACAGGGCTGCCTTCAGATGTCTTTTAAAGATAGGATAAGTTCATGAAGGTACCAGCAAAAGGTAAGTTTGGTGTTGTTCACAATACCGAGAGATGCTAGTGAAGTTGTAGATGGATGTTAATGAAGTTGTAGATGACACGGTGCCTGCGTTTTGCACCTGTTTCGCCCTGGCAGTCCAAGTAATCAAGAGGCCCTTTTACTGGGGCTTGCAGGTAGCACACTCCCAAGGTAGTTTTCTGGGCTTCTTCAGTGGTCTACTCTCAAAGCCTTAATACGTATATTGATATTCAGTTTCATAGAGAATACTACCTATTTCTTGCCTTAAGCTTAAGAGACTGATTTGCTTAGCCTTCCAAGCATGGCTTTCCCCTCTTAGAGAGACCCCCAAATCCAGATTTTGGCTTCTTGGTTCTGACATGGGGTTGGAAAAGTGGAAAGAAAAGGGATGGAAACCATCCTTGCCATCCACAACATTTCTGGAAGGAAACCCAAAGACCGTCGTTGGCATGCTACAAGGTGGGCTCCAAATCTGATGGTGGGAATGGACTAGCCAAGCTTCTAGAGTTAGTCCGAAGACTTTTGCTAGTGCCCTGTCACCGCTTAGCCTGCGGCCGTCTCATCCTTTGCACCAAATGGCTTGTGTGGGAAGGACACCATTGTTTGTTTCACAATTTAGTATAATTACATGGGAGAGAGGGAATGTTTGTATGTGTGGTGTAGTAATTAGCATTTGTAGATCCGAGAAGATATTCCATACAAGAAAGTTTCTGGAGTGAGATCATCGTCATCAGTATGAAGACAGCTTTGCGAATGGCTCAATATTAAAAAGCCACTTGTGTGTGTGTGTGTGTTTGGAGGGGGAGGGGCCCTGTAAGCTGGTTACATCCCATAATATTGTCACTGAGGGCTTTTTTTAAGTTGGAACTCACTGGAACCTAGTTCCGGCCCCTCTCAGGTGAGCGCCATTGCCATTATAAGAGAACAAGGGAAGTGTTCGTGGTGACACCTCTTTTTCTGGAAAAATAGCTCAGCTGATACAAGCTTGTGGGGTGCCTGAACTTCCTTTCTAATTCCTGAGGAATTTGGATGGAGGGTTGTTATTTCCCCCCTTTTCCCTTTCCTGTAGCTGCATGGGCAATTTTTTTATTTTTAATACAGGTGTTTTGTGCAAGGACAGATTTGCACAAAGCAGCTTTTTAAATTTTTTCCCCCTTATGTTCTTATTTATTAAATTTCTATACTGCCTCAGGGAGATTCACAACATAAAAATACAATAAAAAACAAAACAAAATACATAATAAAAATAAGAACAAAACCAAATCGATAATCCCCTCGCCCACAACACAGTGGAAAGGGCTTTGGCATGCTGCTTCCATCCCTTTGGGACAATGGAAACAAAAAGGCTTGGTTGTGCTTTGGTGTGATAGATGGCACCCAAAAAAATGCCATCATGCATCTAAACACACACACACACACACACACACACACACACACACCGGCCCATGCAATGGGCTTCAGTGCACCCACACATGCCATTTTATGTTGGTGCATCAAAAAAAGCATTGCCCAAAACTCTGGGCACACTCAGTGGCTGCAGAATGTTGGAGCCTGATTCGTTCTTAGGTAAAGTTAAAGGGACCCCTGACCATTAGGTCCAGTCGTGGCCGACTCTGGGGTTGCGGTGCTTATCTCGCTTTACTGGCTGAGGGAGCCAGCATACAGCTTCGGGGTCATGTGGGTCATGACTAAGCCGCTTCTGGCGATCCAGAGCAGCGCACGGAAACGCTGTTTACCTTCCCGCTGGAGCGGTACCTATTTATCTACTTGCACTTTGATGTGCTTTCGAACTAGGTTGGCAGGAGCTGGGACCGAGCAACGGGAGCTCACCCCGTCGCGGGGATTCGAACCACCAACCTTCCGATCGGCAAGTCCTAGGCTCTGTGGTTTAACCCACAGCGTTCTTGGAGGGTTGCTATTTCCAGAAAAAGGTGGAAACTTTAACACGCCTATAATTAACCAAGCTGGAAACATCCGCTGGAAACGGTGTTGATAAACATCCTAAGAACAAGCTGGCTGCTGCTATCTTTGAACGCTGAGGTCAGCACCGGAGGTCCAATGGCAATCTCCGCCCCCAATTTATGTAGACTTTTAAAGTTATTGTTTCTTATTTTACAGGTGCAGACTCTTTCGCTTCTGCAGATTGCTTTCCTTCCTCTGAAAGAGAAGCCCAAAGTGCTTGAAACTCACCTCCACCCTCTTCCCCTACCCCCACTGACTGTGAGAATAGGTACTCAAACGCCTCAGTTCTCTGACCTTCCCTGCCACTCCCTTGTACAGTAAGCCTGAGAGTTTTTCTTGCCTCTGCAAAGCGGTGGCCCAATCTGCCGCCCCACATTTGCTGGGAACAACCTCAAGAGCAATTGTGAAACGCTTCTTATCTGTCCTTTCACACACATACGGAAGGGCAGCAGCATCAATCTCTTGCATCAAGGAGATTATACCAGGGGCCTCCACTCACCAAGGCGAGTGCCTACGTTCAAGCACAACTCCCTTACGTGCTGGGTGATGTCTGCTTTTCAATACTGTGATACAGTGGTACATCGGGTTACAGATGCTTCAGGTTAAAGGCGCTTCAGGTTACAGACTCCGCTAACCCAGAAATAGTACCTCGGGTTAAGAACTTTGCTTCAGGATGAGAACAGAAATTGCGGTGTGGCAGCGTGGCAGCAGCGGGAGGCCCCATTAGCTAAAGTGGTACCTCAGGTTTAGAACAGTTTCAGGTTAAGAACGGACCTCCGGAACGAATTAAGTTCCTAACCCGAGGTACCACTGTATAGGTAAAGGTAAAGGTTGAGTCCAGACAAGGGCAACTATGGGGTTGCAGCGCTCATCTTGCTTTCAGGCCAAGGGAGCTGGGGTTTGTCCACAGACAGCTTTCCGGGTCATGTGGCCAGCAGGACTAAACCGCTTATGGCACAACGGGACACCGTGATGGAAGCCAGAGCGCACGGTAACGCTGTTTACCTTTCCGCTGCAGCTGTACCTATTTATCTACTTGCACTGGCGTGCTTTCGAACTGCTAGGTTGGCAGGAGCTGGGACAGAGCAACAGGCGCTCACTCCATCGCAGGGATTCGAACCACCGACCTTCTGATCCGCAAGCCCAAGAGGCTCAGTGGTTTAGACCACAGCACCACCCGCGTCTCCATTTGTGATATAAAGGTAAAGGGACCCCTGACCATTAGGTCCAGTCATGGCCGACTCTGCGGTTGCGGCGCTCATCTCGCTTTATTGGCCGAGGGAGCCGGCGTACAGCTTCCAGGTCATGTGTCCAGCATGACTAAGCCGCTTCTGGCTAACCAGAGCAGCACACGGAAATGCCGTTTACCTTCCCTCCAGAGCGGTACCTATTTATCTACTTGCACTTTGACCTGCTTTTGAATTGCTAGGTTGGCAGGAGCAGGGACCGAGCAACGGGAGCTCACCCCGTCGCAGGGATTCGAACCGTCGACCTTCTGATTGGCAAGTCCTAGGCTCTGTGGTTTAACCCACAGCGCCACCCGCGTCCCATGGCACATGGGTTAGGACCCTCTTAAAACAGTGAGCCATGTGGAGCACTGCAGGAATAAAGTCTGTGTAGAAGCAGTTGGTGGGGCGGCACCTGCTCACCTGCTTTCTCATCATACCTAAGAGGCACTAGGAGCAAAGTACAGCAACAGGAGCATTGGACAGGCTCCATTGCCGTGCCCACCTTATGCCCATCATGCTAACGTTTGGTGCTGGGAAGGCAGGAGAGGAATGCCTGCCCCCGTCTGGTTCCACCAACGGCCGCTGGTTGCATGCTGAAACTGGATGGACAGGTATGCTGAAGACTCACCTCTTTCTCCTGCCCGTTGGCACCTGAGATATATTTATATACATTTTAGGACACACCCCATTGGTCTGATTGTAAATTGCTTTAACTGATAGTGGTCAAGAAGGAGGTTTCTGCACGTGCTGTAGAGGGAAGTGAGGGGGAGATGGGGTTTGCCAACCTGGCAAGGTGTTCCATCTAAAAGGTTAAGGGACCCCTGACCATTAGATCCAGTTGCGGATGACTCTGGGGTTGTGGCGCTCATCTGGCTTTATTGGCCGAGGGAGCCAGGGTACGGCTTCCAGGTCATGTGGCCAGCATGACTAAGACACTTCTGGCGAACCAGAGTAGCGCACGGAAACACCGTTTACCTTCCCGCCGGAGTGGTACCTATTTATCTACTTGTACTTTGATGTGCTTTCGAACTGCTAGGTGGCCCATCTAGGAGAAGGAAAACTCTGGTCCTAAACCTCCACTGGCTTGCAGCTGTACTCATTTGTGTGTAAGGCTTCGGGATAAAACCCCGAGGAAAATCTGTCCCTGTTTCCTTGCAGGACATCTTGGAAAGAAGAAAAGGCTAAGGAGTAAACCCTACACAAATTAGGAGTGGAGTCCCTAAGATGGTTGGATGGCATAGTGTTTTATGCCTCCTTCCGGCAAGTCCTGCAGCCAAGCTGGTGGCAAATGTATTGCTCTGCTCTCCTTTGGACCACATCGGTGAGGCCAAGAGTGGGGCCTTTTGTCTGAGCAGCCCAGGACCTCCAGACACATTGCCCAGGCAGTGCACCCCTCAGAGAATGTGCACTCCGTTGTCTCTTGAGACAGATGGATGCCGAAAACAACAACCCTGAGATCTTACAGTGAATAATGCGTAAATAATCCAACAAATAAAAATTATAATTAATAATTGCTTTGTAGTCTGTGAATTGAGGGACGCGGGTGGTGCTGTGGGTTAAACCACAGAGCCTAGGATTTGCCGATCAGAAGGTTGGCGGTTTGAATCCCCACGACAGGGTGAGCTCCCGTTGCTCGGTCCCTGCTCCTGCCAACCTAGCAGTTCAAAAGCACGCCAAAGTGCAAGTAGATAAATAGGTACCGCTCCGGTGGGAAGGTAAACGGCGTTTCTGTGCGCTGCTCTGGTTCGCCAGAAGCGGTTTAGTCATGCTGGCCACATGACCCAGAAGCTGTACGCCGGCTCCCTCAGCCAATAAAGCAAGATGAGTGCCGCAACCCCAGAGTCAGTCACGACTGGACCTAATGGTCAGGGGTTCCTTTACCTTTACCTAGTCTGTGAATTATTATTGTTTTTTTTAAAACCCACCAGCCTTGAGCTTCAACTGTGGCAAATGGATAGAAAGAATTGAGACATTAATCTATGCCATACAGATTCTGACTCAGTTTTTAGCATCTGCTAAGGCTGACTTCCTTTCTCCAAGGAACCATGGGAGATGCAGTTTGAGGAAGGCGTGGAGAATTCTTCCATCATGGAACCGCATTGAACACACTCCCTTGGGGCAGGTATTGGCAGTTCAGCTGGCTCAAAGCACTCATGAAGGCATAAGGAGAGATTTGGTTACCTGATAGAGAGTATTCCCCTCTGTTACTCTCACTGTCCCGGATGAGGAACGAGCCATGGCGATTCGGAGGAGAGAGGAGGAGATGGTTGGCATTGGTTCTGCTAATCCCACTTATATACCAGCTGGAAAAGAAAGTGAAATATATATCTTTTTCTTGTTTGCTTGCTTGCTTCCTCTCTCGATATACTTTTAGCCTGGCACTCATCATAATCGATGATTATCACCGCCAATTTATAAATTGCAGGGGATTTGGACTAAATGATGCTCAGGACCCTTCCAAGTCTGTGGTTCTTTGAGCTGATTTCTATGGAATCATTTCAAGGCAATGTACAATAAAACACCAAAGAACAGTTTAAAATTATTAAGAACACCACCCCACTCTAAACAAAATTAAAGTCTTCCAAAGCAGACACACATCATGGCAAAGACCCATCTATCCAGCTGGGAGAGCCAGTTTGACCCCACAGTGGTGTGGGACATTATATAGGAAATCAACAATATTATTATTGTTGTTGTTGTTGTTGTTGTTGTTGTTGTACCCCACCCATCTGACTGGGTTATCCAGCTAGGCACATGAAGGGGCTGAGGCTCACAGAGCCTTTTTGTAAAATTTTCTAGAGAAAACTCTGTGAGATCACGTCTTTTGTCCCTTGGCAGGAAACTATAACACTACAAACTTCCTGTCTGCCTGGGCACCCTCTTCTTTCTTCATTGTGCAGCTCAGAAACCTTACATGAACTTACATTTTGGACTTTTGTCTAAACCTGCCTTCATTTTGCTACTGTAATTGCTACTTAGAGTATGTAAGTAAATGCTACTTTTATTTCTTCACAAAACAATGTGTGTGTGATTGTTGTAAAGGGGAGAAAAGGGGGCAATGCCAGGAAAATCCAGTCTGCCTTAAAGCATCCTAGATCATCATTTCTAGAAGGTTAAATCAATCTTGTCTTAGCTTCCAAGTTTAAGCTGCAAAGGATAGCACTCTGCTGAGCTCACTAACATGAGCAAGGCAGGAGAAAAGCTAAACAATATATCCTCTTCTGGTGTCTAAATCCATTCCTACAAGTGGGGCATGATAAGAGCACAAGAACATAAAAAGAGCCTTGCAGCTGGATCAAGCCAAAGGCCTATCTTAGTCCAGCATCCTGTTCTCACAGTGACCGACCAGATCCCTTTGGGAAGGACCCGATCACAACAGCAGTCCCTCCAACTTGTGGATCCCAGCAATGGGCATTCAGAGGCACACAGCCTTCAACTCACAAGTCAGAACCTTTGAATTACATGAAACTTAGCTTAAAAAAAAATATCAAAATTACAAATCACCCAAGCAATAAAAGCAACTAAAGATGCAAGATTGGGACCACGGAAAAAAGCCCCGCTTCTAGGGCAGGCTACTCACTCTCAACAGGTAATCTTACAATTGCTTGGGCACAGAGACAAGTCTTTGCTTGCACTGCCAGCCCTGCCATTAGACAGAATGGGGCAATTGTCTCAGGGCGTGGGGCAGCAGTGAGCTCCTCAGCCATTGCCCTCTGTTGGGAACCAGAGCTATGTTTGCCGCAGGCCTATCGTATTTCTCCTAAACTAGCCCCAGGGGCTAGCTCAGTGGCTGAGAATTTTCATTGTATGCAGAAGGTAGACAGCATCTTAAAAAGCAGAGACATCACCTTGCCAAGAAAGGTCCGTATAGTCAAAGGTATGGTTTTCCCAGTAGCAATGTATGGAAGTGAGAGCTGGACCATAAAGAAGGCTGATCACCGAAAAATTGATGCTTTTGAATTCTGGTGCTGGAGGAGACTCTTGAGAGTCCCATGGACTGCAAGAAGATCAAACCTCCCCATTCTGAAGGAAATCAGCCCTGAGTGCTCACTGGAAGAACAGATCCTGAAGCTGAGACTCCAATACTTTGGCCACCTCATGAGAAGAGAAGACTCCCTGAAAAAGACCCTGATGTTGGGAAAGATGGAGGGCACAAGGAGAAGGGGATGACAGAGGATGAGATGGTTGGATAGTGTTGTCGAAGCTACCAGCATGAGTTTGACCAAACTGCAGGAGGCAGTGGAAGACAGGAGTGCCTGGCGTGCTCTGGTCCATGGGGTCACGAAGAGTTGGACACGACTAAATGACTAAACAACAACAACAACATGCAGAAGGTTTCAACTTCAATTTTTTCCAGTTAAAGCTGGGAGAGGCCACTCTCTGAAAGCTTAGACAGTCGCTGGCAGTCTGTGCAGAGATCAAGGCTGGTGAGCAGAGAGTCCAGTCCTGTTGGGGGCTGCTTCGTAGCAGTAGAAGTAGACTCCTCCCTCCGCACACCCTGTAGGCCAACTTTGATGGGCAAGCAGGGCTGCCTCTCCATCCATCACCTGCGAGATGATTGACAGGCGGGGGTTGCCCCCACCCACCTCTCAAAATTAGCCCATGGGGTGGGGAGGCAAAATAAAGATCTGGTCAAAAAGGCTCCTTGCCCAGTTTGTCAACAGTACTGAGCAAGATGAACCAAAGCTCTGATTCCATATACAGCAGAATTAAAGCTTATTGCGAATTTTTGATCCTGCTTTAGTTAACTGCAGCTTGAAAGGCTTGGAAGCAGACCTCACCAGGGAGTAAATAGAAGTGTTTTTCTTTGATCAAGAGACTTCATAGTATGTTGGGGATTTAATACAGCTATTTATTTACGTGGTGGCCTTTTTAAAAAAACAACAACAGCTGTTTGCGATTCTGTAAAGCAACCCTCCCCACTCTGAGGTTTCTTATTGCTACGTAGAACGCAAAACCATCCAGGAAAAAAGAGCCAGGGCTTTGAAGGCTAGGGCTAGCTGGCCCTGAGAAGATCTGGTTTGGAGAGGCAGGGTGCTCAGACCTGACCAACTGGCCGCAAACTCAGAGAGTAATTCCTGAAAAACAGTTCAGAAACTTGACAGGAAGAAAGGAAAAGGCTGACACTCATAAAGGGTGTGTGTGTCAAAATAGGCGTTTTCTTTTGTTTGCGAGTTCACCCTGGCTGGCTCTCCCTCAGGCAGAGAAAGGTGTCTGCTTCAGACTGCTGATTTGAGGTTTCATGAAAGGACAGTATATTGCTAGTTATTTGTTATTGTCTTTCATCTGCAAGGGAATTGGGTGAGGTGTTTATGGCATTTCTCATACCTCCTCTGCGTGCAATGTGCTTTAAAGACATAGTGTGCGAACGGTTTGGGACCAGCTTACTTGAAATTGTCTTTGCTTGCTTCTACGCTGTGTATTTTTGTGTTTTTATCTTGCAAATCCCCCTGCAACAGTTGGGTCAAGGGCGCCATAGAAATTTAATAAATAATCATTGTTGCTGGCATCTGTCTGTCTCCAGAGACAATGGAGGGCACCTCCGGGGGTGAAGTCAAACAATCGTGGTGCCTGCTGTGAGAATCGCGGCGCCTGCTGTGGCTGCAGAGGCCAGGAACCCTTAAGAGCTGCCTCTCATGTTGTTTTTGCTGCATTAGCAGCACTGAAGCGACTTCACCAGGGTGCAAGCCTGGGCAGTGTGTCTGGAGGTCCTGGGCTGCCCAGATGACAAGACAGTCCCCCCCACTCGGCTCACCAATGTATATAAAATGATTAATAAAAAAATAAGCCAGTCTCTCATGCTGACCAACCAACAGAAATCCACCCACGAACAAACCACTTCCTTATCTTGTGGGTTTGCAAACATGTGCACAATGTCCAAGCACAGGACAGGTCAAATGACACCCTCGCGCACCGTTAGCAAATGAAACGGCAAACCTTCCAACATTCACGTACCTACGGGACCGCCTCTCCTGGTATGCCTCACGGAGGACCTTAAGGTCCACAAATAACAACACTTTGGAGGTCCCGAGGCACAAGGAGGTTAGATTGGTTTCAACTAGGGCCAGGGCCTTTTCAGCACTGGCCCCGACGTGGTGGAATGCTCTGTCCCAAGAGACAAGGGCCCTGCGGGACTTGACATCTTTCCGCAGGGCCTGCAAGACAGAGCTGTTCCGCCTGGCCTTTGGTTTGGACTCGGTCTGACCCTTATGTTTCCCTCCCCTTGTGGTCTTGATTTATCGGCAATTTTAAAATGAGGCTGCATTTTAAATTGTATTTTAACTTGTATTTTAAATTGGTTCCTCCCCCTCTCCTTTCCCCGTATTATGTTTTTACTGTGATTTTATTAGTGTTAGCCGCCCTGAGCCTGGCTCTAGCCAGGGAGGGCGGGATATAAATAAAATTTATTATTATTATTATTATTCCTCAAATGAAAATCGGGGCATTTTTCAGTCCCTACCAACTGACCCTCCTTGACCCCACATGTTTGTGTCTCCCCCGCCCCCCCCCCGGCAGAGCATTTCCTATCAGAAGAAGGGCAAATGCACAAAGCTTTTTTTTTTTAAATCAAGACTCATTGCTCTCTGCTCTGCTCCCCCTTACTTCCCACCCGGTGGGCGCTGCCCTCTGTCTGCCCCTCGGAACCAGCACGTCATGTGGGGCTGGACCTCAGAGGTACCAGTCTCTCCTCCTCCTTGCCCCCCCCCACCAGCAGCTGCTATGAGCTGCCCCAGGAAGTAGGCTTTCAGCAGTAGCCCTGGAGAGGCCCTGGAGAGCCTAGCGCCAGCTCATCCTTTCCCCCCGAGCTCTGTAGCATTTTGTGCTGGCAGGGGAAATAGGGACATTCCTGGATCAAATCAGAAGCTGGGATGGCTTTCGTAATTCCAGTACTGTCCCTGGAAAACAGGGGCCCTTGGAGGGTATGAAATGGGCATGCCTGAACCACATGACAAGCCACTGAACTTGCAATAAGAGCAGCAAGAATATTATTGGCCCAAAAATGGAAGCAAGAAGAGTTACCGTCGATTGAAGAATGGAGGATGAAGTTAATGGACTATGCAGAATTAGATAAACTAACAGGAAGGGTTTGAAACCGGTGAGACCAGAAATTCACAGAAGACTGGAGTAAATTTACGGACTATTTGAAAAGTAATTGTGAAGAACAGATGACGTTTGTAGGGTTGCAAGAAGTTTTGTGAGGAGTATTATTAGAAGTATTGTAAAAATGGACAAGGGGCAGGATGATTTGTTAAGAGATGTAAAGGCAATATAAAGTTAAGAAATGCATAAAAAGTGGTTAAAATGGTGGATCATCAGAGGTGCTGATGGAAGTCCAAAAAGATTGTATAAGTGATAAGTTTTGTGGTACATTTTATAATTTATATGTTAAAATTAATAAAAAATATTATATAAAAAAAGACAAGCCACTGAACTTGTGGCCCTGAGTGGGTTTGGATTGAAAATGGAAATGTGATTACTTAGCATATTTTTTGTTTGTTTATACAGTATACATTTCCTCCTTCCCTGTCGAAACCTATAATTAGCAAGAGGGAAGGGACTCGCATGTAAAGAGAAGTTATTAGCTGTGAAATTACTTTTGGGAGGCCACTTCTCACCCCATAAATTCCCTTGTGTTTGTGGGAACCGTAGCCACCCTGGTCCTCCTGTTTTGAAGTAGCGTGGTGCCTTTCTACACCTCCGGTTCCAAATTCTGAATTTTTAAGATTCCAAATGTGAACACCAGATGCTAGCTTCTGAATGCATGCCAGGCTTTCATGTTTGAGTTCAGTGGGGGCAGCTGTTCGTTTTGTTTGTGACAGCAACTTTTGATGTGTGTATGTGCTTGTGCATAGGCTTCACTGAACACATTTTAGCAATTAAAAAGAAAAAGGTTCAAGTTGAGACTGAATAACCACTGCTCTCTATACAATGGTACCTTGGGTTACATACGCTCCAGGTTACATACGCTCCAGGTTACAGACTCCGCTAACCCAGAAATATTACCTTGGGTTAAGAACTTTGCTTCAGGATGAGAACAGAAATCGTGCTCCGGCGGTGCGGCAGCAGCGGGAGGCCCCATTAGCTAAAGTGGTGCTTCAGGTTAAGAACAGTTTCAGGTTAAGAACAGACCTCCGGAATGAATTAAGTACTTAACCAGAGGTACCACTGTATTCTGATTTTTGTCGTGATGCTTTCATCAAACCAGAGCAGAAATTAATGGAGAAGGGAGCTGGGGAAACTACGGTTGAATTTTCACATGCGAGTGCTCCTCTCAAAATTTTTTTTAGCTGAGTTTCCTGCATTTCAGGGGGTTGGACTAGATGACACTCACGGTCCCTTCCAACTCTACAATCCTATGACTCTATTTCAGACTTTGAAAATTCAGCAGGTTTCGAGGTGCAATCCAGGGAACATTTTCTGCAAGTCCATTATAACTAATGGAACTCATGAAAACGTTTTGAGTAAGTTGCAACACAAGGTTGATTATAAGTAGGCAATTTACTCAATTTCGCAAGCGACGTTTATTTTGTCTGGCTTTTAGAGCTGCTGGCTAGTCCGGTGATTCTCCTTTTTAATATGTGTGCTTTTACTATATTTTACAGCGTAATCCTATGCCTGTTTGTTTACTCCCTTCTGGCAGTACTGCCCCAGCTGCAGACCTAGGGAGGTCTGCCTGTTAGTGCTAAACATTTTATTGTTGTTGTTCATGTAGACTTTGAAACACATAATCACTATCTGAAATGTTTTAAACTCCCTGGGTGGTATACAACTAATTTTTACTCAGAGTTGACCCATTTAAAATTAAGGGATAATAATCAACGTTGGGTCTCCTTCCTTGGAGATTTTTAAGCAGAGGTTAGGTGGCCATCTGCCATGGATGATTTAGCTGAGATTCCTGAATTGCAAGGGGACCCTCAATGTCCCTGCCAACTCTACGATTCTGTGATTACTTTTAAATGGGTCTGCTATGAGTAAATATTTGAATTATGGTGCTGGATGAAACTCTTGAGAGTCCCATGGACTGCAAGAAGATCAAAGCTGTCCATTCTTAAGGAAATCAGCCCTGAGTGCTCACTGGAAGGAAAGATCCTGAAGCTGAGGCTCCAATACTTTGGCCACCTCCTGAGAAGAGAAGACTCCCTGGAAAAGACCCTGATGTTGGGAAAGATGGAGGGCACAAGGAGAAGGGGACGACAGAGGGTGAGATGGTTGGACAGTGTTCTCGAAGCTACCAGCATGAGTTAGACCAAACTGCGGGAGGCAGTGGAAGACAGGAGTGCCTGGCGTGCTCTGGTCCAGGGGGTCATGAAGAGTCGGACACAACTAAACGACTAAACAACAACATGAGTAAAGATTAGCTGAATGCCTCCCTCTGACTTTTGCAGAGCAACCCAAAAGGGAGAGGAAGGGAAGGAGAACCAAAGTGCCTTTTCCTATGTTCTGCTAGTGTCAGCAGAACAAAATGTGTGCTGTGCTGTGCTTTTCTTTCTTTTTCTCCCTGTCAGTACGCCTTTCAACCGATGTCGGCGACTGGGCTCAATAACTGGTTCTGCCCCGACTGAGCTAGGCGACTGGATCACTTTCAGAGACCTTCCAATCCTGGAAAACAGGTCCCAGTGCACTGGACTCATAACTGCATTGTGAGCACCAGACTCAGCAGAGTATGAAGAACGCGGAAGAAAGCTGTGAAGCATAACTTCTTTTATTTCTAATAGCTACTACAAACTAAAGAACTACTGGCTTGCATGAGTGTTACAGCTCCCACTCAGCCATCTAGTCACTACATAGATAAGACTCTCTCCACACACAGAGTCAGGCAGTCAGTCAGGAGCGGTAGAGTAGAAGATCAGGAGATTCTCGCAATGGGATGGGGTGAAAATATCAACACTCCCCCCCCCAAAATGGTTCCCCTCCCAAAATAAACCACACCAGCTGTAAGAATGGTGCAGTTTGATCCGTGTCCCAGGAGCGTGCCTGAGGAAGTGAAGAGCATGGGCTATTATTATTATTATTATTATTATTATTATTATTAATAATAATAATAGTGTTGGAAGCCAAGTCCACAATCCATATATCTCCTGTAGCGTCTCAATAAAAATGCTGCTGTTTGATGGGCTTTCCTTCAAACTAGGTAAAGGTAAAGGGACCCCTGACCATTAGGTCCAGTTATGGCCGACTCTGGGGTTGTGGCGCTCATCTCGCTTTACTGGCCGAGGGAGCTGGTGTACAGCTTCCGGGTCATGTGGCCAGCAGGACTAAGCCGCTTCTGGCAAACCAGAGCAGCGCATGGAAATGCCGTTTACCTTCCCGCCGGAGCGCTACCTATTTATCTACTTGCACTTTGACGTGCTTTCAAACTGCTAGGTTGGCAGGAGCAGGGACCGAACAATGGGAGCTCACCCCGTCGCGGGGATTCGAACCACTGACCTTCTGATCGTCAAGTCCTAGGCTTAACCCACAGCGCCAGCTTCCATCTAATTTGAAGATGTAAGATGCAGTTAGGCTGAGGCATGTGCACTCGAGACAGCCGCTGCGCATGTGCGGATAGAAGCGCATGCGCACATGTCAGATTCATGGAATGCTGCGTGTGTTGCAGGCCCCGGGAAGACAAATCAGGTAATGCACATCAGGCAAAGACATCCCTTTGGTGTGTACAGCATTGTAAAAATGAGACTTGTAAACACAGCCTTGCGGTGTTTGAAATCACAAATGTGATTTGGCCCTCCCAGAGGACTCTTGGCACAATGTCCCCCACCCCGCTTCCTTTTTGTCCTCTCTGATGTCATTGGGGCACCAGCTGCAGACCTTTCTGCAGCTTCACAGAGGAGGCGTATGAGGTCAGATCTCTCTCTCGGAAGACAGATCTGTCCCTCCTGTCTCAGAGAGGGAGATCCAAAGAATCCTATGTCCCTTTCCCCCCACTGTGGCATGCTTCCAGGGACTGCAAAATTGCAACCTCAAATGGCTTTTTTATCTGTGATTTGCTTTGTTTGGATTTATTGCTTTTCTATTTGTTTAAACTCACTTGGAATCATTCCCAGAAGGCAGTATGTAACTATTTTAAAGCAAAGAAGTAGCAAAAAGACACTTGGAAATGAATCCCACCCTGTTCAGTGGGACTTACTCTCGTCCCTAGTTTAGGATTGCTGCCAGAAATTGCAGTCCCGAAAGCATCTTCCTGGAAATAAGCCGCATCGAACTCAGTGCAACTTCCTTCCAATATGAGATCATAGAGTTGTAGAGCTGGAAGAGACCACATGGGTCCAATCCCCTGCAATGCAGGCATCTTTTGCCCAACGTGGGGCTCGAACCCACAACCCCGAGATCAGCAGTCTCATGCTCTACCAACTGAGCCACTATAGGATTTCACTGTCAATTTGCTTTTGTTATAATAAGCTACCAATAGGTTTGGGAATGAGATGCACCATACGATCTTGTACACCTGGCCACCCAGATGTTTTTGGACTCCAACTCCCATCAGGTTGCAACCAGCATGGCCAATGATCAGGGATGATGGTTCTTGTAGTCTACCAACATCTGGAGAGCCACAGTTCACTAAGCCCTGCCTTACATCCTTACTCAGAAATAACCTCTATTGAGGTCAGTGAGACTTGCTTCTCATATCTGTGTATAGTACTGCAGCCTAAGAAATCATGGACTCAGAATTGTAGAGTTGGAAGGTAAAGGAAAAAGGTAAAGGACCCCGGATGGTTAAGTCCAGTCAAAGGCGACTATGGGCTTGCAGCGCTCATTTCGCTTTCAGGCCGAAGGAGTCGGTGTTTGTCCACAGACAGCTTTCTGGGTCATGTGGCCAGCAGGACTAATCTGCTTCTGGGGCAACAGAACACCTTGACAGAAACCAGAGCGCACGGAAACACCGTTTACCTTCCTGCCACAGCGGTACCTATTTATCTACTTGCACTGGTGTGCTTTTGAACTGCTAGGTTGGCAGGAGCTGGGACAGAGCAACAGGAGCTCACCCCGTCGTGGAGATTTGAACTGCCAACCTTCTGATCGGCAAGCCCAAGAGGCTCAGTGCTTTAGACCACAGCACCAGCCGCGTCCACGAGGGTCCATGTGCTGAGGACACGCAGCTCTGTTTCTCTGCATCATCTGAACCAGGCGTGGCTGTGCAGCTTCTGAACTGGCAACGGGATGGATGAGAGCCAACAAACTGAGGCAGAGTCCTGGCAAGACACAAGCCCTGTGAGCATGTCCAGGAGCCAGATCAGTTGCCAGTTCTGGATGGGGTTGAAGGCACAGGTTTGTAGCTTGGGGGTTAGTTTTAAATCCGTCTTTGTCACTAGAGGCCCAGGTGACCTCAGTGGCTGCCTTCGACCTAGTCTGGCTGCCACACCAGCCATGACAATTCCTGGACAGGGTTAATGCAGTGTTCATGCACTAAATGCCCCACAAGTGCCCTGGAAAAAATGGGACATCCTGTTTCTTTCCGGCAAGAGCATGGTGGCCATTGTGGGCGCCATGATTTCGGGCTGAGATCTCCCCCCCCAAAAAAACCCTCCCCAAATATTTTAGGCTCCGTGATCATGTGACTTGTGCAAGGCTGGGAAAACTTGCATCCTGGTTTTGAGGCTCAACATATTGGGGTATGGGCCTAGCCAGGATGTATGTTATCTGCAATGGTCAGTGAGTTAAGTATTTTTATTTATTTACTTGATTTGGGGGGACAGGCAGGCAGCATCTACGTCGCTATGTGGAGGAGATACCACTGCCGTCATGTAACAACTTTGCTGAGGGAATTGCATTTGGCTCAGGCCAAGCTAAGAGCATCTTAAACTGCCTTATGCAGAGTCAGACCACTGACCCATTTTGGCTCTTCTTGCAGTAATAATAATAATAATAATAATAATAATAATAATAATTTATTATTTATTCCCGGCCCATCTGGCTGGGTTTCCCCAGCCACTCTGGGCGGCTTCCAACAAAACACTAAAATACAATAACCTATTAAACATTAAAAGCTTCCCTAAACAGGACTGCCTTCAGATGTCTTCTAAAAGTTTGGTAATTATTTTTCTCTTTGACATCTGGTGGGAGGGCATTCCACAGGGCGGGTGCCACTACCAAGAAGGCCCTCTGCCTGGTTCCCTGTAACTTGGCTTCTCGCTGTGAGGGAACCGCCAGAAGGCCCTCGGCGCTGGACCTCAGTGTCCGGGCAGAACAATGGGGGTGGAGACGCTCCTACAGGTATACTGGACCAAGGCCATTTAGGACTTTAAAGGTCAGCACCAACACTTTGAATTGTGCTTGGAAATGTACTGGGAGCCAGTGTAGGTCTTTCCAGACCGGTGCTATGTGGTCTTGGCGGCTGCTCCCAGTCACCAGTCTAGCTGCCACATTCTGGATTAGTTGTAGTTTATATACCAGTTGTTGGTATATAAGTCCCTATGCAACTTAGGACCAGCTTCTCCTCCTGCCCATTTTAGCCTCACAAGAACCCTGGGAGGTAGGTCAGGTTGAGAGGCAATGACTGGCCCAAGGTCACCCAGTGAGCTGTATGACCAAGTGGGAATTTGAACCCAGGTCTTAGTCCGACACTCTAACCACTGCACCACACTGGCTTTGACCTCTGGTCTCCTTCCCTCCACCCCACACGGAGTGCTGCCGGGGGGAGAGGGGCCAGGACTCAGGAACAAGGCAGCACTGCCTTTCGCGCCCTGTGTCCCCCCTCAATGGGAATGTGCCAAAAATGGGGGGCTGAGTTGCTCCCGACACACAGTTCTCTAGTTAGGCGATCTGTGCATGCTCACAGCAGTTTCCACGTGCTGTTCACTCAGAATGTGACACCCTCTGACTCTTTAACACCAGTGTGTTTACTGTATGGTTACCAGACGTCCCTGTTTCCCGGGGACAGTCCCTGGATTTACAAATCTGTCCCTGGACAAAATCTGTCCCCGGAATGTCCCCGAATTTATATTTCAAGTGTTGTAGATTTATTCGTAGGGAATGAATGTTGCATGATTGGTTCAACGGCACAAGACATATCATATGGGGTCTTCTGGCGAGGCAAAATGGCGGGTGCCACGGCAGTGAGCAGCTCCTGAAGCCAGCTAGAGCCAACTGTGCTACCAGGCTGGCTGTGGGCTGCTGAGACTGCTGCCGCCACTGCCGAGGGGGAACCGGGGACTGGGGGAACCACTGATCCCCCCATGACCCAAATTGAGCCGGGAGCGAGAGCGCCTGGCCACCCAGTTGACCACCCAGCGGTGCTCCGGGGCCAGGAAAACCCCAGAGCCAATGCAGGGAGAAGGAGGAGAGGAGAAGAAGAAGGAAGAGAGAGAAAGAAGAAGGAGAAAAAAGAGGGGAGCCCCAACCTTGCCACGCCATCACCATCGCCACCGCTGAGGAGGAAAGGTAGGAGAGCACCGGGAGGGCAAGGACATGTAGCTGAGCCCAGGCCCGACCCGAGCCTACTCCATAGCGGCTAACACTCCAAGGGAGCCCAGATTAAGGCCGCACAACAGAGGAGACCACAGAAGAGAACAAATTACTTCTCGATTTTTTTCTCTTAAAAAAAATGTCCCTGGATTCTTTGGAAAAAATTTGGTAGCCTTAGTTTACTGAGCAACGAGAGAAAAGCACACTGCACATGCTCAGGGGCACTGTGTCCTTGGTGATTACTTTCCATGGGCTCTTTCACAGCCCAAGGAGCTCAAAGGTTCTAGGGATGGTCTCTCTGGCAAATGCCACCTATGAGCCAGGATGAGTTCTTGCTGCCTCCTGTTGGATTCGTCTAGCAACCCACTAGCCCACCAACCCTGGAACCCAAATTCTGTCCCTCTGCGCAAAAGCCCTAATTTCACCTGCTTTGATCTACGGGATAATTTGCACAGCACTTTCTAGTATGTGTGCGGGATCGATGGCGCAGCTTCCAAATCCTACTGGTGTTAGGCTCAGAGATGGAACATTATTGACTGCCTGCTACATGTTAAAACAATATGAAAATGATATGCAGGTGGTACTTAACGCCAAATAAAATGCCAAGATCTATAAAACCATGTCCGGTAAATGTTGGAAATGTAAACATACCTAAGGGTCTTTTTTAAAATATGTGGTGGATGTGTGAAAAGCGAAGGGTTTGGGGGAAATGGCACGCAATGAAATGAAGAAAACGTTAAAATTGGTTGCTACCAAAAAACGTGAAGCTTTCCTTCTAGTGGTAATAGGGACGGGTGTCCCACAAAGAGGATAATTAAACTATTTATGTACACAACAACAACAGAAAATGGAAAGAAGGAGAAGTTCCATTCAAGGAAGAATTTGGCTCTAATGGACTATGCAGAAATGATGAAATTGACAGCAAGGGTAAGAGATCAAAATTATGAACTAGAGTGGAGACCCCCTTTGGGTTATCTAAAGGAGTATTATAGCCAGATTAAGTTGAAATTTAAGTAGCGGAAAAGAACTGACAGCAATTGTAAGAGAGGAAATAAGTATGAGATATAAATATGGTGCATAAGGCAGCAGGAAAAAGGGTGAGAATAGAAACATCATGGAGGTAAGGGTGGAAAGTCAAACCGTTAAGAGAAATATGTATGAAAGTTGAAGTTAATTTGTTAAAATTTCTGAAATTTAACACAAATGTCAATAAAAAAAAAAGAGAGAGACGGGGCATTATTTGAACCTCGGTTTCACTGCGGCTTACGCTTGCTTTCAGTGTACTGTAAATGTCCCAGCCTCGGAAGACGTGAGGTAACAGAAAATCATGTCTAAATACAGTGGTGCCCCGCAAGACGAATGCCTCGCAAGACAAAAAACTCGCTAGACGAAAGGGTTTTTTGTTTTTTGAGCTGCTCCCCAAGACGATTTTCCCTATGGGCTTGCTTCGCAAGACGGAAGCGTCTTGCAAGTTTGTTTCCTTTTTCTTAACACCGTTAATACAGTTGCGACTTGACTTCGAGGAGCAACTCATAGAACGCGGTGTGGTAGCCTTTGAGGTTTTTAAAGACTTTGGTGATTTTTGAAGCTTTTCCAAAACTTTCCCGACACCGTGCTTTGCAAGACGAAAAAAATCGCAAGACGACAAAACTCGCGGAACGAATTAATTTCGTCTTGCGAGGCACCACTGTAGGGTCCCACAAGTCCATCTGCTTTCGCTTCCCGAACTTCCTTTTGCCCAGGAACTGCATTGGAGAATAGCACTGGCTTCTTCTGGTTTATGAGGAAATTGGTGGCTTTGTGACAGCAGCACCGGCCAGTCCCCCCTCTCATTTTAGACCTATTTGCATAAGCAGCAACCAAACCACCTCACACTAGGGGCAAACATTTTCCTGTTTGGCAAACTGCGAAGCAAAGAGACGAGACTGAATGTGGACATACAAAGGGGAGCAACAACCAGTCAGCAAATCTTTCCCTAGACACATTCCCATCCTTTGGTAGTCATTTGGCTAGCCATAGTTATTATTTAGAAATCAGACCAATCATAACCAAGATGCTTTGAGGCCGACCCGCCAATCAAGAATAAAAAGAGGGTCTCCTGTCTGTCTTCTGCATTAGGCACATGTCAACAGCGATATGTTTATCAAATTTGGTTGCTATAGATCTATTCCTTATCTTTAAATCAAAAAATAAGAATAAACAGCTTTTTTAAAAATCAAAGTGATGTGCTTAAAACAATTAAGAACACACAGATGCAAATCAGCAAAACTAGTATACATAGCTACATTATTTATTTTGGGGGGAAAGTGGTAAATTTTTAGAAATGTTGCTTGATCTGTTAACTCTTTTCACACCCAACAGCTCACAAAATTTTAGAATCACACATACAGCTGTGTCATGTAGCCCATTCCCGCAACACAGGAATATTAATATTAATATTAATATTAATATTAATATTAATTTATTTGTACCCCGCCCATCTGCCACTCTGGGCAGCTTCCACAAAGGCCAAAAATACACTAATATGTCATACATTAAAAACTTCGCTGAACAGGGCTGCCTTCAGATGTCTTTTAAAGATAGGATAGCTGCTTATTTCCTTCACATCTGAACGGAGGGTGTTGCACAGGGCGGGCACCAGTACCGAGAAGGCCCTCTGCCTGGTTCCCTGTAGCTTTGCTTCTCGCAATGAGGGAACCGCCAGAAGGCCCTTGGAGTTGGACCTCAGCGTCCGGGCAGAACGATGGGGGTGGAGACTCTCCTTCAGGTATACTGGACCAAGGCCGTTTAGGGCTTTAAAGGTCAACACCAACGCTTTGAATTGTGCTCGGAAACGTACTGGGAGCCAATGTAGGTCTTTCAAGACTGGTGTTATGTGGTCTCGGCAGCCGCCCCCAGTCACCAGTCTAGCTGCTGCATTCTGGATTAGTTGTAGTTTCGGGGTCACCTTCAAAGGTAGCCCCACATAGAGCGCATTGCAGTAGTCCAAGCGGGAGATAACCAGAGCGTGCACCACTCTGGCCAGACAGTCTGTGGGCTGGGAGGGCCTCATCCTGCGTACCAGATGGAGCTGGTAGACAGCTGCCCTGGATACAGAATTGACCTGCGCCTCCATGGACAGATGTGAGTCCAAAATGACTCCCAGGCTGCACACCTGGTCCTTCAGGGGCACCGTTACCCCATTCAGGACCAGGGAGTCCTCCACACCAGCCCGCCCCCTGTCCCCCAAAAGCAGTACTTCTGTCTTGTCAGGATTCAACCTCAATCCTGCCCACTGCCGCCCTTGGGTGGGCTCGAACCACCAACCTTTGGGTTAACAGCCAGATGCACTGACCCACTGTGCCATTTATGCTAGGGAAGGTTCCCTTCTGGAGATGTTTGGGTAAGATCCTTTCTCCTGTTCTTGTTGCTTCTTTCTCACCCCTCCAAAAAAGCCCACACTCCCCCAAACCATGTTGCACAGAACCCACATAATTTTGGAAGCTTTCAGAAACATCTGAACGGTGCTGGCGCGATAGCTGGCACCCCACAAAAGACTCGGATACTCACGGCTGCTGCGCAGACGGTTCCTGGCTGAGCTTGCTGATGTAGTTGGCTGGCACGTAGCCCATTACTGGGTCCCCCGAAAGCCGCCTTGCTAAGACATACCCTCCCTCTTCTTTGAGGACGCAAAGTTTCTCTCCTCTGTTGACGCTCAGCTCATCTGCACTCCTGGCCGTGAAGTCGTAGAGCACCCCAAAGAGGGAGAAAGCGGGTTCTTCGGGGTCGGGATCCAGTGTGGGGTGTAGGGATCCGGAGACCGGCTCCCAGAACTCCAAAGGACAGCTGTTGGAAACCCTGTGGGGCAAAAATTTGTTCCAGAAGGTAGTGAGGAAAGCACAGTGTTTCCTGATGAATTGGTCCATCCCCTTCCTTTTTTTGCAGAATTTCTCAAGGAGGGTTTAGCTTTGCTATTCCAAAGGGCTTCTCAAAGGTGACACAGCCTTCATCGCTGCCCTCTTCTTCATCAGCTGCCTGTATCCAGGGACGCCGTGAGCTCCCCTGCTCCCCAAACCGATAAGAAGCAATATGAGATGCCGGCTTGGCGCTGGAACATCTGAGTGTGCTTCTAGGCTCTTGGGAACGCCCAAAAGTGAGACCTGAGAATCTGGTGTAACTTGTTCGCTGCAAGCCACAGTCATGGGTTCAGGCCTGCCAGCACATCCGCTGAGGGCAGTTGCAGCTGGAACTCACTTAATTACCAGCTCTGCTCATGCTCTGAGCACCACTCAAATTAGCACTCATTTCCACAGTGTTGCACAGAATGTGTTTAAATTCACTTCTCTCTGGCATGGTGCCAGCTGTGTCATTTTCAAAGCAGAATTCGAGGGCAAACTCGAATTCTGCAAATTCTAAGAACCTTGGCCGGAAGAGACATAAACAGTATCTTAAGTGTTATCACACATCCCATCCGCTCTAATTTTTGTCAATGTGATGGTATTATACTACGTGCCCTAAACATAGTCTCCAGGTATGCGTACCTGTGCACAAATGGACAGCATCTCAAAAGAACTATGAGCAGGGCTGTGGATGAAGTGTGCAGAATATTCTGTTATACAAATTCTAGATGCATTTCGCTTGTGTGCTTTGGCTCCTGTCACACTGCATCATGGGCTTCGGAGTCCATCGGAGACTGTAAAACCCATGATGCAGTGTGAGTGTACACACATTGGAACATATAAGATCTGAGCAATATGCATTCCCGCCCCGCACTGTGTCCTTAGGTCACACTTCCAAATGTCATGTGAGCTTTGCATTACGCAGAAGTTACATTGCGTTCAATGGGATTTACTCCCTAATAAGCTGATAGTGCCATCCTATAGATGCCCACTCAGAAGCAATTGTGCCACAGGGGCTTTCTACAAGGGGAGTTGGCCTAAGCCAGGCTTCCTCAACCTTGGCCCTCCAGATGTTTTGAAACTACAGTTCCCATCACCCCTGACCACTGGTCCTGCTAGCTAGGGATCATGGGAGTTGTAGGCCAAAAACATCTGGAGGGCTGAGGTTGAGGAAGCCTGGCCTAAGCCAACAAAAATGAACCATGGTTCTACTGCCAATGGTCCATTTTTGTTGACTATGGCTTCTAACTACCCCCCGATACCCCCCAAAATATCAGGATGGATAAAAGAAAGAACTTATTTACACGGGGCATAGTTAAACCTATGGAACTCACTGCCACAGGTCATCAACTTGGTTGGCTTTAAAAGAAGATTGGACAAATTCATGGAGAAGAGGGCAATTGGTCTATGCTCCTGCCTCCAGCTCAGAGGCAGCAACACCAGTTTCTAGAAACTACAGGAGGGGAGAGGGTTCTTATGGTCGAATCCTGCTTGCTTATTGGCCACTGTGAGAACAGGATACTGGACTAGATGGGCCAAAGGCCCGATTCAGTAAGGCTCGTCTTATGTTCTTTTTTTTCTTTCTGTTTTTAGTTTTTTTTAATTAAAGATTTTCTTGTTTTACAGAAGTGTGTGTAATATCTCTTGTATTTTTTCCATGTAACATTTTTACAAATCAGTTTCATTTGTTGAGACATTGGGGGGGGGAGGGGGGAAGATGGGGGGGGTCGGGTTGCGATGCCTCTGTTTTGCTTAATATATGTGGGGTTTTGTGTCAGCTTCGCTTGTGCAGGTTCTCTGCTGTTCGCTTGTGTTCCTTAGGTGGTGAGAGAGGTTGGGGTTGGCCTAGGGTGTGGCTGTTCATTTGCGGTTGGCTGTGGTGGTCTTTGTTTTCATGTGTGAGTGGGGTGGGTGGGTGTTTTGGATTAGGTTAGCCATACTGATTTGTATGCTGTTGGTGGATTATTGTCATTGTCTTGCTGGGCTGTGTATGTGATAAAGGGGAGGGCTCGTCTTATGTTCTGATGTTCACCTATTAGAGAACACGATTTAATAGTGGGAGAGAGTTTTTGCAGACCTTGCCCATGCCTGTTGTGGGACGTCTGTTTATAATCTGAGGATTGGGTGTGTGCGTAAACCACCGAGCTACCTGAGCTTGCATTTCACAGCTTTGCTCTGTAAAACTGTAGCGGATCCTTTTAAGTTACAGGTAGGTAGCCGTGTTGGGCTGCCGTAGTTGAAACAAAATGAAAAAATTCCTTCCAGTAGCACCTTAGAGACCAACTAGGTTTGTCATTGGTACGAGCTTTCATAGAATCATAGAATCCTAGAGTTGGAAGAGACCACAAGGGCCATCGAGTCCAACTCCCTGCCAAGCAGGAAACACCATCAGAGCACTCCTGACATATGGTTGTCAAGCCTCTGCCTAAAGACCTCCAAAGAAGGAGACTCCACCACACTCCTGGGCAGCAAATTCCACTGTCGAACAGCTCTTACTGTCAGGAAGTTCTTCCTAATGTTTAGGTGGAATCTTCTTTCTTGTAGTTTGGATCCATTGCTCCGTGTCCGCTTCTCTGGAGCAGCAGAAAACAACCTTTCTCCCTCCTCTATGTGACATCCTTTTATATATTTGAACATGGCTATCATATCACCCCTTAACCTCCTCTTCTCCAGGCTAAACATGCCCAGCTCCCTTAGCCGTTCCTCATAAGGCATCGTTTCCAGGCCTTTGACCATTTTGGTTGCCCTCCTCTGGACACGTTCCAGTTTGTCAGTGTCCTTCTTGAACTGTGGTGCCCAGAACTGGACACAGTACTCCAGGTGAGGTCTGACCAGAGCAGAATACAGTGGCACTATTACTTCCCTTGATCTAGATGCTATACTCCTATTGATGCAGCCCAGAATTGCATTGGCTTTTTAGCTGCCGCGTCACACTGTTGGCTCATGTCAAGTTTGTGGTCAACCAAGACTCCTAGATCCTTTTCACATGTACTGCTCTCAAGCCAGGTGTCCCCCATCTTGTATTTGTGCCTCTCATTTTTTTGCCCAAGTGCAATACTTTACATTTCTCCCTGTTAAAATTCATCTTGTTTGTTTTGGCCCAGTTCTCTAATCTGTCAAGGTCGTTTTGAAGTGTGATCCTGTCCTCTGGGGTGTTAGCCACCCCTCCCAGTTTGGTGTCATCTGCAAATTTGATAGAACTGAGCATGCACACAAAAGCTCATACCAATAACAAACTTAGGTGTTCTCTAAGGTGCTACTGGAAGGAATTTTTAAAATTTTAGATCCTTTTAAGGTGAAGACTGCGAGAAATTTGCTCGAAGCACACACAGAGACACCACACACAGAAATCTATTTTTCTCCACATATAGTTTTATTTCCAATAATGTAGAAATCCAGAATTTTTAAAAAGCTTTTCTTGTCGATCACCTTCCCACGGTCCAACTTTGGGTTTCTGGCTGAAGGAAACTGGAGGGCGGAATCAGAGAGGCGCTGCATTGCTAAGCTAAACAAATTACACCTACGGGTTTCTTGGTTTGAAACCTTGGCACAAGCAAAAAAACCCCATGCACGTGTTGCATCTAACAAATAATTATGTGCAGAGTAGTGAGATATCTCCACGGCTTGGGCCATCTCTCTCCTGGGAGGAAGGTGCACCTGGTATTTTGCCTGGCACAATCCTATTCTTCCTGCTCCCTAGCAGGAAGTGATCGCATACTAGAAGCAGCAGTATCAGGGATGCAACAGGAAATGGACTGTGGTTCTAAGATCACCCAGTTCCTCTTGACACCGTCCAGCCACTCAGAAGAAACTAGAATTTGTGGATAGGATCCACCTCCCTAGCACCCCCTGCTGGCAGTGTCCTCAGAACATAGCTGTCAACTTACAGATTTGAAAATAAGGGACCAGCAGCCTCGAAAATAAGGGATCAGCAGCCAAAATAAGGGATTTTCAGAGCACAGGGAGGTTCAACTTCTGAGCCCCTCCGATCCAAAGGCAGAAAGCCCAGCCAGCAGCCAAACGAAGCCTCAAGCAGTGGTTCCCACAGTGCAGCAACCCAGCAAAGGGGATGCAGCAAGGAAAACTACCGTCACCTCTCCACTGGGAAGCGCTGAGCAAAGGCAAGTCCCCAGGCAACGCAGCCGATTTGATCGGCACAAGGCATGCAAGCTCCACCCCCCCAGTCGTTCTTAGACTCCTTATTGGGTGAGCAACGCAGCCAAGCAACACAGTTGGAGCCTCCCTCCTCCCTGGCCGGCAGGGAGGGAGGGAGAGGAGCTGCTTCCTTTGAAACCTGGGAAATTTAAGGGACATCATCAATAAGGGACAGCAGTGGGACATGGCACTGGGATAAGGGACTTTCCTGCCAAATAAGGGACGGTTGACAGCTATGCCTCAGAAATGCCAGAATTTGTGCCCATGTGCAATAATCGAGGAATACTTAACACAAGGGCTATTTTTCTTGGAAAAGAGGTGCCGGAACTCACCACGAACGCCTCCCTTGTTCCTCTCATAAGTCTCGAATTGTAGGGGAATGAACACAGTAGGAACATGTTAAGGTAACCGGGAAAGGACAAATCAGTAATCAATAAGCTCAATGCTTTTAGCACCACCGCTTGCAATCCCTTTTAGCTGAAGAGTCAAAGGCAACCTGAACCCAAGAATTACAATGAGCATCATAAACTAACACAGTGGATGGAGCATAGCACCATTTTTTAAAATAGCACCTCAAAATAGACAGAGCACCACAAGTCCAGGTCAAACCCTGGTTTTGTATTTCCAGGATAAGCTTCAGAGTAAACTCGCAGTTGCAATAAATACAGAGGAGACGTCGCACTGGTTGGAGCTTCAGCAGCAAAGTGGCACAAGGGGTTGGCGTAAGTTTACCAGATTTTTTTCAGTGAATCCGGGGACACTTTTCAACTTCAATAGGAGTGGCAGGATTTTGTCAGGGGACTGATTTGTAAATCTGGGAACTGTCCCTGGGAAACAGGGACGTCTGGTAACCTTAGGTTAGCGTGTATTGTAGCTAACCAGAAGGTTGGTGGTTCGAGCCCAACCAGGGATGACTGCGGGCAGGGGCTCTGCATTGCCTCTGGGCCACCTAGCAGGATGCAGATCCTACCTCTTAGATAGCTTCCATGGCACAATGCCACAGTTATGCCTTCTCCCCAGCCACCGCGGAGAGCAGGGGACAGGAAACTTTTTCAGCAGGGGGCCGGTCCACTGTCCCTCAGACCTTGTGGGGGGCAGGACTATATTTTGAAGAAAAGAAATGAATGAATTCCTATGCCCCACAAATAACCCAGAGATGCATTTTAACTAAAAGCACACATTCTACTCATGTAAAAACACCAGGCAGGCCTCACAAATAACCCAGAGATGCATTTTAAATAACCCTATAACCTCCAAACTCCACAACATTCTACTCATGTAAAAACATGCTGATCATCTGCAGGCCAGGTTTAGAAGGTGATTGGGCCAGATCCGGCACCTGGGCCTTAGTTTGCCTACCCAGAGTATTGCTGAGATGGTGCCTAGAAAGTCCTAGCTCCCAGGCAGACCTGCAATGTCCAGGATTATTTCTGGAAAACCATGACAGCTTCATGGTTTAACTCTGTAGCGTCAGCATGGGTTTAGGATGTTGACCCAGGGAATCCCTACGTTTGCGCATTGGCTGCAGGTGCTAAGAGAGAAGAAGGCAACTTGCTCATGTTCCCATAGGATGGGGAATGATGCAGCAGGCGGGGTAGGGGGAAATCGGTCCCTGCTTCCGTGCGCTTTTGACTCAGGTTTCTTAATCACCACCCGTCTGCAGCAGGCCAGGGCAGGCTGAGGGCTCTTCCAGGCGACCAGTTTATTGAGCATTCATCCTGACTTGTTTGCAGAGAGATTAGACCAAGCCTCTGTACACATTATGGGCTTAAATGCAGCTGCGTTGCTTCTTTATCTCAATTTGGATCAAAGGTGGTTGGGGGGGGAGTCTTGGGTTGCCATGTGTCCTCTTTTTCCAGGACACATCCTCTTTTTCAGGGGCAAAATTTATGTCCGGGTAGATTTTTTTAAATTTGTGAAAATGTCTCTGGCTATACTTTCTGGATGAGACATAGACATAACTGGTGGTTGAAGACTTGCTTTCCTCTTCCCTTCTCCTGCCCCCTCAGCAACATATCACAGCTTCTAGAGCCTACATATAGTAAAAGTAAAGGTAAAGGTACCCCTGACCATTAGGTCCAGTCGCGGATGACTCTGGGGCTGTGGTGCTCATCTCACTCTGTAGGCTGAGGGAGCCGACATTTGTCCGCAGACAGCTTCCGAGTCATGTGGCCAGCATGACTAAGCTGCTTCTGGTGAATCAGAGCAGCACACGGAAATGCCGTTTACCTTCCTGCCAGAGTGGTACCTATTTATCTACTTACACTTTGACGTGCTTTTGAACTGCTAGGTGGGCAGGAGCTGAGACTGAACAACAGGAGCTCACCCCGTCATGGGGATTTGAACCGCCGACCTTCTGATCGGCAAGCCCTAGGCTCTGTTATAGTAGGGTTATTTAAAACGAGGGTGGTCCTAGCATCCTCTTTTTTGCTCGTCAAAATATCTCAACTCTAAAGTCAGCAAAATGCAGTATTTCATAAGGAATGGCGGAAGGGGATTTCTGCCAGCATCATGTGTACGCTACTTCCCAAACCAGTGGCGGGACCGCACTGATTGCAGAGAGGACAGAACTGTGTTCACAGCTCAGATGTTGTTTGTTGGCACCTGTCTGTCTGATGTTGGCTATTTAATGCTCTTTCACTCCGGGGAGATGAGACAATGTTGGCTGCTTAATGCGCATTTGCTCCAGTTTGCTTGTGGGAAGGTTAGATGGCGCCGACGCAAAGTCAGCGTTATCCCTCGCCTTCCGGTATATAGAATCATAGAACTGTAGAGTTGGAAAGGACATCTCCAGGCAGGGCTGAGAGAGACTCCTACCCGAAAACTGGGGAGCCACTGCCAGTCAGCACAGATCTACAGGGACCAATGGTCTACGGCAGCTTCCTATGTTGTGCCAGAGCTCTCAATCAACTTTGATTACTCAACCTGAACTTGCCAGTTTGTGAATGAAACAGCAACTGTCTGGAAGCGCCCTGAGATTGTTTGGGCAGGTTACCGGGCACCTGAACGGAAACCAGATCTGCATCAAAGAACAGTCTGCGGAGGTGCTTTGCTAATGAGAATCCTGCTCACCACACCATTGGCGATGTGCTTTCCATGCGCCAGAAGCCTCCCGAAGTTTTGGGGCGGGTGGAAGTGTCTTTTGTTGAAAAGGGCAGAAGCAGCTGTTGGAATGTAGCCCAAGGAGAAGCAAGTTCAGCATCGGCTCAAGTATCCAAGCGGGTCTCCACCCGGTTTGGGGCGTTTCTTTCAAAATTTCACCCGTAGCTTTGGAGCGATTGTTGAGAAGAAGGAGCCTAAGGGAGAGTTCAGCCTACCTTTTCCGGGCTATGCTTTTCAACAAGGCTGGCTTTGCACCTGGCATGGCGAGGGGCTGTTTCTGACAGACGTGCCCCTTCTTGTTGGATGCCGCTGTCAAAAGCTCTTCTCGGTTCATCAGTTGCTCAGCGATTCGGATTTCTTCCCTGCCACCAGCACGTGTGCTCAGCAAACATTGGCTTTGCTCGGGCCCCAGGTGGGTCTTTGAAGACGGCGCTTTGTGACGGTGCCTCTGCGAAAGGTTGAATTGGGCTGGGTGGCTTGCAAAAAATGGGAAGGAGATCTTCCCCGGGGTGACGGGATTTATTCTAAAGCAGCGCTCACCATTCTTAGCCAAGCGCTTTAAAGAGAGGAAGCGATGCCCTAGGAGATTCCAGGAGGAAACTGCTCTGGACAGCGTAGAAGCCAAGAATAAGTCATTCCTTGATGAGGCAAGGGGAAGTATGGAGATCTGGGGAGTCTGTGGCTTATCAGTGCAGTGGGCGAGGGGTTCAGAGAAGTGCAGTAGTTCGGAGAGGCATGACCAGATTTCGACGAACCCGCGGTCGTAATGATGCTGACACGGAGGGTCTCAGTTGAAGGAAAACAGGCTTTTCTTGGGGGGGAACAGCTAGTGCATCTTGACGACAGTTCCCAAAACAGCCTGAGGAGGACAAAACAGGGCAGAGGTGCATTAAAACTGAAGGCAGGGAGTTTTTTAAAGGTGGCACATTAAGTCCTGGTTGCGGAGCAAAGAGCTGGTTCCTTGCAGGCTGGGAAAACCTGCGTTTGCCGCTCTGCTGAAGCTGACAGCCAGAACCTTTGGCCCTGGCGAGACCCACAGGACACCTAAATATGATGCTGCAGTTAATTTGGGTGAGCTCCAAAATATTAGTAAAGGTAAAGGGACCCCTGACCATTAGGTCCAGTCGTGACCGACTCTGGGGTTGTGGCGCTCATCTCGCTTTATTGGCCGAGGGAGCCGGCGTACAGCTTCCGGGTCATGTGGCCAGCATGACTAAGCCACTTCTGGCAAAACCAGAGCAGCGCACAGAAACGCCGTTTACCTTCCCGCCGGAGTGGTATCTATTTATCTACTTGCACTTTGATGTGCTTTCGAACTGCTACATTGGCAGGAGCAGGGACCGAGCAACGGGAGCTCACCCCATCACGGGGATTCGAACCGCCAACCTTCTGATCGGCAAGCCCTAGGCTCAGTGGTTTAACCCACAGCACCACCCGTGTCCCTCCAAAATATTAAATCATGTTAATTAAACGTAATTGTATTTCAAGAAATACCAATCCCATTGGCAGGGGTACATCTCACTGATCAACCGAATTCTGCCTGGAGATTTTTGCTTGCAGCCCTGGAAAATTTTTTTTATTTCCCCCACATTCCCCATTTAAGAAAAGCTGAAAATCAGGGGAAGGTGGCTGAGCCCGAGAAGCGTCCTTCTGCACCAGACCAAATAGCTCAGTCAGTAGAGCATAAGGCTCTTAATCTCAGGGTTGTGGGTTCGAGCCCCAAGTTGGGCAAAAGATTCCTGCATTGCAGGGGGTTGGACTAGATGACCCTCGTGGTCCCTTCTAACTCTACAGTTCTAGGATTCTATGAAATGCCTGTCTAGGCCATCATTCCTTCTCCAGTGGCCAGTCAGATGCCAGAACCCATAAGCAAGGCAGAAAGGGTGACAAGCACACAAGAATACAGGTTTGCTACCGCAGAAGGTGCTCTTGAAACTCCAGCTGCCTTCAGCAACTGTCCCATAACACACACACAACACACACACTCTTTCAGCATCGATTTTCTCCTCACATTAGCACCGTGCAGAGTGGGTCATCTTTTCCTCAAGGCGGCTCCACTCTTCTGCTGCCAGCCATATCTGGCTGTGGTGCTTCTTTGATGCTGTCTCAGTTGACTTTCCAAGCCGTTAACCTGACAGCGGAGGAAACAAGAGAGTTCATTAACGGATCAGCAACTGCATTCAAAGACAGGGGTGCAATCTGTGGCCCTCCAGAGATTCTTGGTCTACGTTTGGCGCCAGCTTGGCTGCAGGAGTTGCTGAAGGAGGCATACAAGGCATCATCCAACTGCCTTAGGGATTTGTGTAGGGTTTACTCCTCAGCCTTTTCTCCACCCAAAGATCTCCCACCAGGCAGCGGAGGTTTAGGACCAGAATTTGCCTTCTCCTACTGTTATGTACTGAGTTGAATAGGATTCAGAATGCAGCAGTCTGATTGGTCCTAGAACAATAGGATTCAGAATGCAGCAGTCTGATTGGTCCTAGAACAATAGGGTCCAGAATGCAGCAGTCTGATTGGTCCACAGGAGCCACCCAATCCAGCTCCAGGTGGAAGTGAATCCGCAACCTGATTGGCCTTCAGGTGAATCCCGGAATTAGCCAATCACATGGGGTCTAAATAATGTTTTGTTTTTTTTTTTTGCAAGTAAATTTTTATTCAGAATTTGTATAAAGAAAAGAAAAAAGAACTAACAAATACAAAAATAAACATTTTAACATAAATTATTCATCCTATTTTCATACTATACAAAAAGAAAGCATACGTTCATACAAAAAATAATAATATAACCGTTAGGCTCTCCTTAGCCTTTGACTTCCCTTCACCCTTTTGGTAAGTATCAAATAAATCCCGGGTTGCGTAATTAGTTTATTAAAGTTTATAGTTATTAGCTGATAAAGTTTTTCTATTACCGCCAGTTCCTCCTATATATCCGTTCCAATATATTTCCAAAACTTACTCCAATTTTTTTGAAATTTCTGGTCGTCTTGGTCTCGTATTCTGCCTGTTAATCTATCTAGCTCGGCATAGTTAATCATTTTGACCTGCCAGTCACTTATATTAGCAGTTTTATTTTCCAGTTTTTGTGCCAGCATAATTCTTGCGCTGTGGTGGCATAGAGAAACATTTTTTTTATCTTCATTTTTTATTTCTTACCCATTATTCTATAAAGGCCTCCCAGGTCTCTGGGGGAAAAGTGTATTTAAAACTTTTGTCATTATAAATTGCTTCCAAAAACCTTCACCTTGCTGCATTGCCACCACATATGGTAGAGGTCCTCCACTCATCACATTTCCAGCATGTCTTATTTTCTGATCTATAGATTTTAGCCAATTTTAATGCAGAAGATACCATCTATAGAGCATTTTCCAAACATTTTCCTCAAACCTCGTACAGGCCGTAAATTTAATGTCTCTATTCCACAATTTCAACCACTTTCAAACTTCTGATGTTATAAACTGAAGTCAATTGCCCATTTAACTATTGCCTCTTTGACTTCCTCTCAAGCCTTTAGGTGCCATTCCAGTAATATGGTCATATATTAATGTGAATGTTTTGTTTTTTGCCTTCTATTATTTCTATATTGAATTTGATTTCTTGTCCTCAAAGCTCATTTTATCTTGTTTTAGCATATCATTCAATCTGATGATATTGTAGCCAACCGGTGAATTGATCCTTATTTCATACGGTTTAAGTTTAAGCCCTGTTCTGATTTTCTTAGCAAACTGTAGGGTGGCTGTCTTCCTTCCATGTTATTTTTTTATTGTTAAGACCTCTACTGTGAAATCCACTGGTGTTTTCTTCGAGAAGGTTCTTATTTCTTTCCCCAGACCTGATATATTGGTCCCCTGAAAACAGTGGTTTAAGAAAGCCCCTGTGGACTTTCACCTTCACCAGAGATATGCGTGCCACCCATACCGGTTATTGAAAACCTTCTAAATCCAGGTCTCTGTTCTCCAATTTTATCCAATCTTAGCCAAAGTAGGCACGCTGCTTCATAATATAGGCTCAAATCTGGAAGGGCAAACCTCCTCTTTTCCTTTTTATCAATTAGTATGCATTTTTTAATCCTTGGTCTTTTCCTGCCAGATGAATTTCATCAGGGTTCTCTGCCATTCTTTACATTGTTTTAGACCTTTAATAACTGGAAGAGTTTGAAATAAGAACAACATCCTCGGCAAAACATTCATTTTAACCACTGCTATCTTCCCTAAAAAGGTATTATGTAAATAATGTTGGCTAATTCTGGGATTCTCCTGTAGGCCAATCAGGTTGCGGATTCACTTCCACCTGGAGCTGGATTGGGTGGCTCCTGTGGACCAATCAGACTGCTGCATTCTGAATCCTATCCTATTGTTCTAGGACCAATCAGACTGCTGCATTCTGAATCCTATTGTTCTAGGACCTATCAGACTGCTGCCTTTTGGATCCTATTCAACTCAGTACATAACAGGTACCACCCCTTCCCTAATACCCCATACGCTCAAAGAAAAGAATGCACTTTAAATGTTTGGTGGGTACACAGCCAAAGTCTACCTTTCTCTGAAGAGAGGAGATGGTTTTTTCCAGTTCGTTTACTAATGCCTCGAGGTCCTCCTCTGAAGGGGGGTTCTGAGAAGGTTCCTCCGGCCTGCAAGAAAAGATAGAAAAAAGAGGTGTGGCTTCATTTAAGGGGTGTGTCCAGGTGACTGCTCTCTCCTGCTATGAGCAAGGCAAAGGGATGCTGAGGTTGGGTAGGATGTGCAATCGGCCTTCTTCAAATTTTGAACCTCAACCGTCTTCTCTTTCCTTGCCCTGTTCCCCAACCCGCTGCCCATTGTCCCAGGAAGCACGATAAGGTGTTGGTTGGGTCCAACATACAAGGTCCAAAAGTTCAAAACCTTGAACACCTGCCTGCTTTGAAAATGCTTTCCAAGCAACCTGGCACAGAATTATCAGAGCGGGTGCAACTTTGGGCATTTTAGGCAGCAGCAAGAAAAAGGGATTTGGGGCATAATATTCAGATTTCAGATTGGGAAAGGTTATGGAAAACAGATTTGAAATTCATGGCGGAGGAGCGTCTCCACCCCCATCATTCTGCCCAGACAGTGAGGTCCAGCTCCGAGGGCCTTCTGGCGGTTCCCTCGCTGCGAGAAGCCAAGTTACAGGGAACCAGGCAGAGGGCCTTCTCAGTAGTGGCACCCGCCCTGTGGAACGCCCTCCCACCAGATGTCAAAGAGAAAAACAACTACCAGACTTTTAGAAGACATCTGAAGGCAGCCCTGTTTAGGGAAGCTTTTAATGTTTAATAGTTTATTGTATTTTAGTGTTTTGTTGGAAGCTGCCCAGAGTGGCTGGGGAAACCCAGCCAGATGGGTGGGGTAAAAATAATTTTTTTATTATTATTATTATTATTATTATTATTATTATTATTATTATTATAGTGTGCTGTACGCTGAAAGAAAAGTTGTACTGCTGGTATTTAACTCCTAGTAAACTAGCAAAAAAAAAAAAAAAGGGACATGGGTGGCGCTGTAGTCTAAACCACTGAGCCTAGGGCTTGCCAATCAGAAGGTCGGCGGTTTGAATCCCCGCAACGGGGTGAGCTCCTGTTGCTCAGTCCCTGCTCCTGCCAACCTAGCAGTTTGAAACCACATCAAAGTGCAATTAGATAAATAGGTACCCCTCTGGCAGGAAGGTAAATGGTGTTTCCGTGCGTTGCTCTGGTTCACCAGAAGCGGCTTAGTCATGCTGGCCACATGACCCGGAAGCTGTACGCAGGCGCCCTTGACCAGTAAAGTGAGATGAGCGCCGCAACCCCAGAGTTGTCCGCGACAGGACCTAATGGTCAGGGGTCCCTTTACCTTTACCTTAAACTAGTAAAAATATATAAAACAAGTACAAATACCTGCTGGAAATGTAAAGAAAAAGAAGGTACCTTTATCATATGTGGTGGTCATGTATGGTAATAAAAGCTTTCTGGGAAATGATATATAATGAATTGAAAAAAATGTTTAAAATAACTTTTGTAAAAACAACAACCAGAAGCCTTTCTATTAGAAATTATAAGTACTGACATTCCAAAGGAACAGAAAAGGCTCTATATATGCAACAGCAGCAGCATGGATGCTATTAGCCCAGAGATGGAAAGAAGAAAGAGTCCCCTACCAGAGAGGAATGGCAAACTAAGCTGTTAGACTACGCTGAAATGGCAAAACTGACTGGAAAACGTACTGGGAGCCAATGCAGATCTCTCAGAACCGGTGTTATGTGGTCCCGGCGGCCACTCCCACTGGACCAAGGCTGTTTAGGGCTTTAAAGGTCAACACCGACACTCTGAATTGTGCTCGGAAACTACTGGGAGCCAATGTAGGTCTTTCAAGACCGGTGTTATGTGGTCTCGGGGGCTGCCCCCAGTCACCAGTCTAGCTGCTGCATTCTGGATTAATTGCAGTTTCCGGGTCACCTTCAAAGGTAGCCCCATGTAGAGCGCGCTGCAGTAGTCCAAGCGGGAGATAACTAGAGCATGCACCACTCTGGGGAGACAGTTCGCGGGCAGGTAGGGTCTTAGCCTGCGTACCAGATGGAGCTGGTAGACAGCTGCCGTGGACACAGAGTTAACCTGCGCCTCCATGGACAGCTGTGAGTCCAAAATGACTCCCAGGCTGCACACCTGGTCCTTCAGGGGCACAGTTACCCCATTCAAGACCAGGGAATCCCTCACACCCACCCGCTCTCTGTCCCCCCAAAACAGTACTTTTGTCTTGTCAGGATTCAACCTCAATCTGTTAGCCGCCATCTATCCTCCAACCGCCTCCAGGCACTCACACAGGACCTTCACCGCCTTCACTGGTTCTGATTTAAAGGAGAGGTAGAGCTGGGTGTCATCTGCATACTGATGAACACCCAGTCCAAACCCCCTGATGATCTCTCCCGGCGGCTTCATATAGATATTAAAAAGCATGGGGGAGAGGACAGAACCCTGAGGCACCCCACAAGTGAGAGCCCAGGGGTCTGAACACTCATCCCCCACCACCACTTTCTGGACACGGCCCAGGAGGAAGGAGCGGAACCACTGTATGACAGTGCCCCCAGCTCCCAGCCCCTCTAGACGGTCCAGATAGTTTCCAGGTGTATGTTACTTTTCTAAGCTAAGTCTGCCTTCTGGGATCCAATTGTGAACAGAATGTGATTAAACTCTTTTTATACTTTTATAGAAGACTGTGTCGTGTCTTAACTTTTATGAGGGAATAAAGGGAAAATACCAGAACAGTTATTATAGAGACTTTAGCGAGCCTGAGCAAACGCATCCGCTGAGTTTAAAAGGGGGAATGTTACTCTGCTAACCCTCTGCTGCATCCCTGAACATTCCCACAAAATAAAATAAAAATGATTTGTGAAGAAAAAGTGACCAGTCTGCAGCTCACCTTAGATCTCCAGGCTTGGCTTTGGAAGGGTTTTCTTCTGGGTAGCTGAAGCCGGAAGATCTTTTGCTTCGGAACTGTTGGGAGAGGGCCCTAAACTGGCCCCGGGTCCTGCAGTCTGGGGGGAAGAGGAAGGAGTGAGTTTAAGGCAGCAGGGTTTGAAAAGCTCAGAAACACTGGAAGAATGCTTATATAACTCTGATTCCAAAACAAGACAGCCTGAGCAGCTATAAAATTTTCGACCCATATCTCTGTTGAATGATGATTATAACCTTTTTGCAAATATATTAGCAAATAGGTTGAAATTGGTATTAAAAGAGGCAATTCATTATGACCAGGCTGGATTTTTGCCAAAAAAAAAACCCTCATGGAATATGCAGAAATGGCGAAACTTACCTGAAGAAAAGGAAATCAAGATAACAAACTTTAGAATGGAAATGGTTTATCAAATATTTACAGATAAATTGTAAACAGATAAAAACACTAGCAGGATTATTGTAATAACCTGCAGTTTCGCAAGGGTATATCTGCGGAACAGGTAATGAAATGAGTAAGTGAAAGGAATTTGGATATGCAGAAGATATTTTTTTTAAAAAAATTAAGGAACCGCAGAAAGAGGGGGAAGGAAGTCAAATTTTGAAATGTTCAATTGATTGTAAAATTAATCAAATTAATCAAATGTACAAACTTGGAAAGTATAAATAAAAACTTTAAAAAAAACTAAAAAATTGAAAAGCTCTGAAACACATGCCCACCCCCAAAATATTTATCATTTTAGTGTTCCATGTTTAGCGGCTTCTGGGCAGAGGGAGGTGGAGGGTGATGTGTTTAGGCTTCATTTCATCTTGAAAAGGAAGCCTTAATATTATTTATTTATTTATTTATTTATTTATTTATTTATTTATTTTATTATTATTCAATTTGTATACCACCATCTGTAGATCTTAGGGTGGTTCACAGCATAAAATGAAGATAACACAAAATACATAAAAAAATCAAGAACAAAACACACCAATAACCTCGCTCACCCCACCTCCTCCCACAAACACACTGAAAAGGATCTAGGATGCAGGCCAAAGGCCGGGTTGAAGAGGACTGGCGCCTGAGGAGAGCATTCCACAAATGGGAGCCACTACAGAAAAGGCCCTGTTTTCGTGTTGCCACCCCGCTGACCTCTTTTGGAGGAGCCACACAAAGAAGGGCCTCAGATGATGATCGCAGGGTCTGGGCCGGTTCCTATGGGGAGACACACCTCTCTAATAATTTGCTTACAAACATCCAGGTACGGCGGATGTGTATGATTGTGTGTACAGAAATAAGCCTTTAGGCAGGTGGCACTTGCCACAATTAGGAACGTGAGGAGAAATTTGATTCATTTCACATTTGGAAGCAAATCTCTCCAATTTCAACTTTTCAAAACAGTAGGCATTTTACCATTAGAAATTTAAAAAGACATAAGACCACTGTTCATGTATGCCACCACAGCAGCAAGAATTCTTGTGGCAAGGAAGTGGAAAAACGAAACAAAACCGACAATCTCAGATTGGCAGATACTCATGTTAGAATATTTACAACTAGCAAAACTGACGGAAAGAGTTAGAGGAGTATTGAACCAGAAACTATTTGGAGAATGGAGAATATTTAAGGATTATATAAAATCATATTCTACCAACCACACCATATTAGCAGAACTTGAGTGATACTTGTAAACACACAAATCTGTTTGTGGAGTAGATGGGAACAATATTAAAGAATATAAAACTGTGCGGAAAAAACAACGACAGTATAAACAGTACAATGAGAATGATTGGAAGACTTGTTTTGTCAGAAGTCTTTTTTATTTAAGTGTTTATTTAAGTATTAATTAGGAAGATTAAGTTTTTTTATGCACATAAATCTGTTTTTTTCTTCTTTGTTTTTTCTGTATTTTCCTATTTTTTCTTAATTGTTTTTTCTTTAATTTTCTTTTTGTAGTATGAGATTGTCAATTCTTTGTATATGTGTGTAATTTAAATTAATATTGAATAAACATCCACAAACTTTTTATTGATAATAATCAGCTAAATAGTTTGAGGATCTATACAACTTTGTAACATGCAGAAAACAGCATTCTTAAAGAAACCAAAGACTGGAACTGAGGGAGGTCGGGGGTGGGTGTGGGTGTGGATGGGTTTTGTGTGGGAGGGGGGAGGGAGGAAAAATGGAGGGGGGGGAAACAAGGATGGTATGTTTTTGGATAATATGTCTTGTTATAATTTTGAATACAAAATAATTAAAAAAATAATAATTTAAATTAATAAAGATTATTTTAAAAAACGAAACAAAAACAAAACCCACAATTCCCCCTCCCATCCTCATCACGTTACCTTCGCAGCAGTCCTGCCAGAGGCGCAGATCCACCTCCGGGATCTCATCGCAGCTGACCATGCCCTGTGGGTAGGCTGCGACCCGGAAAACATCCTTCTGCAGCTGCCTGATGTGGTCGCTGTTGTCGCAGATGATGCGGGCGAGAGACACCTGCCTTATCTGCGTGAGCTGGGCAGGGCTGAACACACCTGGGTTCTCGTACCAAAACCTGATGGGGGAAATTGCACGCAAGAGCATCAGCGATGGACCTGTAAACAGCAAGCAAGGGATGCGAGGACAAGGTGGGGAGCCTTTGGTCTTCAGGAAGAAGAAGAGTTTGGATTTGATATCCTGCTTTATCACTACCCTAAGGAGTCTCTGAAGCTCAACATAAAAAAAAACGAAGATCATAGCAACTAGTCTCATCACCTCTTGGCAAATAGAAGGGGAAGAAATGGAGGCAGTGAGAGATTTTACTTTCTGGGGCTCCATGATCACCGCAGATGGTGACAGCAGTCACGAAATTAAAAGACACCTGCTTCTTGGGAGAAAAGCAATGACAAACCTAGACAGCATCTTAAAAAGCAGAGACATCACCTTGCCAACAAAGGTCCGTATAGTTCAAGCTATGGTTTTCCCAGTAGTGATGTATGGAAGTGAAAGCTGGACCATAAAGAAGGCTGATCGCCGAAGAATTGATGCTTTTGAATTATGGTGCTGGAGGAGACTCTTGAGAGTCCCATGGACTGCAAGAAGATCAAACCTATCCATTCTGAAGGAAATCAGCCATTAGTGCTCACTGGAAGGACAGATCCTGAAGCTGAGGCTCCCATACTTTGCCCACCTCATGAGAAGAGAAGGCTCCCTGGAAAAGTCCCGGATGTTGGGAAAGATGGAGGGCACAAGGAGAAGGGGACGACAGAGGACGAGATGGTGGGACAGTGTTCTCGAAGCTACCAGCATGAGTTTGACCAAACTGCGGGAGGCAGTGGAAGTGCCTTGTGTGCTCTGGTCCATGGGGTCACAAAGAGTCGGACACGACTAAATGACTAAACAACAACAAGGAGTCTCAAAGCGGCTAACATTCTCCTTTCCCTTCCTCCCCCGCAACAAACACTCCGTGAAGTGCGTGAGGCTGAGAGGCTTCAAAGAAGTGTGACTTCTTTGTGGAAGTCGTTAAAACTGCAGCTGTTTTATAAAGGATTGTTATTTTGACTGGAGTGTAATTGGAATTAATAAGATTTTGGAACGCAGAAATAAAGTAAATCATCAAATCATTAATTCTAGCACGCAGGGTGCCACCTAAATTGCATAATTTGGCATCTGAACAATTGGTATTAATGATTGTATTATAATTTGGCATTGTTATAATGAGGCTATTATTGGATTATTGTAGTTGAAAACTAATAAAAATTATTATCAGAAGATTCTTAATCTCCGGTGTACAGGCTGGTAAATGTGAAATGTTTATGCATGTAGGTTTATTGCAGCACAAGCACAGCAGCAAGTGTTTAAATAGGTGAATGAGATATCACTATAGACAAACATGTCTATAAACAAACAAATATCTTACACTATACGTCAGCCATACGTCTGGGATTTCTCAGACATATCCAGGATTTGTCTGTCGGAAATAGCGTCCGGGTAGAATAGACGAAAATCAGTAAAAATGTCAGGGAAAACCCATGTGGGAAGTGATGATTTTTTTTGGTGAATTTCCTTAAAAATAGGTCAAAAACTTCATAAACCTTGACATCTGCCGGGAGGGCGTTCCACAGGGGAGGTGCCACTACCGAGAAGGCCCTCTGCCTGGTCCCTGTAACCTCACTTCTTGCAGGGAGGGAACCACCAGAAGGCCCTCGGCACTGGACCTCAGTGTCCGGGCTGAATGATGGGGGTAGAGACACTCCTTCAGGTATAATGGACCGAGGCTGTTTAGGGCTTTAAAGGTCAGCACCAACACTTTGAATTGTGTACAGAAATGTACTGGGAGCCAATGAAGATCTTTCAGGACCGGTGTTACGTGGTCTCGGCAGCCACTCCCAATCACCAGTCTAGCTGCCGCATTCTTGATTAATTGCAGTTTCTGGGTCACCTTCAAAGGTAGCCCCACATAGAGCATGTTGCAGTAGTCGAAGCAGGAGGTAACCAGAGCATGCAGCACTCTGGCAAGACAGTCTGCGGACAGGGAGGGTCTCAGCCTGCGTACCAGATGGAGCTGGTAGATAGCTGCCCTGGACACAGAATTAACCTTCACCTCCATGGACAGCTGTGAATCCAGAATGACTCCCAGGCTGAGCACCTGGTCCTTGGAGTCATAGAGTTGGAAGGGACCTGGAGGACCATCTCGTCCAACCCCCTGTAACGCAGGAATATGAAGCTGCCCCATATGGGGAACTGAACCTACAACCTTGGCATTATCAGCACCTTGCTTGAACCAACCAAGCTATCCAGTTGATTTGTGCTGGTGGACTGATTGCCATTTCCATCCTGAGCCCTGGCGACTGAGGGCTGTGACTGTGTGCTGCTCTCCGCTGGCAGGGAACAGCTGTTGTAGGAGTAGATCACGACTGCAACCTCAACCACCCCCAAAAAGACAAGCCCCCAAGGATCTAACGAGGAGACTTCTAAACCTCGAGGGTTCCAAATCAAAAGATGGAACCCTCGGATGGAATGGCAAATGGACTTGACTTGGCTTACCTGTCTCCATCTCGGAGTCTTCGAAACTGAGTCGCTAATAAGCACATGAGTGTTGGCCCCACTCTGGTGCCAGGGACAAGGTCCTCCACCATCAGGGCAGGAAACAAGTCGATGTTCTTTGTAATTCCATATAAACTGCAGAGGGAGAGGGGAAAGAGATCAGCTGGAGGAGCAAACGTTTGCCTGGTGTGTGTGTGTGTGTGTGTGTGAATGTTGTGGCCCTGCAGATTTTGCTGAAGCCCATCTCCCATCAGCTGGGATGCGGGTAGCGCTGTGGGTTAAACCACAGAGCCTAGGACTTGCCAATCAGAAGGTCGGCAGTTTGATTCCCTGTGACGGGGTGAGCTCCCGTTGCTCGGTCCCTGCTCCTGCCAACCTAGCAGTTCGAAAGCACGTCAAAGTGCAAGCAGATAAATAGGTACCGCTCTGGTGGGAAGGTAAACGGCGTTTCTGTGTGCTGCTCTGGTTCGCCAGAAGCAGCTTAGTCATGCTGGCCACATGACCCGGAAGCTGTACGCCGGCTCCCTTGGCCAATAAAGCGAGATGAGCACCACAACCCCAGAGTAGGTCACGACTGGACCTAACGGTCAGGGGTCCCTTTACCCTTTACCTAACTCCCATCAGCCCCCAACTACCACGGCCCATGTCTGGAATGATGGGAGTTGTAGTTCAATAGCATTTGGAGGGTCACAGTCCCTTCCCCATACTGACCTAGGAGGGTATCTGCGTTATGGCTTAAAAAGACCTGAGGGGAGATCGTAATTCTGTGAAGGGCCAGGGTGCCTCTAGTGGAGAAGCTGAAGTACCCACACCAAAGTGCAGTTCCCAGGATTCTTTGGGGGAAGCCATGACAGATCAGGGCCAACAGAGGCATTACAGACATGGCGGATCTGTGTTCAGATCTTTCGGCCTTATTGTTGTGGCGGCTGCTGCTGCTGCTGCTGCTTTGAAGCCAGTGTGTGGGGATCCATGTTTGATCAGAGGGGCAATGCCCGGGTAGGAGGTATTCAGCCCTCCCCCATGTTGTTTCTCTAATACAAATTGGGAACAACTGTGGCTCAGTGATAGGGCATCTGTTTTGCATGCATAGGGTCCCAGAAGCACAGTCTGAAACTCTGGAGTGTCCATACAGGTACTTGTATTTTGCTCACTATGTGGAAATGGTGTGTTGGGGGGATTAAATAGTCCCCTCCACCGCCACAGACTCTCTGATAAAAACAGTCTCCCTCCTAGAAAAAATTTTTTTTTTAAAAAGTAAGGATATCTAATCACCAGTCTCTCCTGTCACATCTGATTTGACTCTAAAAAAGGTAAAGGACCCCTGACAGTTAAGTCGTGGCCGTGAACGACTCTGGGGTTGCGGCGCTCATCTCGTTTTACTGGCCGAGGGAGCTGAAGTTTGTCTGCAGACAGTTTTTCCGGGTCATGTGGCCAGCATGACTAAGTCGCTTCTGGTGAAACCAGAGCAGCGCATGGAAACACCATTTACCTTCCCACCGGAGTGGTACCTATTTATCTACTTGCACTTTGACGTGCTTAAGAACTGCTAGGTTGGCAGGAACTGGGACCGACCAATGGGAGCTCACCCCATCGCGGGGATTTGAACCGCCGACCTTCTGATCGGCAAGCCCTAGGCTCTGTGGTTTAGGCCATAGCGCCACCCGCGTCCCTTGATTTGACTCTTAAAGCAGCATAAAACCAGGATAGGTTTGCAGTGCAGATATACCTTGGGCAATCTTCAAGATACTTGCAGTGAACTGAGTCAACGCTTGCTATGGACTGCAGCCTGACATGGAGGCATGTAAACACTACAATCCCTTTGTGTGTTGAGTTATTCACTTCTGTTGCTAAGGGCAATATAATTTGTGAGCCTCAAGAGGCTAGAGGACTTTGACTCCCATCAGCCTCTCCTAGTGGGGCCTACGATCAGGGAAGATGTGAGTTGTTGCCCAGCAAGATTTGGAGCCACAGGTTCTCTGCGCCTGACCTAGAGCAACAGAAGTAAATGGTCTCATGTGCTGGGGCCAGGGGGAGAAACAGGAGGGCTGGAGTTTGGTTGTTGCACAAAGGAGACACCTAAAGGAGGGTTGGTTACAATTGTCGCTGACCTCTCTGGTGCCCTTTGGCCGGGCCACCTACCTCCTGAGCTTCTCCCTGATCTCAAGGTTCCTAATCTCGTTCTTGAGGTCATCAAACTCCTGCGCGGACGTGAGGTTGCAGAAGACCCGGAAATCGTTGTAAGGGGGGATGCCGTGGTCGCGCCCCCTCTGGATGTTGATGGCTGCCAGGTCCAGAGAGACGGAATGGGCCATGGAGAAGAGCTTCTCGGTCAGCTCCATGTTCAAGAGTTCGGAAGGCACTCGCATTTTCCCGGGGACCCCGAAGAGTCCGCGGAGAAGCGGGTCGATGCCGCCTTCCTGGGTGATCCTGAACGGCGAGAAGAAGGCCTTGTGAAGAGGGAGGTGGCCCTGCTGGATGGGCTGGAAAGTTTCGTTGAGCCGGTAGAGGAGAGGGTTGATGAGGGTGTGGCCGAAGCGGAAAGCGGCCGTGGCGAAGGCGTTCAGGATGCCGGCGTTGGTGTTGGGCTCGTAGCCTTTGTACTCCCCCAAGACCTTCATCCCGGCTTCCCCGAAGATCTTGGGCAACCAGTGCGCGTACGTGATGTGCTGCATCTCGGCCCCCACGATCTTCCGAGCCTCGTGGTAGATGGTATCCCCGTCCCAGTGAGGGTTCAGGGCCAGGAGCTTGGCGGCCACGCGGTTATGCTCCCGGAACCACAGGGTGTGCATGGAAGTCAAGGCCAGCTGCTCATTGGCTCGGTGGTCGCCGGCCAAGAAACACGGGACGGGACTCTCACTCTCGTCCCGCATGCATTCAGTGGGAGGCCCCACGGCGAAGGGGAGGAGGTGCTTCCCGGAGCTGGGGACCACCTGTCCTTGCTTCAGGAGCCCCCTCTGGTTGCTGAGGTCCCTCAGCTCCAGAGACTCGTGTTCTGTGCTCCCGTAGACGTTGGATGCATCGATGAACGAGGTGAGGTGGTTGATTTGCTCCCGGGCGTACACGGAGTTCATCAGCAGAGAGGTCATCCCGCTACCACACACGGGGCTGGAGCGGACGAAGAACATGCAGTGTCCGTTCCTCACCCGCGGGTCGTTTTCCGGGATCATGACGGAGAAGCAGGGAGGGTCATTGGTGCACACCTGGCTGCACGACGCTCCATCGGAGAAGCGCGCCATGCTGATGGCCGCCACAGTCTGGTCCATGTCGTGGTCCAGGAACTGTCCCCATTGCATCAGCATGTGAGTGAACTGGTCGTCGGGCGTGATGGTCTCCGTGCCAATCATGGCGGTCGAGACCAAGCGAGGGAGCGGCAGGGGGAGCTCTCGGGAGTCGTCGGCCAGAGAGAAGCCTCTGGGCAGGTTGAACCCGTTCTGGTAGGCCGGCTTGAGCAGGCGCTCAAAGGCGGTGAGGGAGGCTCCCCACATGGGGTGCTGGAGGTTGTTGCACGAGCCGTCGTGGGTCCGGTACTTCCTGTGGAAGCAGATGTCGGAGCAGTTGGGGGTGCGGCGGTGGGCAGAGCAGCCAGACAGGTTGGCGATCATGTTCAGGTAGTGCGGGGAGACCAGGTCGTTGTAGCGGTACCCTGAAAGACCACTCCCAGAGCGTTACCCAATGGATTAGAATCAGAACAAGCATTCGCTACAAAACGAATTCCTTTTTCTAACATTGCAAATCTCACAACCAGATTGTGAGGCTATTAATTCCAGGATATCTGGAACCTTCCCTAAACCCTCGCAGGTTTATATTTATTTTTAAAGTTTCTAGCAAATGCCTAGTCCTTCAGAGGGAAACTCTAATTACATATGAGCTACCGTACTGGGCCGAATATAACCTGCACCTGCAAATAAGCCACACCTTCCAAATTTTGCAGCTTGGGGGAGGCTTGGGAGCCGTGGATGGGACAGACACCCTTGCCCTGCGCTCCCGGGCTGCTCTTGGGGGGGAGAGCCATACCGCTTTGCCGGGGGCCTCCCCTGTCCCCCCCTTTGTTCCAACAGCTTGGGGGAAGCTTGGGAGTGGTGGGTGGGCTGGACGCTGTTGCCCTGCACTCCTGGGCTGCTTCCTGGGGGGGGGGGCGGAGAGCCATGACGCTTTGCCGACGGTGTACGGACGCAAATATAAGCCACACTTTAACTTTTCACGATCGAAATTTGGGGGGAAAGTGTGGCTTATATTCAGGCCAATACGGTATGCCTTCTTAAGGCAAAGGAATGACCACAGAGAGGTCCTTATAGCCTTCCCTTTAACCCAAAGGTTTCTAGGCCAATGAACATTTTGTTCAAATGCAACCCATTCTCAGCATTTTATTAGAATGCAGTATACGTCCAAATAAAAACCAGAAAAGCAATTCTAGGATGAAATCTTAGCAGCAGACACACCAGTTCCTTAACTTAGTCTCCTGTACATCTGAAGGGGGGGAAACACACGATTTAGCACTGAAAAGCTGCTAACATGGGGGACAAGCAGTCCTCTAGTGGGAGGGTTTTCCATATCTAGGGCGCCACAACAGAGACATAACACATAACATGCTCTCATGGTTTGTTGCTGCTTCTCAGTGGTGCCTTTATTACCTGTTCCGTTCATGTCCACAACCAAGCCTTGCTGCACATGTTCCTGGATGAGCTGCAAGGTCCTTTCGAAGATCTCTCCGGCCCTAGCTGTCTCAATGGTGTATGGATCCCGCGGGTAACGGAAAAGAGCCAGCAATTCATTAGGAGTTTTCGGTCGCCTGTCCGGAGAGGACAGAAAACCATTTTTAAGCGCCATCGCATTTTCCAAAAGCCTCTGCATTATCGGCTGAGATACTAATAGCAATCCGAGTTCTCAAACGTGCTGGTCCTTATTGCAGCCAAAATGGCTCTGTTCCTCCTGTCCACAAGAGGGCGATATCAGCAGGCTTGGGGGAACCCCAAACTATGCAGGGGGATAAACAACCTTTCTACTCCAAAGAAAGTCCCATTCAGTTCAATGGGGCTTCCTTCCAATTGAGTGGGTATAGGATTATAGCCTTGGAAGTGGGGGGACGACGACCCCCAAAGCTACCCAGGGATGACTGAGGATGCTCAGTGGTCACACAATGCTGGCTGACTATTGGGGCAGGAGACAGAAAACTAGGGGAGGAGAGTGGAATGGAGTATCCTGAAAAAGAGCAGGCCACAATGGAACAGTTTGTCACAGCTCCCACTTGTTACTTTTACTTTCAGTTAGGGAAGCGAGAAAACGGCAGTTTCCGCTTCCACTTGCATCCGTCACAATCAGCACCGATTCTGTTCTGCTGCAGTTTGGTTTCTGACAAATACTGCATTCTTTGTCTTGCTGTCTGCTATTCACTGTGTGTTACACAACTGTTTATGTTCATTTCCATGCTGAGGAAACATGAAAACTACCGTACTTTTCTGTGTATTAGATGAGGTTCAACCCCCCAAAAAAAGAATGCTAAAAAATGGGGGGAATGCGCTTTATACATAGTCAGTGCATATTGGTGACATGGGATTGTTTGGCTCTGCTAGCTGGAGATTGCCGCGGGGTTCTTGGTGTCTGCGAAAAGGGCTGGTGTTTATTTGCTGTTGCTGCAGCAAGAAGTGTGGGTGATTTGCGGTTGCGGCAGCGCAGGTCAGACGGGTGAGCAATTTTCAGCAATATTGCCCCTAAAAAAGCTCAACAGCTCTGGTCCACCCCCCAAAAAAAAGCTCAACAACTCTGGGCAATCTCCCCCCATTTTCTTAAGTTTGAACCCCCCCAAATAGGTAGCGTCTTATACATGGGGGCGTGTTATACACGGAAAAATACGGTATGTGTTGTTTGCAGACTTAAGAAAACAATGATGTGAAAGATTGAATTTGCTTGGCTCATTTCCACTCCTGACCACAGACAGACAGGTGGAATGCAGCCATTCCTGCTTCCTTTTCCATTTGCGTGGGAATTCCTACTTCCCGTGAAGTCCCTGGCCGAGTGACAATTGGGGACTCTGCTACATTTGTGAAGATAAAGTGCTTTATAACACTGAGACACCAGATGGCGCTGTGAAGTCCCGTTTTCCGCTAACGGGATTTCTCTGTATGAAATTTGCAACGTGTTTAACCGAATCGCTTCTTTGATGTGTCTAGACCCAGCCAGGGTGGGAAATGACTGCAAAACTGCCCTCCCCACACAAAATGGCTTCTGCATCTGTGCGGCCTTCCCATCTGCCCCTGTAAATGTGAATTTATTCTCCAAACGGTCTTACTTGCTAAACAGCTCGGTGCGCGTAGAATTGATGGCGTGGTCCACACTGCTGATGGCTTCTTGGATCGAGGTAGCTACAAAGGTGTCGCCGCTTCTGCCAACGTTTGTAGCTTTTTTAAAACCACAAAGGTGGCGGCGGCGGTGGTGGGGAAAGAGATTCAAAATTTAAACCACTTCCATTTTAGAATCATCTGCCTTGAAAACAGTAACCTTACCGCCCAGTACACCAGCTCCTAGCACATATTTTGAGTTTGCTTGGAATGTGAAAATGTCAGAACAATAAGAATAGTTTTGCTTTTTCTTGCACCCATGCCTTTCCCTTGCTTTTTAGCATAACCTTCTGCGCTGCACACATTAGTGGCAGAGATTTGTGTTTCACATAGAAGGTTTCTCCAGGTTGGGCTGGAAAAGACTCCCACCTGAAACCACAGCAGCTGCTGCCTGTCCGTGTAGACAATATAGAGCTATAGAACCATGGTGTGACTCATAAGAAAGCTTCCTATGCTCCCTGCTGCGTTGTGTCACCCAGAGAAGGGGCTACAGGCAGAGATCTGCAAATAATCATTTTCATTTTATGGGGGGGGGATATTTTGCAAATGTATGCAGATTTAATCAACCAGCTAATCAATCATCAAGAAAATGTACATGCTTAATCAACTAGGGTTTCTGTAACTGGGTGACAACCCTGCTTAGAAAATGTAGATCTAGAGGATTTTAATCTCACCTGTAAGGTAACAAAAACTATGAACAACTCAGATGGATAAAAAACGTGGATAACAGATTGATTTGCAGATGTAAATGTTCATATTAGGACCCATGGAAGGGAAGAGGGAAAATCTCGAGATTCAGAGCATGGATTTGCAATTGAATTTGTTGTACATTTATTTCTTTTTAAAATAAAATAAAAATTATTTTTTAAAAAGAAAAGAAAACATAGATCTAGGATTGCATGTCGGTATGGATTGTATATGGGTACAGGGGTGCAGAAAAGCCAGCCATGCAAACTGGCTCCAACTAGACCAGCCTCTGCCAATCTGGTGCCCTCCAGCTACAACTCCCATCAGCGCCAGCCAGTGGGAGTTGTAGTCTGAAACAGCTGGAGGGCGCCAACTTCGGGAAGGTTGCATGACCAGGCTAACACTGCAGATGCAAAGGAAGATTGCTCTCACCTGTGATTGTCAGTTGCATGGTGCTGGAAGTAAACCCAAATGTGTTCCTGGCTACGCACTCGTACCTCCCTTGGTCAGCCATCCCCAGGTCTCGGATGGAGAGGGTCCCTTCTCTGTTGATGTGGAACTTGCCGCTCTCTGTGATTTGAATTCCTTCCTGATATGCAAGGAAAAGAGGTTTTGGAGCTTGGATAGACTAGGTTCACCTGTGGCCCATGCTATGCACACAGGATGGGACACGGGTGGCACAGTCCACAGAGCCTAGGACTTGCCGATCAGAAGGTCGGAGGTTCGAATCCCCACAACGGGGTGAGCTCCTCTTGCTCGGTCCCTGCTCCTGCCAACCTAACTGTTCGAAAGCACGTCAACGTGCAAGTAGATAAATAGGTACCGCTCCAGCGGGAAGGTAAACGGCGTTTCCGTGCGCTGCTCTGGTTCGCCAGAAGCCGCTTAGTCATGCTGGCCACATGACCCGCAAGCTGTACGCTGGCTCCCTCGGCCAGTAATGCGAGATGAGTGCCGCAACCCCAGAGTCATCTGCGACTGGACCTAATGGTCAGGGGTCCCTTTACCTTTTTATGCACACAGGAGAATGGGGTGGGAATGCATGGGGGGAGGGGTGCATCACATGTGCGAATGTTCCTCTGTGCTAAGACAAGCAAACCACAATGCAAATAGAAAATCAGTAGGTGAGCTATTTTTCTATTTCAAAGGTTGATTTTTTTAGAGAAGACTTTTACTAATGTGGAAGTGCATTCAAAACTTGAACTTATCCCTTCCAGTCTTCTTTTATGTGTTGACTGAGTCAGAAAGCCAAAACAAAGTGATTATTATTATTATTATTATTATTATTGCCTGGGTTGATATTAGTGTGCAGGCACTTGCTTTCCTCCAATGGATATCTGCATGTGCAAAACTTGCGTTTTGGAACAAATTGTAAAGGTAAAGGTAAAGGACCAATGTCCAGTCACAGATGACTCTGGGGTTGCGGCGCTCATCTCGCTCCATAGGCCGAGGGAGCCGGCGTTTGTCCGAAGACAGTTTTTCAGGGTCATGTGGCCAGCATGACTAAGCCGCTTCTGGTGAAACCAGAGCAGCGCACGGAAACGCCGTTCACCTTCCTGCCGAAGCGGTACCTATTTATCTACTTGCACTTTTTGGCATGCTTTCGATCGGCAAGCCCAAGAGGCTCAGTGGTTTAGACCACAGCACCACCCGCGCCTGGAACAAATTGTACCTCCCCCCCCAAAAATGAGATGAAATTGGACACCTTGATCCCCAAACTGTGCGTGGGCTGCTTGTTTGGCACGTGCAAGTCTCCTGAAAAAACCCAATTCATGCTGACTTTGATCCAGGAAGAAACGGTTGTGTGAAGTGATACACTTTGACAGCCACCAGAATACAGTGGTACCTCGGGTTACAGATGCTTCAGGTTACATACGCTTCAGGTTACAGACTCCGCTAACCCAGAAATAGTACCTTGGGTTAAGACCTTTGCTTCAGGATGAGAACAGAAATCATGCTCTGGCGGCGCGGCGGCAGCGGGAGGCCCCATTAGCTAAAGTGGTGCTTCAGGTTAAGAACAGTTTCAGGTTAAGAACGGACCTCCGGAACATATTAAGTACTTAACCTGAGGTGCCACTGTACTCGCAAGTGCAAACTAGGGCTTGCAGGCTACGGCGTCTCACCCAGCTGTCCACCAGATGTCAGCAAAGGCATTGCAAAAATTCGATTGGCAGCAAAAGACAAGTCATCTCAGGCTACGGTCGCATGGCACATTGGGCTGTGTTCCTTCGCATGCACTCTTTAAAGTTCTCTTTGAGATTTGGGACAGAGGGCCGGGCTTCAGATTAGGGATGTCTGCGCTGCCTGAAATCTTTTTGGAGACCCAAAATAACCGTTGCTCCCCCCCGGATACTGGCGGTGGTATGGAAAAGGCTTTGCACATTCAGTCCACCATTCTCTCTGTCCACAAACTTTTGGTAGCCCAATTGGGAGCTGTATTTTACCCCTTACAGGCCTAAAATTCTCAGCACCCTCAACAAACTACAGTTCCCGGGATCCTCTGTGTGTGTGTGTGCTTGAAATGTGTTTAAAATATATTGTGCGTTTGCAGAAGCAGCAGTGGGTTCCCCATCCAAGGCAGGCAGGCCTCAAGGCAACAGGTGTTCAAAGGGCATCGATTAACACTCAGGTACCTTGGCCCATGTGATGGTGGGCTGTGGATCCCCTTGGGCAGCGCAGGTGATCTCGATGTCTTGTCCAGTCTCCGCCACCATATCTTGCGGGGGGTGAAGGAAGACCGGAATCACTGTTTAGGGCGAAGAGGAAAGAGTCAGGCAGACACCCCAAACTTCTCGGTCAGGAATGTTATAATAATAATAAAATTTTATTTATATCCCACCCTCCCCAGTCAAAGCCGGGCTCAGAGTGGCTAACAACAGAAAAATAATAAAGCATTCTAAAAATCAATTCATTATAAAATCAGATCAAATCAAATTAATGGCAACCATTGAGCTAGAGTTCTGTGAGGATTACCAAAGGAGGAATTCCAAGGTCTCAAATATAAAATACACACATAAGTATATAAACCACGTGTCCGAAATAGTACAGGACTCTCCCAAATTGACCTCAAATATTTCTCCGCAAGGAGGAAGGAAATGGGAAAGCCTCTCCATTGTCTTTTGCTTACCTGTCTTAAGGGCAGATTTGTGTATGAATAGGGTGAGCCTGTGACCTGGATTCAGGAATTAAAGTATTTACCATCACAAAAGAATGGCCAGGCTGCCCAGGTAAAGCAATCAGTGACCATTATCAGGTATCCTGGCAGACAGTATTTCTGCTGTAGACCGCCTCCTTTTGCGATGTTTGTATAATGTTTCGGGGGGGGGGTCCTGGGCTACAGGGTGGGCAATTTCAAAAGTCTATATAAGGACTTGCGCACCATTGTTTGGAGTTCTCTCCCTCCAGGTTGTGGGGACCCTGTTGCAACAGTTTAAAAAGATCAGGCTTACTAACCGCTTTCCTTCTCAATATACTCTGGTTTGCCTCTGTTATTTTCTCCTACGGATAGGGGGACCCACTTTAAGGGCTCTATACGGATAATAATAATAATAATTTATTATTTATACCCTGCCCATCTGGCTGGGTTTCCCCAGCCACTCTGGGCGGCTTCCAACTGAATATTAAAAACAATACAGCACCAGACATTAAAAACTTCCCTAAACAGGGAAGGTTTGGTTTGGTTTGTTTGGTTTATGGACTCTTGGATACCCCATAAGGGAAAAGGAGCAGTTTTTTCTTATAACAGGAATGACTGGGGAAGAAGCTCAAAGGGCTGCAGGAGGCAAAAGCAATTTGAGGAGGAGAAGATGTACAACCAAACATACCTCGCGGAGTCACCCAGAGCTGCACAGGGGAGCTTCGGACCCCAATGGCGCTGATGGCGTGGCATTCGTACTGGCCTTGGTCGTGAAGAGCCACTCGGACCACCCTCAGGGTGCCCGTGGAGAGGATGCTGTGTCTCCGGTCGCTCGGCAACGGACCACCTAACAACAACGACATGCTGTAAGGCAGCGGCCAAGTTTGGACTGAGTTCTTGTGGACAAGGCTGGCTCCAGTTGGGCGTTCTTGATGAGGTGTGGTGGCAGCCCTGGGAAGATGGGCCAAGCCACATTTTTTATTTCCCACAATGCATCTAGGTGAGGAGCTGGCAGCTGCCAAAGGCTTGGTGCTGGTTCTGAGGAACACTGGGACTGTTTTAAGGCAGTGGTTCCCTGGGAACTGTAGTTTGTTACAGGAGTTGGAAATTGTAGCTCTGCAAGTGGGCCATTACAGTTTGCAGGATTGCCTGGGGGACATCACATGCTTTAAATGTGCATTGGATGTGCTTTGAATGCATGGTGTGGATCTGGTTATTTATGACCCCTTAAGATGTTAATAATAATAATAATAATAATAATAATAATAATAATAATAATTTATACCCCACCCATCTGGCTGGATTTCCCCAGCCACTCTGGGCGGTTCCCAACAGAATATTCATTAAAAAGCGATAAAACATCTAACATGAAAAACTTCCCTGAACAGGCTTGCCTTCAGATGTCTTCTAAAATTCAGAGAGTAGTTTATTTCCTTGACATCTGTTGGGAGGGCGTTCCACAGGGCGGGCGCCACTACCGAGAAGGCCCTCTGCCTGGTTCCCTGTAACTTCACTTCTTGCAGGAAGGGAACTGCCAGAAGGCCCTCAGAGCTGGTCCTCAGTGTCTGGGCTGAGTGATGGGGATGTAGACACTCCTTCAGGTATACTGGGTTGAGGCCGCTTAGGGCTTTGAAGGTCAGCACCAACACTTCGAATTGTGCTCAGAAACGTGCTGGGAGCCAATATAGGTCTTTCAGGACTGGCGTTATATGGTCTCGGCGGCCACTCCCAGTCACTCAGAAACGTACCAATTCAAAGCACACTGGCCTGAGCAGATCTTTGGAAAGGCTGAGTGGGGCACTGCCTTGGCAGGCGAGCATTATGATGGGCACAATTACCTATGCGGTGAGGTTACTCCATACGGTGCTGAAAGAACCCACTTCCTGTTGATCTGCGGGAGAGCAGTTGCCCAGTGATAGCTGCAGTTAGGTCATCTATGTGAATACACCGTTGGCCCAGATTATTAAAAGCTAAAGGCTAAAAGCAGGCAAGCAAAGAGCCTTTGTGACCTCTCGGTCTTTCAACCTCTGAGGGAGAGTGATAGACCCGACCGACCCAACCTGGACCTCCAGAGGTTTTGGATAGCGACTCCTCATCAGCTCTGTGCTGTCCGGGGCTGAGGGAAGTTGTAATCCAAAACGTCCTGAGGGCACCAAACCGGGGAAGGCTGGTGCCCTGCAAGCATGCCGCATGCTTACAGCTTCTGGAGTCTGCAAATCATTACAGAAGAACAGGGAGAACAAAGAATACCTGCTCTCGTCCAGGCGATGACTGGCAGCGGACGGCCTTCAGCAGAGCAGGGAAAGTCAACGCTTTGACCCTCTGTTACGGTCTGGTCGGTGGGGATGATCAGAAACTTAGGAGTATCTGAGGGAGGGGGGGGGGGAGAACAGAAATCAGGTCTTTCGAGAATGGCAAAAAGATCCCTTTCCACCCAGAACTGGACATTGTCAACCTGGTTCCTACTGCATTTCAGGATTCTAGGTGGGCTGTAAGGGTGGGGTTGGGGTTCTAGGTGGGGTTCTACGGCACAAGGGTGGGGTTGGGGTTCTAGGTGGGGTTCTACGGCACAAGCTGAATGCTCCTTCCATCGAGAACTGGTGGGTGGTAAGGAAATTTTACCATCAAGAAAGATGCATTAGTGGGCGGTAGGTATAAAAGGGTTGACTACCCCTGGGACGCGGGTGGCGCTGTGGTCTAAACCACAGAGCCTAGGACTTGCCGATCAGAAGGTCAGCAGTTCGAATCCCTGCGACAGGGTGAGCTCCCGTTGCTCGGTCCCTGCTCCTGCCCACCTAGCAGTTCGAAAGCATGTCAAAGTGCAAGTAGATAAATAGGTACCGCTCCAGCGGGAAGGTAAACGGCGTTTCCGTGCGCTGCTCTGGTTCGGCAGAAGCGGCTTAGTCATGCTGGCCACATGACCCGGAAGCTGTATGCCGGCTCCCTCGGCCAATAAAGCGAGATGAGCACCGCAACCACAGGGCCGGCCACAACTGGACCTAATGGTTAGGGGTCCCTTTACCTTTACCCCTGGTTTAACCTCTGCAAAAGCATTGTTCAGGCAAATCAGGACAAAACTGCTATACAGGCATCTAGTTGAAGAGAGAATTGTGTGGAGAGTGAGCGGGAGAGATTGCTGAAGAGCAGAAAAAGTGAGCATTTAGATCAGGGGTCAGCAAACTTTTTCAGTAGGGTGCCGGTCCACTGTCCCTCAGACGTTGTGGGGGGGCGGACTATATATTGGAAAAAAAATTATTAAGGAATTCCTATGCCCCACAAATAACTCAAAGATGCATTTTAAATAAAAGGACACATTCCACTCATGTAAAACCACGCTGATTCCCGGACCATCCGCGGACCAGATTTAGAAGGCAGTTGGGCCGGATCCGGCCCCCAGGCCTTAGTTTGCCTACCCATGAGTTAGATGCTTTTTAGGCTCCCCATTTATACAATTTTTTCTTATACGCGCAAAAGCCCAGAGCATAACCTCCGCCCAAGCTGGGGGGTGCCTGTCTATTTTGGAAACTTATTTGCATTTGGACACTTCTTAACACATCATAACCAAATTTTGCATGGCGGTCCCTGAGAACAGGGGCGGGTTTTTGTTTTCGTTTGGCTACAAATCAATGCCATTTTGAATCAAGACAGTGGGGTGAAAGTTTCAGAACGGCATGGATTTCAAACAGGAGGCCCTTCTCACATATGATACTTTTTGTTCCGAGGTAGATCTCCCCGACTTTGGCACAACTTCCCGCCCACCGGTGCCCGGCGGTTACTATGTGTGTCTTGGTCACCTTGCACGATGACGTTGGCCGTGGCTTGGATGGAGCCCTCGCTGTTACTCGCGTTGCAGCTGTACTGCCCTTGGTCCGAGAAGGTGACGTTTTGGATGTACAGCCCCCCGGAGCTGGTGATGGTGAAGCGAGGGTCCTGCGGCAGTGGAGACCCTGAGCTCAGCACCCAGGTGACGCGGGGCAGAGGGTGCCCGGAGACCCCGCATTCCAAAGTGACGCTCTCCCCAATCAGCACTTCTGTGTTTTGGGGCTGGATGACAAAGCTGGGCTTGGCTGAAAGCAAAAGAGAAACGAGGGCTGGGTGCTGTCAGTTGGTTGCTGGTGCTTAGCATTTATCTAGTGCGCAGAATGCATGTTCTCACAACAGCCCTATAAGGTAAAGGGAGCCCTAACCATTAGGTCCAGTCGCGGACGACTCTGGGGTTGCGGCGCTCATCTCGCTTTAGTGGCCGAGGGAGCCGGCGTACAGCTTCCGGGTCATGTGGCCAGCATGACTAAGCCGCTTCTGGCTAACCAGAGCAGCGCATGGAAATGCCATTTACCTTCCCACCAGAGTGGTACCTATTTATCTATTTGCACTTTGTCGTGCTTTTGAATTGCCAGGTTGGCAGGAGCAGGGACCGAGCAACGGCAGCTCACCCTGTTGCGGGGATTTGAACCGCCAACCTGCTGATCAGCGAGCCCTAGGCTCTGTGGTTTAACCCACAGCGCCACCCGCATCTCCCACCTTATAAGGTAGGACAGTCATTATTCTCCCTCTGTTAAAGAAGGGAATGAGAGTGCATGAAGATTGATAGGGGAGTGACAGATTTCTGGACTAGATAGGTAGGCTTTGGGTCTGAACCAGCAGGCTTGTCTTGTGGTCTTAGCGACAAAGAGGTACAGGCCCAATGCAGTCACATAATCATAGAATTGCAGAGTTGGAAGGTATCCCAAAGGTCATTTAGTCCAACGCCCTGCAATGCAGGAAACTTTCACCCCATATGGGGCTCAAACCCACGACCCTGAGTTTTAAGAGTCTCCTTACCAGCACTTCCACTATTAAAACCGACAGATTCCCATTTTACTTTCCAATACAAAGTATGCGGGGCTTTCACCACAAAGGAATTAAGCCTTGAGCAGTAGTGGGAAAACTGTGACTCTCCCGATCTCCAGCTCCCATCAACCCTGACCGTTGAGCACACTGGCTGCCCACTGATGGGAGTTGGAGTCTAATTCCTGCATTGCAGGGGGTTGGACTAGATGACCCCTGGGTCCCTTCCAACTTTACGATTCTATGACACCTGAAGGGCCACAGGTTCTCTACACCTGACTTATTGCTGATCCACTCTGCACCCGTCGAGAATCACAATTAATGAGAGTGCTTGGTTTATACTAGAAGGATACTAAACCAAATTTTTCCACCATTCATCTCTTAAAATGGAAAGGGACAGCAGTAGATTTCTCTGCATGCAGAAGGTTCTGGAGTTAATCCCTTGGTCGCTGTGGGTTAAGCCCCAGAGTCTAGGACTTGCTGATCAGAAGGTCGGCGGTTCGAATCCCCGTGACGGGTTGAGCTCCCGTTGCTCCTGCCAACCTAGCAGTTCGAAAGCACGTCGAAGTGCAAGTAGATAAACAGGTACCATTCTGGCGGGAAGGTAAACAGCATTTCCGTGCGCTGCTCTGGTTCGCCAGAAGCGGCTTAGTCATGCTGTACGCCGGCTCCCTTGGCCAATAAAGCGAGATGAGTGCCGCAACCACAGAGTCGGCCACGACTGGACCTAATGGTCAGGGGTCCCTTTACCTTTACAGTGGTGCCTCGCAAGACGAAAAGAATCCGTTCCGCGAGTCTCTTCGTCTTGCGGTTTTTTCATCTTGTGAAGCAAGCCCATTAGCGGTTTAGCGGATTAGCGCTATTAGCGGCTTAGCGGGCTTAGCGGATCAGCTGATAAGCGGCTTAGCGGCTTAGCGGATCAGCTGATAAGCGGCTTAGTGGCTTAACGGATCAGCTGATAAGCGGCTTAGCAGCTTGGGAAAAAGGGGGGGGAAGGAAAAAAACCCCGCAGGAACTCGCAAGACATTTTCGTCTTGCGAAGCAAGCCCATAGGAAATTGCTTTATGGCAACTTCCAAAACGGAAAACCCTTTCGTCTAGCGGGTTTTCCGTCTTGCGAGGCATTCGTCTTGCGGGGCACCACTGTATCTCCAGGTGGGGCTGGAAACATCCCCTGCCTGAAACCCTAGTGAGCTGCTGCCAGCCAGTGCAGTTAGTACTAAGCTTGATGGACCAATGCGTCCAACTTAGCATAAGGCTACTTGCTCTCTAACGGATGCAGCGGCAATTCTTAAATTTCAGAGGATCTTAAAAAGCCATTACATGGGTGGCCGTAGTAGCGCAGTACGACTTCCGGGGTCTTTGCTTCTCCGGCGACATTCTTGGCCATGCACTGGTAGACGCCTTTGTCCGACTCCCTGGTATCTTGGATCATTAATGTTCCGTCTTGCAGGAGGTTCAGACGCCCATCATCTTGCATGTCGATCTCGTTGCTGAGAAACAGAAAGGAATATTAAACGCTCCGAATCTGGGAACTCCTGGGAGCAGGAAACTGTCATGTTAGCTCAGCCTAACCAAGAGTCAGCCAGGGGCATCCCTAGATACGCTAACTCAAGAGATAGATATGCACATACCGTATTTTTCGCTCTATAAGACGCACCAGACCATAAGATGCACCTAGTTTTTGGAGGAGGAAAACAAGAAAAAAAATATTCTGAATCCCAGAAGCCAGAACAGCAAGAGGGATTGCTGCGCAGCAAAAGTAACGATCCCTCTTGCTGTTCTGGCTTCTGGGATAGCAGTGCAGCCTGCATTCGCTCCATAAGACGCACACACATTTCCCCTTACTTTTTAGGAGGGAAAAAGTGTGTCTCATAGAGCAAAAAATATGGTAATTGTCTGTAAAGCTAGGGGCAGGAGTTGCTCAGAAATCAGAACTCCTTGATATTTGGACTCTGATGGAGTCTTTGAAGTAGTCCTAGAATTTTGCGTATAGTGACAGCAGCTGCCTTGCGCTCCTGTCCTGAATATTGCCACCTGCTCTGTTCCTGCATTTGATGTGGAAATGTGGGGAGAGAAGAGTGCGAGGTGGGGGGGGGGGGGATGACTGCCCTTTACCAAGGGCAAGACATCCAGAACTGCCACTGACGTTGGCTGTAATGTCAGGACCCACGTACCTACGGGACCGCCTCTCCCGGTATGCCCCATGGAGGACCTTAAGGTCCACAAATGACAACACTTTGGAGGTCCCAAGTCGCAAGGTGGTTAGATTGGTCTCAACTAGGGCCAGGGCCTTTTCAGTACTGGCCCCTACTTGGGGGACATGACATCTTTCCGCAGGGCCTGCAAGACAGAGCTGTTCCGCCTGGCCTTTGGTTTGGACTCAGTCTGACCCTTAAGTTTCCCTCCCCTTATGGTTTTGATCTATGGGCTACTATTAAAATGAGGCTGCATTTTAAATTATATTTTAACCCGTATTTTAAATTGCTTTTCTCCCCCCTCCCCATTATGTTTTTATTGTAATTTTACTGGTGTTAGCCGCCCCGAGCCTGGCTCTGACCAGGGAGGGCGGGGTATAAATTATTATTATTATTATTAATTTTTAACTTGGATAACTTGTGCTTGAGCCTTGCTTTCCCCTCCTCCCTCCGCAGCCCTTCTTCCTCGTGTGTCAGATCTTTTCAGATGGTGAGCCCAAAGGCACAATCCCCAAGATTCTCTGAGGGGAGGGTCAGATCAGAGCCAGACTGTTTTATGCCTGTGCTCCTCCTGAGAGAGCACTCTTGCGTTCTGGCTCAGCTGGGTGAAAATCGTGCAAGACTTACTTGTTGTGGAGCCAGATGATCTTGGGCTTGGGGTTACCTTCTGCCCTGCAGATGAAATAGACGGTGTTGCCCAGGGTGACATCTGCGTCTTGTGGCTCGGTTGTGATGCGAGGCCTCTCTGGAAAAGACCGCGACGGGTGCCCCACTTGAGAAGTTGGACTGCCTTGTTCTAGCAGGTCAACTTACTCGCCTTTTCTCTGAATTCAAAAGCCCCAGATCCTGCAGCCTTTCAGCATAATAATAAATAATAATCATAAATTTTTATTTATACCCCGCCCTTCCCGGTTCAGAAAACCAGGCTCAGGGTGGCTAACAACAAATTGATGCAACAAAAACAGCATGAAATACAGTATAAAATGTGAATAACAATAAATTCAGAATTCAAAAAACAATTTAGGGGGGAAATCCATCCAATAAACATTAGATGATCACCAGGGCAAGTTGGCTAAGTTAGTCCTATTTGGGCCAGCAAGGAGACCAGGGGGGAATTAGCCGTGGGATCCCAGAGCAGGTAATCTTCATAAAAAGGGGAGAGGGAGGGAAGGAAGGGGAATAAAAGATCAGGCTAAGTTCAAATTGAAAGCCAGGCGGAATAGCTCTGTCTACAGGCCCTGCGGAAGGAAGTTAAATCCTGCAGGGCCTTGGTCTCATGGGTCAGAGCATTCCACCAGGTCGGAGCCATCACTGAGAAGGCCCTGGCCCTAGTGGAGGATAATCTGACTTCCTTAGGGCCTGGGACCTCTAAACTATGATTATTCATGGACCTTAAGGTCCTCTGCGGGGCAGACCAGGAGAGGAGGTCCCGTAAATACGAGGGCCCTAAGCCACAAGGTAATTACTCCATCCCCTTGATGGTTTTGGGCTCTTCAAGATGGTGGCATATCTTCTCATCCCCGCAGCTTCCATTTCCTTTCCTATCCCCCCTCTTTAGCCAGGAATGGACCTAGCAGTTAGGTGATGATATGATACCACCGGTTCCATCACTGCTCTTTACCAGGATGGTGCAAAGGCAAGGTGGTACTGCAGTGTGCCAGCTCCTGGGGGCCGAGATCTTTTGGGGGGGCCCAAATATTTGTGGGCTAGGGGCCCCTATGTCCAAAAAGCACAGAGGCGAAGCGTGGAGCCAACTGAAGCATGGCTCCAGAGGCTGGCTCCTTCTCCTCCTCCGTGGAGACGAAGGAGCGCTGAAGCAGCCACCTCCTGGTGATGGTGCCAGGAAGAGGCAAAGGAGCTGTCTGCTCCTGAAGCCTTGCGATGGCCGCATTTGGCTCCGCCCCTGGCTCCTCCCAGTGTCCGGATGTCAGAACATCGGGAGGTAAATGTCATGCGTGAAGTCACACACGGGACATTGTTCCCTCCAGTCGCCCTTGCAAGCTGGCACCTCTGCTGGGCTGTATGGGTAAACTGGCAGCAGCGCCCTCGGGCCACGTTATGTATTAAATCAAATGATCTGCCAACATCTCTCTCCCTGCCTTGCTTTAGGAAGGACTGGGGTGTGTGTGTCTTTCTTCAGAGTGAGGCATTCTGGGTAGTGAAATATACTCGGAGTCGAGAGTGGATTTCATGCTCTTTATTCAGCTCATAGTGGTGAGGAGGAATGGAAGTTCCCCCAGAATGTCTGCTTTATATACATTATTTACACAATGGGCCCCACCTGATTGGCTAATTCCAGGATTCACCTGTAGGCCAATCAGGTTGCGGATTCACTTCCACCTGCAGCTGGATTGGGTGGCTCCTGTGGACCAATCAGACTGCTGTATTCTGGACCCTATTGTTCTAGGACCAATCAGACTGCTGCATTCTGAATCCTATTGTTCTAGGACCAATCAGACGGCTGCATTCTGAATCCTATTGTTCTAGGACCAATCAGACTGCTGCCTTTTGGTTCCTATTCAATTCAGTACATAACAGGTAGGATGGCCATGAAACGCTCCTACAGCACCAAGGTGGTTTGATGCAGTGGTTAATGATTCTTCAAAGGGGAAGGTGCAGTTTCAAGTTACGGCAAGGTTATGCGAGGCACTGGATGCCAACGAAATAAACAAAACCAACATTGCGGTGTCTTTGGCAGGGCGCTCACCACAGTTGAATTCTTGGGTGGTCAGGGTGACGATGGAGCGCCCCTGAAGCTCCCTTGGGTTCTCGCAGGTAGCTGCCGTCTGGGTGTTGCCCTGCACGGTGAATTTCCTCAGCAATTCTGCCAGCCACATCAGGTCACAATCGCACAGCAAGGCATTGGAGTCCAGCCGCCTGAGGCAAAGAGGTGAAGGAAGAAGAAGTGGGGATCATAATTGGCGGAGACTTCCTGGTAGCCCCAAGGGAATGGTGACTTTGCACTCAAGACCCCCAAACTCTCCCCATATGAACCAACCAGACCCTGCGATCATCAACTGAGACCCTTCTCCATATGACCCTCTCCATGGGCAGAAGTTCTCCCACCATCTCAGGCAGTGCTTTTCTAGCTTGGTGGGCCAAGATCTTTTAAATGAGATATGCTAGTGAAATATACTCGGAACTGAGAGTGGATCTTATGCTCTTTATTCAGCTCATAGTGGTGAGGAGGAATGGAGGTTCCTCCAGAATGTCTGCTTTATATACATTATTTACACAATGGGCCCCACGTGACTGGCTACCGTATTTTTCGCTCTATAAGACGTACCAGACTACAAGACGCACCTAGTTTTTGGAGGAGGAAAACAAGAAAAAAAAAATGTTCTGAATCTCAGAAGCCAGAACAGCAAGAGGGATCGCTGCGCAGTGAAAGCAGCAATCCCTCTTGCTGTTCTGGCTTCTGGGATAGCTGTGCAGCCTGCATTCGCTCCATAAGACGCACACACATTTCCCCTTACTTTTTAGGAGGGAAAAAGTGAGTCTTGTAGAGCAAAAAATATGGTAATTCTGGGATTCACCTGTAGGCCAATCAGGTTGTTGATTCACTTCCACCTGGAGCTGGATTGGGTGGCTCCTGTGGACCGATCAGACTGCTGCATTCAGGGTCCTATTGTTCTAGGACCAGTCAGACTGCTGCATTCTGAATCCTATTGTTCTAGGACCAGTCAGACTGCTGCATTCTGAGTCCTAGTGTTCTAGGACCAATCAGACTGCTGCCTTTTGGATCCTATTCAACTCAGTACATAACAGCTAGGGATGGAAACTTGGACCTTCTGCGATTTGTGACCCCATATTGAAATTGGTTGGGGGCAGGGGCAGGTGCCCAGGGGGATTAGAGGCCCCCACCACCAAAGGGCTGGCTGAACATATTAGCATCTTGCCCACCTACCGACATGGCTCCATGGGTCTCCCCCACTTAGCAAAGCCACACAGCTGCGTCCAGTTGAGACCAGCTTTTTGCCTCCACCCAGAATGATGAATTGTTCTTTGCTGCAGCGATTATCCACTTACAGGCGTTTAAGCGATTCCGGTTGGGTGACAGCGCCCGGCTGGATTCTGGAAATCCGGTTATTGTGCAAGAAGCTGTATGGGGGGAAGTGAAGAGAGTCAGAACGTTAGCCGGGTATTCTTTGAGGCCATCTCCCAAGTGACAGGCAGAGATTGTCCCTGGGTGAAGTTTTAACACACCTAGGTGTGCTCTTTTCAAGCACCCCTCTCACTGGACCAAGCTAGGCATGATGTTAATGTTAGGAATACATTCTTCACGAAACAGATAAGGTTCCTTTAAGTTTAAAAAGCATTCCAGAAGTTCCTTCAATGTGTGGGAGCGGCACTCCATGCTTAATTGGTGTCAGCTGGAGATGCAATTAAAAGGAGGAAGATGAGTTTGCAATTTGAGGCACGAAGAGAGCACACATACGCATGCTTACAGCTAGTTTGGATGTATGGTAAAGTGTGCTGCTGATACTATGAGTTTGCGATATCAGGACTGTTTATTACTAGACTGAAAGTACAGTTGTACCTCGGGTGAAGTACTTAATTTGTTCCGAAGGTCCGTTCTTAACCTGAAACTGTTCTTAACGTGAAGCACCACTTTAGCTAATGCGGCCTCCTGCTGCTGCTGTGCCGCTGGAGCATGATTTCTGTTCTCATCCTGAAGCAAAGTTCTTAACCCGAGGTACTATTTCTGGGTTAGTGGAGTCTGTAACCTGAAGCGTATGTAACCCGAGGTACTGTATACTGTGCCAAAGAGAGGAAGAAGGACTGTATAGTTTGTAGATAGTAGTAACTGAAATGCCAAATGCTTGCACAAAGTACAATGGTACCTCAGGTTAAGAACTTAATTCGTTCTGGAGGTCTGTTCTTAACCTGAAACTGTTCTTAACCTGAGGTACCACTTTAGCTAATGGGGCCTCCCACTGCCGCCGCACTGCCACCGTATGATTTCTGTTCTCATCCTGAAGCAAAGTTCTTAACCCGAAGTACTATTTCTGAGTTAGCGGAGTCTGTAACCTGAAGCGTCTGTAACCTGAAGCGTATGTAAGCTGAGGTACCACTGTATACCGTGCCAAAGAGAGGAAGGAGGACTGTATAGTTTGTAGATAGTAGTAACTGAAATGCCAAATGCTTGCACAAAGTACAGTGGTACCTCGGGTAAAGAACTTAATTCGTTCCAGAGGTCCGTTCTTAACCTGAAACTGTTCTTAACCTGAAGCACCACTTTAGCTAATGGGGCCTCCTGCTGCTGCCGCGCCACCAGAGCACGATTTCTGTTCTCATCCTGAAGCAAAGTTCTTAACCCGAAGTACTATTTCTGGGTTAGCGGAGTCTGTAACCTGAAGCGTCTGTAACCTGAGGTGCCACTGTAATTCTTGACTGTGCATTTGAGTATGACTACAGTTTTTGTTGTCTGCCGCCAGGGAAACTCTGCTAGACCCTTTGGGAAGCTGTTATGGTCAGTAACCTCTAATTGCACAAACCACAAATTGACTAGCACAAATGTCACACATACAAACCACTTGGTGATTTTCTGACGACTTACAGCCTTTCCAGTTTGGGCAGGTCACTAAACGTCTCTGGCTCCAAGGTTTCAAGGTTGTTAAAATGCAGGTAACTGGGGTGAAGAAGAAAACAGAACATATGGAACAGATCTTTAATTCCCAGAGTGCATGTGGGATCATCCTAGCTTGCCACAAGTAAAGCAGGGGTTGCGAGCCAGGATAGAACAGAGGAGCCCCAGATTCACTCAACGCATTTGATGCATTGCAATTCCATGCAATGCGCCGAGTGCATTATGCCTGCATGCAACTGACTGTTTATGCAACCTGAAAAACTACAAAACCCATTATGCCATGCGACTATGGATGAGGCATGCTTTCATGCAAACATCTGGGAAGCTGTGACTTAAACAAGTAACTATGAATATATTATTATTACTTAAATTTATTGGTCGCTTTTAAAACAAAGTAACTCAAAGCGACTTAAAATATATAAGCAAATACATACAAAGGAACTGACATAAAAGGGGGGAGGGCTACAAAGGAAAATATAAAAGACATTCTATTTTTAAAAAGGCAGGATTAAAACATGCCACTAACTCGAGGACATAGATAATTAAGAGCCAAAGGCCCGGCGGAAAATGAATGTTTGTGGCCGGTGTGAAAAACAATGCAATGATGGTGTAAAAATAATTGTATAAATGACTTTCAGTGCTATGGGTAAATGGGTTCCTCTCTAGCGAAAGGGGACCAGGAATGCAAAATACTCCTGCATGATGACCCTGTAGCAGACCTGAACTCAAATGGACCACCAATCCATCAGTCTGCTCAATGCTTTACAAGACAGTTTCGAATTTTGACGGAAAGGATGGGGAAAGGGCCATAACATTTGAACAACAACCTGTTTCAAAGGGTCAAAGCAGAGGAGCTCCTCGTTCCTTTGAACTGTTCTATCTATAATCGACAACTGCTGTGACACATGTAGAGCCAGAAGCGCGACTCTCTAAAAAATGGTATATTTAGAAAGTTTTATGAAAACATAAAGAGCCACTCCTTGCGGCAAAGGCTGATTCCACAGACTCTTGAGATTATTCTCAAGAAAACTACAAGCGGCTCGTTGAGGGCGCAGAAGTGCTGGACCGTTCCTTCCTAATACATCATCTACAAAGCCGTTGATTATATTTGCTAGCGAGAGATTAGATCTTGGCCACAGTGCTGCACATGAGATCATTTGTGAAGGAGCACATACTTTCCTACATCTCCCCCATGACTCTTTATTTTGTCTATCTAGCGTGCCTTGCGAGACATTTATGGTCAGGGACTACGTCATCTCAACAGGACTGGGTTGTTGTTTTTTTACAAAGCAAATATTATTGGATCTGTTGTGTCATCTCAGAGTTTTTTCGGTTTTTCTAACTCAAAGAATTATTATCCGGAGATCACCCCATCTGCCCCCAACCTGGTGCCCTCCAGATGTTGGACTACAACTCCCAGCAGCCCAGAGAGGATGGGGGTTGTAGTCCCACCAGATGTGGAAGACACTAGGTTGGGGATAGCTAGGGCTCTGACTTCCTGAATACCAGTGAACTTCTCCCACATCGCAGGCAAAGGCATCTGTGCTTAAAATAAGTCAGAAAGCCCAAGGTGAAGGATTCATCTCTCTGCTGTGATGTGTGAGCTCAGCAAAGTGTCAGGGATTGGGCTGGACGCAGAGGAGAGGTGGGAGGCACCAGCCGGGGACCCCCGCCAAGGGAACCCCCAGAGGAAGAAGGCTCAGAGCCAGGGGATTGGTGGTGGGGCATTGGGGAGAGGTCAGAGGGGAAAGATGCGTGGGAGGAGGTGATGGATCCCAAAGGGGCAACAGGGTTTTGTGAGCAGGAAGAGCCTGTGACAGGAAGCAGTGCAGACACAGAGGCTGAAGCAGAGGAAGGAGGTCAAGAGACTGCAGAAGAATCTAAGGCAGCCTTTCTCAACCTGTGGGTCCCCAGATGTTGTTGAACTACAACTCCCATCACCCCTAACTAGCAAGACCAGACCTCAGGGATGATGGGATTTGTAGTCCAACAACATCTGGGGACCCACAGGTTGAGAACCACTGATCTAAGGCGTCTGCCTCTCCTGCTGCGACAAGCACGCCTTAGCCCGGGACGGAGCTTCATGATGCGTGTCCCAGGGGTGTGGTGCCCAGCGAGGGGGGACCCCCAGCCGCAATGGCACCCCACCAGGATCGTGGTGCCCGGGGCAGTGCGCTCCCCCCGCCCTCTCTTCCTCTGCCAGTGCCCTTCTCACCGGTCTCCAAGAACGCACAGAGTGATGAGAATAGCAGAGGTGTGCAGATGCAATTTGCTTGGGAAACATCCGGCAGAGGAGCCGCCTTAGAAAGGGTGGAAGGCAAGGACCTTCAGACCTGGGATTTGCCCCTGAAGGGAAAGACCACTGAGTTGTATGTTTGTTACCTTGAATAAAGAGTGAACTTCACTGACAACGGAGATCTGCTTCTTTTATCGTTGGCCTGTGTTTGGCTCCAACTCTGACACAAAACATGGCTGGCTGAGGAGGGGTGTGCATAAGACATGGGTAGGCAAACTAAGGCCCAGGGGCCGGATCCGGCCCAATCGCCTTCTAAATCTGGCCCGCGGGCGGTCCAGGAATCAGCGTGTTTTTACATGAGTAGAATGGGTCCTTTTATTTAAAATGCATCTCTGGGCTATTTGTGGGGCACAGGAATTCATTCATTTCTTTTTTCAATATTTAGTCTGGACCCCCACAAGGTCTGAGGGACAGTGGACTGCCCCCCTGATGAAAAAGTTTGCTGACCCCTGGTGTAAGAGAAACCTAAGAGGCTGCCGTATACTTGTTACGATATAGAAGCAATGCGGCCGCGAGCTGGTAGCTTGAAAGCAAAACATAATGGGAATGTTGGGACTGTTCCGTGGGAAACACAGGGACAGTCAATTCACAGTGCAGAGGGCACCGGAATTAGCTCAGAGTGTAATATGAGCTGTACAGGAAGTACAGGTGGAGTTTGTCTCTCGACTGCTGAAGCTTGAAGAGAGCAGTCATGATTTTTGTAACGCTGCAAAGACAGAAATAAAGGAATGTAAATACGTTTCTGTCTATCTCTCTCCCCTGCCCGGGGGGGGCAGGAAAGAGGGGGTGTGTTCTTCTCACTCTGAGAAGGATTGCCTATCGCGACCTAGCCTGGATCCTGCCGGGAATGCAGACAGGGAGGTCAACAGGAGATCAAGCCGGGTGCCTGGAGAGTGGCCAGTTTCTCCTGATAAAGGCTTGATTCCCAACAATACTATGTCCGGTCATTGGTATGTCTAGCTCAGTGGTTTTCAACCCGAGTGCTGTGGCACCCTGGGGTGCCTTGAATGATGGTCAGGGGTGCCGTGGGCAACACTGGCCTCTGTCCCTCTTTCCTTCCCTCCCTCTTCTGATGCCCTCTTGCATCTCTGCCTCCCAAAGGCTTGCACAGCTGTTTATTGCAGCAGCCCTGACTATAAGCTCCGCAGGCAAATGGTACCTCTGGGGGGCACCTTTCTTGGGGGTGAGGGCAGCTGAGAGACTAGGGTGGCAGCAGTGGAAGACTCCCAAGGAAAGGGGGAAGGAGGCTGAGGGAACACTCCACAAGGGAGGGTGTTTGAAAAAGGGTGAAAGGCTGCCAGCTCTGCAGGCAAGGGGTGACATAGCTGGGTTCCTCAGGCCCACAGGGGAGCCGTGGAAAGAATGTAGTTGGTCAAGGGAGCCGTGGACTCAAAAAGGTCGAAAACCTCTGGTCCAGCTCAATATTGACTGGCAGTAGTTCTCTTGGGCATCACGTAGAGGCCTCTTTAGTTGAGATTCCTGCATTGCAGGGGGTTGGATAGATGACCCTTAGGGCCCCTTAAAGTAAAGGTAAAGGGACCCCTGACCATTAGGTCCAGTCATGGCTGACTCTGGGGTTGTTGCGGTGCTCATCTCGCTTTTTTGGCGGAGGGAGCCGGAGTACAGCTTCTAGGTCATGTCGCCAGCATGACTAAGCCGCTTCTGGCGAACCAGAGCAGCGCACGGAAACGCCTTTTACCTTCCCACCAGAGTGGTACCTATTTATCTACTTGCACTTTGACGTGCTTTCGAACTGCTAGGTTGGCAGGAGCAGGGACCGAGCAACGGGAGCTCACCCCGTCGTGAGGATTCGAACCGCCAATCTTCTGATCAGCAAGTCCTAGGCTCTGTGGTTTAACCCACAGTGCCACCTGCATCCCATAGGGTCCCTTACAACTCTACAATTATATTATTCTAGATCTTCCCCAGAAGATCCTCACAGACAGGTGGCAACTGGGTTGTCAATTGGCCAGAATGTTATAGCAAATGGTTCAGACCTCTCTTGCAGTTGTGCTTTGAATGGCCATTTGCAAAGCAGAAATTAGCAAGCGATGCTTTTCGTGATAAGGAGATCATCTTTAGGAGTTGCCCAACCAGTGCTCTGCAGCAATCTACTTCTGAAATCATCATTCTCGAGTTACGTGGATTAACATGAGTGACAGAAAGCTCAACACCAAAGCTTAAAAAGCAGGAGATGTTTAAACGTAGCTCTATCACCACGATAACTAGAAACGTTTGCAAGCTGCCTTGAGTCGGCGCTGCCCAGAAAAGCAGCCTAGGAATACCTAAGAGTAAATAAATAAAAACATATTACTTTTATTTCATTTTTCAATCAAAGCTCAGTTTCTCAGGACTCTAAGGAGCGCTTGCAGATGGTGTCTCAGGGGGCTGGCAGGAATCCAGAGGCGAAATTCCATCCCTCGTCTCCATGCAATTTCCAACACAAACCTCGGCCAACTTACAGCTGTTCCAGGGAAGAAAGGCCCTTGAATGCATGCTGCTGGATGCTCTGTATTTCATTCTTGTAAAGGTAGCTTGCAAAGAGAGGGAGAGCGGAAAAGGAGAATAAAATTACATTGGTTGAGAAAAGCTTTCTGGCTGGCTAACAGGAGGGCTGCATTGGATTCAACAGCCTAAAATCATATTATTACAATGCACTCTATGTGGGGTGGCCCTTGGAGACGACTCAAAAACTCCAGTTGGTCCAAAATGCAGCAGCCAGACATTGAGACCCACGTAACCCATGTTTTAAAACAACTGCTCTGGTTGCCAGTTTGTTTCAGGGCCCAATTCAATCTGCTCACACTATTGCTTAAAGCCATAAATGACTCAAGCCCCAAATACCTGAGAGACCCTACTGAGTCATGAGATCAGAGGATGCCCTCTTGGTAGTTCCTCTGCCCTCAAAGCCTCGGGGCACTGTGTATCGGTGTTGCCTGGGAGAGGGCCTTTTCGGTGGTGGCCCCAAATGTGAAAGCCCCTACCCACAGAGGTGCGTTTGGCACCGTCATTATACAGCTTTCAGATAATTCTGGAGATGCACCTCTTTACCCTGGCTTTTGACACTCGGGGCGGATGTTTTGAGGACCTCCCTTATTTTTATGGTGGTAAGTTGTTTTGAATGGTTTTAATTGTCGTGTTTCAATGCTGCAACCTGCCCTGCGACTGTAGGGTGAATGGCAGGCAATAGGTAAATAAATAACAAAACAGAGGTAACTATCGGCTGGCCTGGATGAAGAAGAAGAAGAAGAAGAGTTTGGATTTGATATCCCGCTTTATCACTACCCGAAGGTGTCTCAAAGCGGCTAACATTCTTCTTTCCCTTCCTCCCCCACAACAAACACTCTGTGAGGTGAGTGGGGCTGAGAGACTTCAAAGAAGTGTGACTAGCCCAAGGTCACCCAGCAGCTGCATGTGGAGGAGCCGAGACACGAACCCGGTTCCCCAGATTACGAGTCTACCGCTCTTAACCACTACACCACACTGGCTCTCAGTGGATAGTTCAGTCGGTGAGAGCATGGTGCTGATGATGCCAAGGTTGCAGTTTCAATCCCTGCATGGGTCAGCAGCCTATTCCTGCATTCCAGGGGGTTGGACTTAGATGACCCCCCCTTCCAATTCTACGATTCTTTGATTCCATCCTTAGAAATTTATCTGCCACCATAGTGTCTGAACCTCCCCGTCATGGTTTAGGAGGCACTAGGCAGCCTTCCTCAAACCTGGTTCCTTCCAGATATTTTGATCTTACAGTGGTGCTGGCTCTACAAAGACCTGAGGAACGAGATCATCACCAAACTCGTACTAGCCATCCCAGGGCGCTCAGCCACTGCCACAATGTCCTTTCTTTTATCAGATCAAAATGAGCAGATAACAGCAAAGGGTGCTAGGTTCATAGCAGCGGCAATCAGAATAAGGGCCACTAACTGACTGCTGCTTCAGGACTTTAAACTGTGCTTTTATATCAAATTTCCTTTTCTGCGTATACTGTAATGTTTTACTGTTGCTATGGCCATTGGCTAATGCGAATAAAGTTTTATCTCTCTCTCTTAGTAGTGCTGGCTTGGGGCTCAAGGCAGCAGTAAGGTGAAGGTAAAGGAACCCCTGACCATTAGGTCCAGTCGTGGCTGACTCTGGGGTTGCGGCGCTCATCTCGCTTTACTGGCCGAGGCAGCCGGCGTACAGCTTCCGGGTCATGTGGCCAGCATGACTAAGCCGCTTCTGGCGAACCAGAGCAGTGCACGGAAACGCCGTTTACCTTCCCGCCGGAGCGGTACCTATTTATCTACTTGCACTTTGACGTGCTTTCGAACTGCTAGGTAGGCAGGAGCTGGGACCGAGCAACTCAAGCTCACCCCGTCGCGGGGATTCGAACTGCTGACCTTCTGATCGGCAAGTCCTAGGCTCTGTGGTTTAACCCACAGCGCCACCCGCATCCCTTCAAGGCAGCAGTCGTCCACAACAATCTGGCGGGCATCAGATGGGCGAAGGCGTCACTAGAATGCCCAGGTCTTTGCGGGCCGTGTTTGCAGCACTTGGCGACAATAAAGTCCCCACTACCCGACACACGTGAATATTTCGCTGGAAGAGGAGGATGAGCAAAAGGCCAGCTGCCGTTGCAATTTCCCACCATGCCCCGCTGTGCCGTGATGTCACTCCAGGGTGCAATTGCAACGAAGACCACCTGGTGCTCATTTAACGAAGGAGCCCTGGAGGAGGGGAGGCCCAGGGCAATGGTGCCAAAAGAGCTGGGCAGGACCCTTTGGCAGCTGAACGAGGATGTCGGCTGCTGACGCCAGTCCTGCTGAGAAGGGGAGTGGAGGTTATGTGCATAGCTAATCCTTTTCCTGCCCGAGATTTTTCAAAAAATAAAAATCAGACACACTTCAAGCTGCTTTTCCGTCCCCTCGAGGGGAAAAAGAGATGGGTATGAAGTTTGGCAAAGTGAACACAAAAACCCAGGGCAGATCTCAGAGCAACTATCATTGGCGACTGAACTGCGTGTGAGAAAGAAAAAAAAGGCAGGCAGTGAACGATCCAAACCTCTTTTCTGGCTTAGCAACATGAAAAAGCCAGTTTATCTAATTGTGTTCTGCTGATCAATTACTTAATTCATTGAATAATTAAATTTATATTCAGGCTTTCCTCCCAAAGGAGCCCAGAGCAGAGAAACGTTGTACAACAATGCAAGTCAGAATAATATAAAAACATGACTAAATCATTTTAAAGTAATTTAAAATATCTTGAAATGTATGAAACCTAAAAGCCAGCAAAAAAATCTAATAACGGGTAAAATGGTTGCATACCCTCACAGCTAATAATTGTCGTGGTTGCCAGTTGCAGGAATTTTCAGCCACCAAATGCCTGGGTGAACAGGAATGTTTACAAGCTCCTTCTGAAAGCTAATAAGGAGGGAGGGTATTCCACAACCTGGGAGCCACCACCAAGAAGGCCCTGTCTAATGGCATATGAATAATTAAGAAAAAAAATATGCAGCTGCAATTTATTTTCCTGCTCAATATTTACTATGCACATGTGTGTAGCAGGATGTAGATACGATAAAGTAATTGTCATCTGACAAGTATCAGGAGTGTTTCACTTTCCCGCTACTAATGTTCAGAGGCTGTTGTCACAACGGGCCTCCTTACAGACACTTACAGGTATTTCAAGCTGTCAAGTCCTTCGAAGGATCTTCGTGCAATTTGCTTTATCAGGTTGTTGTTCAAAAGCCTGTGAGAAAATAAGGGAAAGGAAGGCACACATTAATGCATTACTTTGAAGGCGGCAGGCTGCGGTCTCAGTATTACGACTGTAGACACTCCAAGCGTCCCTGTTTTCCAGGGATGTCCCTGCTTTAAAGAAGTCATCCCGGATTTTTGATTTGATCCCAGAATGTCCCACATTTCCTTAGGACGTCCTTATTTTCACTGAATAAATGTTGGAGCGTATGGAGATATATCCTAGGGTTGCCATATTTCAAAAAGTAAAAACCAGCACACGCTAGGCTTGCACCCTAGGGTGTAAAAATGGCGTCTGGAGGCAATTTTCCCATAAAAAGAACTCAACAATTTTGGTGGGTTTCTACAAAAATGCCAAAAAAATTGACTTGCCTAAGATTCAGGACAATTCAGCCCGGACATCAGTTCTGCCTTTGAAATCCTGATAATGTCTGGGAAAATCCAGACATATGGCAGCCCTAAGTTATCCGACTCCCAAGTCATCTGAAGGGAATCCTGTACAGGGTAGGGGTTTTTTTAAATGTTTAATGTTTTGTTATGTTTTTTCATATATGTTGGAAGCTGCCCAGAGTGGCTGGGGCAACCCATTAAGATGTGTGGGGTATGAAAAGCAAAGTTATCATTATGGAATGGGACGTCCTTATTTTCACTGGAGAAATGTTGGAGGGTATGAGATTGGTGAGGCCATGAGAGGGGGCCTTCTCAGAGGCTGCTCCAAGACTGTGGAACTCCCTTCCACAAGAGGACAGCCCAGCTCCTTCTCTGTTTTCCTTTTGCTAGGAGACAATTTTTTTAAAAATCTTGACTGGCCTTTGGCCAATAGCTGGCTGTTGTGACAGCGTCTTCTTAGGCTGGGTCTTAGGCTTTTGTGTGTGTGTGCTTTTAAGTGTTCTCACCAAGGTTTTCAATACAGTTTCTTATTTAATTGTTTTCTAATATTTATGCTCATTGTGTGTTTTTGTTTGAGGTTGAATCCTGACAAGACAGAAGTACTGCTCTTGGGGGACAAGAGGCGGGCTGGTGTGGAGGACTCCCTGGTTCTGAATGGGGTAACTGTGCCCCTGAAGGACCAGGTGCGCAGCCTGGGAGTCATTTTGGACTCACAGCTGTCCATGGAACCAGAGGTCAATTCTTTGTCCAGGGCAGCTGTCTACCAGCTCCATCTGGTACGCAGGATGAGACCCTACCTGCCTGTGGATTATCTCGCCAGAGTGGTGAATGCTCTGGTTAGCTTCCACTTGGACTACTGCAGTGCGCTGTACGTGGGGCTACCTTTGAAGGTGACCCAGAAACTGCAACTAATCCAGAATGCAGCAGCTAGAATGGTGACTGGGAGTGGCCGCCAAGACCATAAAACACCAGTCTTGAAAGACCTAAATTGGCTCCCAGTACGTTTCCGAGCACAATTCAAAGTGTTGGTGTTGACCTTTAAAGCCCTACATGGCCTCGGTCCAGTATACCTGAAGGAGCGTCTCCACCCCAATCGTTCTGCCTAGACACTGAGGTCCAGTGCTGAGGGCCTTCTGGCGGTTCCCTCGCTGTGAGAAGCAAAGCTACAGGGAACCAGGCAGAGGGGCTTCTCAGTGTTGGCACCCGCCCTGTGGAACGCCCTCCCAGCAGATGTCAAAGAGATAAAAAACTACCTGACATTTAGAAGACATCTGAAGGCAGACCTGTTCAGGGAAGTTTTTAATGTGTGACATTTTGATGTATTTTTAATCTTTGTTGGAAGCTGCCCAGAGTGGCTGGGGAAACCCAGCCAGATGGGCGGGGTACAAATAATATATTATTATTATTATTATTATTATTATTATTATTATTAGTTTGCACCTGGCTTAATGTATGTTGCGAGCCACCTCAGGTCCTGTGCTGGGAGGAAGGCAGGATACAAATGACATTAAATAAATAAAGGATAAATTTGGATTGAACTTAAACCCTCACCGCCAGAGCACCATGACCCTGTTCTGGATCAGGGCGCTACGTACTGCATTTTTGCAAAAGATCCACTGAAGAATGACTGGACCAGGCCAAATCCTGCCACCTCACGTAGCCAGGCCCTTAAATTAATGTGCTTGTTTTGCATCCTGCCAAAAGGGGGGGGGGGCGGGGAGGGAGGGAGAGAGAGAAATGTCTTATCTGCTTCAGAATTCTCCTGTGGTGCCATTTGGAATTTGTCTGCCTCTCTAACTGGGTCAGAGCTGGAAGACCGGCAAGCTCCGCGGTCCAAAGGAAGGCAAATTGAGCTCCGCAGGCAAGGTCAGGAGGACGGATACAATAGGATCCTGTCCATGGTCTGGACTCTTGTTTACCTTTCAGCACTGTTTTCGCCATCGTTGTCATAACATTCCTTTCCAGCCCCGAAGCACATGAGAAAACCCTTGCGGTTGTGGATTCCAAGCTAATCTTTTTGGCATTGCACTTCTCTCTTTGGCAAACGAAAAGTTTGCTGTGGAACAGGAAGGTTCTCTACCATTCCAGAGGAGACCTCTGCTGTGGCTCACCTAGGCTGGTTCTTCACTCTCCCGTTATGATGATGACCATCATCATCATCTGCCCATCTGATTGGGTTGCCCCAGCCACTCTGGGTGGCTTCCAACACATATAAAAACACAACAGAACATCAAACATCAAAAACTTCCTAATACAGGGCTGCCTTCAGATGTCTTCTAAAAGCCAGATAGTTGTTTATTTCTTTGACATCTGGTGGGAGGGCGTTCCATAGGTCAGGCACCACCACCAAGAAGGCCCTCTGCCTGGTTCCCTCGCAGCGAGGGAACTGCCAGAAGGCCCTTGGCGCTGGACCTCAGTGTCCAGGCTGAATGATGGGGTTGGAGACGCTCCTTCAGGTATAGTGGACCGAGGCAGTTTAGGGCTTTCAAGGTCAGCACCAATACCAGCGGCGTAGCGTGGGTTGTCAGCACCCGGGGCAAGGCAAGTAATTTGCGCCCCCTAACCCCTAACATGCCGCCGCTGCCAGCTTCTTCTTGCTGCTGCCTGGTCTGGTCTGGTGTGGTTCTCTCCCGCGCTCAGCGCTGCGCTGGGCAGCCGCTGCACTGTCCCTCCCCCAGATAGTCCCTCGCTCTCTCTCCGCACCGCACGCCTGGCACCCACCCCCTCCACAGTGGGCGGCAACCCAGCGGCTCAGATCGGATTCGCACAGCCAGCACTGCAGTGAGAGAGAGTGAGTGAGCCAGGTAGGGGCAGAGAGCTGCGAGTGCGAGTGCGCCCCCCCCAGATGTTGCGCCCGGTGCGGCTGGCCCCCCCTGCACCCCCCACGCTACGCCACTGACCAACACTTTGAATTGTGCTCGGAAACATACTGGGAGCCAATGTAGGTCTTTCAGGACAGGTGTTACGTGGTCTTGGCAGCCGCTCCCAGTCACCAGTCTAGCTGCCGTATTCTGGATTAGTTGTTGAAATATACTTGGAGTTGAGAGTGGATTTCATGCTCTTTATCCAGCTCATAGTGGTGAGGAGGAATGGAAGTTCCCCCAGAATGTCTGCTTTATATACATTATTTACATAATAGACCCCATGTGATTGGATAATTCCAGGATTCTCCTGTAGGTCAATCAGGTTGCGGATTCACTTCCACCTGGAGTTAGATTGGGTGCCTCCTGTGAACCAATCAGACTGCTGCATTCTGAATCCTATTGTTCTAGGACCAATCAGACTGCTGCATTCTGAATTCTATTGTTCTAGGACCGATCAGACTGCTGCATTCTGAATCCTATTGTTCTAGGACCAATCAGACTGCTGCATTCTGAATCCTATTGTTCTAGGACCAATCAGACTGCTGCCTTTTGGATCCTATTCAACTCAGTACATAACAGTTGTAGTTTCCGGGTCACCTTCAAAGGTGCGCATTGCAGTAGTCCAAGCGGGAGATAACTAGAGCATGCACCACTCTGGTGAGACAGGGCAAACCTTAATCAGAGTTAAGCATGTTGGTTCTATGGGGCTGGATCTATCCCACACAAGCAGCTTCCTGTGGGAACTGCAGCCTGAATCAAGTTCATTCCTGTCCCACTGACTCACAGTAAAACTCAAATTGGTAGGAATCTGACCGACTGCCCTGATGCCTTACTATCGTGATCTCCACCATCGTGTGGCGTTCCAGTTCTTCGCTTGGAGTGGAGGCATCATCCCGGGGTTGCCATGGCAACCGCAAACAAAGCAGGCCGGTTAAGCCAAACGGGACCAGCCAGTATTTTAGATTACATGCAATTAGGCTGTGGCAAGAAACAATTAGCCATCTGTTCCCTCACGGAGGATTTAATATCCAGGGGAAATTGCTCTCCTCCAGCAACGTCCCTCCGCATTTGTGTTGTGACACTGGGCAAGAGTAGAGGGTGATAACATTCTTGGCTCTCCCGCTATGAGTCTTCTTGGCCAGAGATCCCTTGATCCAACCCTTTTTTAAAAAAAATTACCCAGACTTTTAAATCATCCTCACCCAGTTCGAAACAGATCATTGGCAACTGACTGGTTTTTTTGTTTTCTTTTTAAGGAAAGGGGTTTTAACAGTGCTGTGCTGTTTTCATCATCCCTATTTATTTTTTTAATATTGTTTTAATTTTATTATAGGGTTGTTGTTGTTTTTAAAAAAGAATCTTTTATATGTTTTTTTTTTGGGGGGGGGGTATTTTATCTGCGTCATTTTAATTTGTGCAAGTCCGGAGTGGAATCTGGACACATAAAAAAAACATGCTGTGAAAATGCTTTTTTAAGAAGCATTTTGAAAAATATATTGAATTTGCCATAAGCTCACCATCACCATCTAGTGTCACATTTATATAATGCACTTAAAACATATTTGCAGCTGTTTAGCTGAGTCGCCAAATCTGGGTAAAATGTGGGGTAAGAATGATGATGATGATGATAAATGCCCCCTAGCCTGGTGGGACTTTACATCTTCCATCCGTGAAACAAGATTTACCAACTATTGAAGAATGGCAGATGAAGATGATGGACTATATGGAACTTGCCAAACTGACCGGGAGACTCTGAGACCAGAGAGAAGAGATGGTGGAAGAAGACTGGAAGAAGTTTAAGGAATATTTGAAAAAAATATGTTAACATTTAAATCTTAGAATAGCTTTGGAAGTGGATATAGGCTGTAGGGTTAGAAGTAGAAGATAGTGTATTTTAAAATAGTATTATTTATAAGTGATAAAATGTGAAATTATTTTAAGGTAAAGGTAAAGAGACCCCTGACCATTAGGTTCAGTCGTGACCGACTCTGGGGTTGTGGCGCTCATCTTGCTTTATTGGCTGAGGGAGCTGGCGTACAGCTTCCGGGTCATGTGGCCAGCATGACTAAGCCGCTTCTGGCAAACCAGAGCAGCGCATGGAAACGCCGTTTACCTTCCCACCAGAGCAGTACCTATTTATCTACTTGCACTTTGATGTGCTTTCAAACTGCTAGGTTGGCAGGAGCAGGGACCGAGCAACAGGAGCTCACCCCGTCGCGGGGATTCGAACCACCGACCTTCTGATCGGCAAGTCCTAGGCTCTGTGGTTTAACCCACAGCGCCACCCACGTCCCTCAAATTATTTTAAGTATGATTTAAAAAAAGATGGTTAGAAATTATGATATATGTAAACTGCTAAAGATGAAGTAAAATGAAAATCAGATTGGTGGGACTTGGGGAAGCCCACTTAACAATGTTTAGAAAAATAAGGCCATGACAAGAATTTGTTTGTATTGTTTGTTTTTCTGTTTGTGTTCTTTATTCGCGTTATAAAATGAATATTTTTTTTGAAAAATAAAAACATCTTCCATCCGCTGGGATGGAAGGCAGAGAGGCAGGCAGATTCCTGCATTGCAGGTGGTTGGGGTTCCTTCCAACTATATGATTCTGTTATTCTAACCAGATCAAATCAGGCCTTGTGCTGTCACACAACGGCAGCAGAGATGACACAAAATCCAGTGGATCCCTGCCCGCTCCGTTGCAAAGCCCTATTGTTTTTAGTACTGTGCTGAACCAATTTTCCTTTTGCGTTACTGACAATAGGATTATTTCCTATCGTTCCTAATACATTTTTTTATTAAAAATGTTATATTTATTGTTGTTCATTTGATAGGCTGTGAGCCACCATGGGCCCAATTCTGTGGAGAACTGACATACAAATAAATTGATTGTGACAACGAACCCTCTAACCACTGCGGCACCTAACCACTCTTCAATTTATTTTATTTTATTTAAAGGAATTTATGAATTGCTTACTACAGTATTTCAAAAATCTCTAAGAGGTGTACAGTCCAAAAAGCAAGCGATATATCATGAACGCGAAAGCATAACCAAAAATCAATGAAAGAGCAATGTGGAACTGAGAAATTTCAAGCATGTAAAATAAATAACTATACGACTTTTAGAAGGCAGCTCTGTATAGGGATGTTTTTTGGTGTTCAATGTTTTATTACACTTTTATATATGTTGAAAGCCGTGCAAAGCGGCTGGGACAACCCAGTCAGATGGGCGGGGTACAAATCATAAAATTACTATTATTGTTACTAAAACATTCCAAGATGGCACTTGAAACTACACGTTTTTCCATTGAAAGAATCAACCCTTTCTAAAAAAAGCTGCTGTTTAAAGGATCAGGGTATTTAATTGACTACAGCAGGCACGTCCAACTGCCAAGAGACTGATCTACTCCCACTATAAATAAACTGGCAGTATACCCATTGGATAAGGGACACGGGTGGCGCTGTGGGTTAAAACACAGAGCCTAGGACTTGCCGATCAGAAGGTCGGCACTTTGAATCCCCGTGACGGGGTGAGCTCCCGTTGCTCGGTCCCTGCTCCTGCCAACCTAGCAGTTCGAAAGCACGTCAAAGTGCGAGTAGATAAATAGGTACCGCTCCGGCGGGAAGGTAAACGGCGTTTCCGTGCGCTGCTCTGGTTCACCAGAAGCAGCAAGTCATGCTGGCCACATGACCCGGAAGCTGTACGCCGGCTCCTTCGGCCAATAAAGCGAGATGAGCACCGCAACCCCAGAGTCGGCCACGACCGCACCTACTGGTCAGGGGTCCCTTTACCTTTTTATACCCATTGGATATACCAAAGTTGTTGACCTTTTTTTGGGGTGGAAGAGCCACAGTTCTTGAGCTTTTTTGGGGAGGGATCAATCAGGATCCCCTCCTAGCAATTCAACTACTTTTGCTCAACCTCAAAAGGAGCAGACACAGGTAGCAGGTCTCCCTTGAGAGAGCTGCTGCTGAAAGGGAGCTAAGGGAGAATAATAATAATAATAATAACAACAATAATAATTTATTATTTATACCCCCGCCCATCTGGCTGAGTTTCCCCAGCCACTCTGGGCAGCTCCCAATCAAGTGTTAAAAACAGCATTAAATATTAAAAACTTCCCTAAACAGGGCTGCCTTCAGATGTCTTTTGAAGATAAGATAGCTGCTTATTTCCTTGACATCTGCTGGGAGGGCGTTCCACAGGGCGGGCACCACTACCGAGAAGGCCCTCTGCCTGGTTCCTGTAACCTCACTTCTCACAATGAGGAACCACCAGAAGGCCCTCGGCGCTGGACCTCAGCGTCCGGGCTGAATGATGGGGGTGGAGATGCTCCTTCAGGTATACTGGGCCAAGGCCATTTAGGGCTTTAAAGGTCAACACCAACATTTTGAATTGTGCTCGGAAACGTACTGGGAGCCAATGCAGGTCTTTCAATACCGGTGTTGGCGGCCACTCCCAGTCACCAGTCTAGCTGCTGCATTCTGGATTAATTGCAGTTTCCAAGTCACCTTCAAAGGTAGCCCCACATAGAGTGCATTGCAGTAGTCCAAGTGGGAGATAACTAGAGCATGCACCACTCTGGTGAGACAGTCTGCGGGCAGGTAGGGTCTCAGCCTGCGTACCAGATGGAGGTGGCAGACAGCCGCCCTAGACACAGAATTGAGCTGCGCCTCCATGGACAGCTGTGAATCCAAAATGACTCCCAGGCTGCGCACCTGGTCCTTCAGGGGCACAGTTACCCCATTCAGGACCAGGGAGTCCCCAACCCCCGCCCAACCCCTGTCCCCCCAAAACAGTACTTCTGTCTCGTCAGGATTCAGCCTCAATCTGTTATCCACTATGCATCCTCCAACTGCCTCCAGGCACTCACACAGGATTGCGTTTTTAAACCGTCACCCCCTCCAAACTTTCTTGCATTCTGCAGTGAGGACCATCGGCCCAAAGCAGCCTGCTTGCAGCACCACTGCCAGAAACTGCAGCCACCCAGTAATAACATCTGGGTTGGGGCATTTTGACTGGAGCCAGAAAAAGTGCCGGGGTGATTGCCAAAGGATCGGTGCCAAAGGGCGATGGCCCTTTGGGGTGGTCCTTTGGGAAGAGAGCAAGGACTGAGCCAGCGAGCCGAAGTGTGGTTGTAGCTGGAGGGTTCTGCTGCGACAGACCCATATGTAGGATTGTACCAAGTGCTAATTCATTCCCCGCCTCCTAATTGAACGCAGCATGGAAGTCGCTCGAAGCAAACTCATCCCGGGCGCCTGCAGATGTGCTGTTATCCTGAAAGGACCTCGGCTCGCCAAGAGTGCTCCGAGGATCCAGCGATTTCTGGAGCCAAGCACCTCAGCTGTTTAAAATCTGAGATCCGACACAAACTCGAACCTGTCCAAAAACAACGGAGCAGGTGATACTGCTTACGGAGGCCAGAGCCAAAAATAAAGTTGGCTTGAAAGCCGCCCAGCATACCGTTGCTGAACTTCGCCTCTGTGTGCGCGAGCCAGCGGGGTTATTTCTGTCAGATTTGGATCGGACGGCCCACAGAGCAAAGCTAAGCTGCGCCTCTGGGTTTTGGATTCCCATTTTAGGTACAAGAAGATTGAGCACTTACAGGGTGTTGAGGTTCTTCAGATTCCTGAAGGCTCCAGGCTGGATGGCTTTGATGCGGTTGAAGCGCAAATCCCTGGAAAGCAAAGGAGACTCTCTCAATCCATCAGTCACATGTGGGCTCTAAGAGTGCAGGAGGTGGCGGACATCAGGTCCACACGTGAAATCTAAATGCATCTCCAAAATACTCTCTGCAGAAAGCCTGGTACAGGTGTTCCACACACCCCTTACGTGCGACCGACTTGTGCACGGCACTGGGAAATAAATAATTCAATCCAAAGCTGGAAATCCAAAACTGGAGAGTCCTTGTGGCTCGCGAGGAGACCCTCCCCGGAACCCAAAGAAGATGTCAGTGAGGGCAGACGAAGCTCCGAAAAGACTGGAGGCCCAGCGGGGCTTTGCTTAGGCCATGGGTAGGCAAACTAAGGCCTGGGGGCTGGATCTGGCCCAATTGCCTTCTAAATCCGGCCCTCAGACAGTCTGGGAATCAGTGTGTTTTTACATGAGTAGAATGTGTGCTTTTATTTAAAATGCATCTCTGGGTTATTTGTGAGGCATAGGAATTCTTTCATCCCCCCCCAAAAAAATATAGTCCGGCTCCCCACAAGGTCTGAGGGACAGTGGACCGGCCCCCTGCTGAAAAAGTTTGCTGACGCCTAATTTAGGCTGCTCAGCCTCCCCGCTTAACAGCTGGCACAGGAGGTAGCGCAGCAGCAGCCGCCACTTCCCCTTAGGTCCTCCAGCCTCCTGAAAAAGCTTCAGATCTAGCTGTGGATATTTTTGGATACAATATTTTTGCTACAGATTGAAGAGTGGGTGCCAGAGAGGGCGTTTAAAGGGTGTTTAGCGGGTGCTCCCCATTTTACGCGATTTCACTTATGCAGAAGCAAAGTCAAACAGAGCCAGGTATTCTCTTGCGCTGAGCTTCCCCTAAAACAGGCATGGCCAAACTTGGCCCTCTAGCTGTTTGGGGACTACAACTCCCCTCATCCCTAGCTAACAGGACCAGTGGTCAGGGATGATGGGAATTGTAGTCCCAAAACTGCTGGAGGGCAAAGTTTGGCCACCACTGCCCTAGAAGCTTATTCACACCTTATTCTTGGTGTTGTATGGCCTTCTGCTGAGAAAGGCAACAGGGCCCTGGCTTGCACCAGCTCTAGCCATTCTAGAATCATAGAACCCCAAAGCTGGAAGGGACCCACGGGTCATCTAGTCCAACCCCCTGCAATACAGGAATCTCAGCTAAAGCATCCATGGCGGGTGGCCACCCACCCTCTGCTTAAAAATCCATTCCACTTTAGAAGAGCTCTTACTGTCAGAATGGGACGCAGGTGGCGCTGTGGGTTAAACCACAGAGCCTAGGACTTGCCAATCAGAAGGTCGGCGGTTCGAATCCCCGTGACAGGCTCGGTCCCTGCTCCTGCCAACCTAGCAGTTCAAAAGCACGTCAAAGTGCAAGTAGATAAATAGGTACCGCTCCGGCGGGAAGGTAAACGGCGTTTCCGTGCGCTGCTCTGGTTCGGCAGAAGCGGCTTAGTCATGCTGGCCACATGACCCAGAAGCTGTACGCCGGCTCCCTCGGCCAATAAAGCGAGATGAGCGCCGCAACCCCAGAGTCGGTCACAACTGGACCCAATGGTCAGGGGTCCCATTACCTTTACTGTCAGAAAGGTTTTTCCAAACGTTTAGTTGGAATCTCCTTTCTTGTAACTTGAGGCCCTTGGTTTGAGTCCTACCCTCCAGAGCAGGGGAAAACAAGCTTGTCCCCTCTTCCATGTGACAGCCCTTAAGTGGCGATGATCTACTGCCCTGCACAGCCCATGGGAGCAGGGATGGTGAACCTGTGACCATTATCCTTTACTGCTGGCCATACTTTTTGGGTGGCTGATGTGAATTGGAGTCCAAAACATCTGGAGGTCTCCAGGCTGCAGCAGAGCAGTGTGATTTTGTTTGTATGTGTGGAGGCCTCCTTTCCTGAACTTCTTGACAAAATGTGTAGGGTTTTTCAGTGACACTGAAAGCTAAAAATGCACAACAGTTGCTGAGCAGCGTGATAATGCCCTTTCACAAGTTATGGTTAAACCACATCGAATCACAGAATTATATTCATGCAGGAATCTAGAGAATCGACCTTTGATTTCACCCCGAAGACTCCAAAGGTCTAATTTCCAGATTATCCAGGTATAACGTCTACAGTGGAGGTGAAGCAAACCTCTTCTACAAACCGTTTTCCTGGTTTTTCATACGGCCTCCGGGTTTCTCATACTGCAGTGATCAATGCTAATTGATTTATTGCTAATCGCCGATCTGGATCTTATTGCTATATCGCTAGGTATTGCTGTTGGTTTATTGTTCTGCAAACCACCCTGGTAGTTCATTGAAAAGAAAGGCAGTTGCAGAGATGATTTTAATAAAAAATAAATATGATGGAAGGGCTGACGCCATGCTGTTTTTACCATAATTAACTATATGCTTTTAATAGATGGGAGAGATTTAATTCTGTCAGTGTTTTTTAATGGTTGTTTTTCCCCCTCCTCTGTTCTTATTTTTATCTGTAACCCGCCTTGAATCCCTGTATGGGAAAAAGGAGGGGTATAAATTTATTTTTTTATTTATTTCCCCTGACAGGGACTCAAGGTAATAGTAAAAATAATTGGAGGCAGGGAAAGGGAGGATTTATAGAGAAACGTAAAAGAGTGAGAATCCTGGGTTGTTGCATTCAGTTGTTCAACATGGTGAGGACAATCTGGCTAACCGGATTCAAAAATACACTCTCACACCCTGCTCACCCACAAAAACAAATTCTCATTACAGCCACACCCAGCCTCTCTTACAACCAAGGAAATACAAGTATTCACTTTCCTAATTGTTTCAATTCATAAACCAAGAAATTATATATTGACCACTAGGAACGAAACATATGTTGCAGATATTTTCCCACATTAATTATGCTATTTTTGTGCTATACAAATGACATGGGAAAACTTATTTGTATAACATTATTCATGTTTATGAAACCCAGTTCAAGCAAACAAACAAACACACTCTGCACATGCTCAAGTGTGCTGCTCACATGGTGGTTGAAAAACCCCAACCATGATTGCCTGCATTATGGGACCCGCAGGAAACATGGATACAAAGAGATGCAATTAAAATCCATAGCAAAGAAAGGAAAATATCGACACATTCCGTTCTCGGAAGCGTTAGGAGAGTGCACCGAAATCTGTGCACCTCAAATAAAAATAAAAGCATATTTTCTTTTTTTAGACACATAAACGCAGCCCTGCCGCAGCAAGGCCTCAAAAAATTAGTTGAAAACTCATAAATGTTCCTCCCCACGGAAATCTTTAGTAAAAGGCGAAAGATTTATACGATCTGAGGTGAAACCAGAGTATGCTTTCCACAAGCCGACGAGCCCCACCACTGCGCAGGCGCCTGCCACTAAGGTTACGGTGATCCTATATGTTCTCTTTCCCCCGCCCCGAGAAACACTTTTTATAGGTGAAAAAGGAAAAAAAAAGATTGCTCCAATGTTTCTCCTGCGGTAGTAGAAGCCGTTCGCGTTAACGACGAAAACCACGGAGGGAAAACCGGCTCCCTTGCGCGCAATGCATCATGGTTCCAACGAATGCTAATGAGGGCTTCCCGGCTCTCGGCCCCGCCCGCGCAAAGCTGGTATTGAGCAACCATAGAGATAAGAAAGTATAGATACACGCACATAAACTTACACATAGGGAAATGCTGATTTTTCGCTTGACAGCGGCTTGTTAAATGTGCGTGGCCAGGATTTTAGGGGAGGCTGGCCTTTGTTAAGGGGGGGGCAGAACCTCAGCTATGTATTTTTATTTATTTTTATTGATGGGGGGGGGCAGTGGACCTGTTGTACGCCCTAGGACAGTGGTGGCCAAACCTGGCCCTCCAGCTGTTTTAGGACTACAACTCCCATCACCCCTAGCTAACAGGACCAGTGATCAGGCATGATGGGAATTGTAGTCCCAAAACAGCTGGAGGGCCAAGTTTGGCCACTACTGCCCTAGGGGCAATTTCCCCATGCTAGAACCTTCCAGATATTCTGTACTATCAACCCCCACTGCTCAACTTTCCTGGAAAGGGGCAGGAGAAAGTGGAAGAAAGTTTACAGTCCTTAGGTCACATCTCCGGCCCTGATTTGTAAAGAACTCATATATATCTTTCTCAAGGCCTTCTGGGAAATGATATATAATGAACTAAAAAAGGTATTGAAATATACTTTCTTGAAGAAACCAGAGGCTTTCCTCTTGGGCATGGTCGGACAATTGGTGCGAAGGGAAGACAGGAATTTCTTTATGTATGCGACAGCAGCGGCAAGAATACTTATTGGGAAATACTGGAAGACACAAGAATTGCCTACCCGAGAAGAATGGCAGAGAAAAGTGATAGACTATATGGAACTGGCTGAGATGACCGGCAGAATTCGAGATCAGGAAGAAGGGTCGATGGAAGAAGATTGGAAAAAAATTAAAATATATCTTCAGAAATACTGTAATATAAAAGAATGTTAGAAAAGGTTGGAGAAGAATATTAGACCGTATTGGCAGACAGAGTATAATGGAATAAGTAAATATGAAGTGTAAAATAAAGATAGAGGAGAATTAAATACTTTCGAATGTTAAAATAAGTAAATGAAAAGAAGGTTAGAAGGATTTGCTGGAGATACGATTCAAATTAGAATACAAAGCAGAGAGGTGAGAGGAAGTCACGGAAATAAGTAAATGGGAAGACGGTTCTAATGGTTTAATTTGATTTTTTGTTACTTTTTTATTGTGATTTTTTGTCTTTTGTATTTTTCTTTGTACTGTTCGTTTTTTGTGTAAGATGTATGTGATTTGTTTTTCTTTTTCTACTTTTTTCTTTTTCTGTAACTTTAAAATTGGAATAAATATTCTTATAAAAAAAAAAAAGAACTCATATATATCTTTAACAGTCACTACCCACAAAGACGCGGGTGGTGCTGTGGGTTAAACCACAGAGCCTAGGACTTGCCGATCAGAAGGTCAGCGGTTCAAATCCCCGCGAGCTCCCATTGGGTGAGCTCCCATTGCTCGGTCCCTGCTCCTGCCAACCTAGCAGTTCGAAAGCATGAAGTGCAAGTAGATAAATAGGTACCACTCCAGCGGGAAGGTAAACGGCATTTCCGTGTGCTGCTCTGGTTCGCCAGGAGCGGCTTAGTCATGCTGGCTACATGACCCGGAAGCTGTACGCCGGCTCCCTCGGCCAGTAGAGCGAGATGAGCGCTGCAACCCCAGAGTCATCCGCGACTGGACCTAATGGTCAGGGGTCCCTTTACCTTTACCCACAAAGAATCCTGTGAACTGTAGTTTGTTAAGGATGCTGGGAATTGTAGCTACCGGTATATCTGTTATGTATTGAAGTTCTCACCCTGGCCACCAGGATTATCATGTATATAGTTTTCACTCAGGTCCACGTCAGTTACTTTAGGCAGGAAACCCTGGGCTGTTGTTGCTACAATGTTGACAGCTGGCTGCCTATAAAAGCAGGCCGGCTGAGCTGTTTGCTGTTCAGTTCTGTTCCAGCTTACAAATAAAGAGCTGCTTTGGAGAAATCGCTACGTCGGCTGCTATGTCTTCCCACTATTTAACAATATCATTGTTTAATATTGTTGGCACCCGTCTACCTCGAGAGACAATGGAATAGTGCACCATGGGAGGTGGGCAAAGACAAAACATTGGAGGGTTACAGCACCCTTTAACAAACTACAGTTCCCAGCATTCTTTAGGGGAAGCCGTACCTGTTTAAAGTGGTATACAAGAGCACTTTAAACTTATTGTTGGGGCTGGGATGTGACCTTAGGCATCACAGCAAAAGTCCTGGATATCTGGAATTGACCCCTCTCTGCTCTGTGTTCAGGTTGCAGTATCTCCGCTCCCTTCCAGGCGACAGATTTATTGAGCCTTGTTGGCACAAAGTTTGCCGGGATGCTAGGCAACACCGGTTTTTCCAGTGTGCATTTCCCCTGTTGCTTTTCGTTCTGCCAAAAGTCTGAGTGCACTTTGCAGATCGTTGCTCTTTCCAGGTGGGACCCAAATCAAAGTTGATCTGGTGTTCCAATGCACCTAAAACCTGCCTTTTTTGTAGTAGAAAACTGAAGGGGGGCATGCACCACAATGTGCGGGATAACGAAGGCAGCCAGTGTGGTGTAGTGGTTAGAGTGTGTTAACGGAGAAATCTGAGGGCTCCCTTGGATAAAAAACAAGGACACCAGCCAGGAATACCAGAGCAAAACAGCAGCCAGTAGGCTTGGTCTTTATTGAAGACTGTCGTGACAGGACTCCCACCTGCCACCAGGTGGAACAAGATGGAAGCCCTGAACAAAAGGAGACCCCAACTTTTATTAGCTACTAATCCCCATGTTACACCCCTAGAACTACATCACAACTACATCATTGACACATCACAAAAAGGAGGGGTTGAGGGAGGAGTTGTGGTGGTAACCTGAGTGTCTTCTCACCTGGCCGATTCCACCCATGAGTACTTTCCAGAGGACAAAGGGGAGTTTGCAGTTTCCTGTCCCCAGAGGGAAGAGCTGATCACTGCCCTTTGTTCCAATCCGTTCTGAATCCACTCGCATATGCAGGTTCTTTGTGAGTGTGATGGTCTCCTGTCTAGGACCATCAAGGTTGGCATGCCAACTGGGTAGGGCTCCTGCGGACGTGTTGGTACGCTCAAGGGATTATGGCTGCCCTGTATCAAACCTTCCCCCTTTGATAGTCCTTCCTTCATAGAGCAAAATAAAAGTGGAACGGTACAGATCCGATGTACGGGTGATTTTCTATGAATTTATAACAGAAGCATCGCATATGTCGTGTGTGTGTGTGCCAAGTTTGTACAAACTGAATGATGGGGGTGGGTGGGTTCCTGCAACAAGTGTCAGACCTTGGAGATTGGGGTTCGAATCCCCATTCAGCCATCAAGCTCACTGGGTGGCCTCGGGCCACTTATTCTCAGCCTAACCCACCTCACAGGGTTGTTGTTGTTGTGCGGATAATATGGGGAGGAAGAGAAGCACCGTATTTTTCGCTCTATAGGACGCACCATTTCCCCTCCAAAAATGAAGGGGAAATGTGTGTGCATCCTATAAAGCGAAAAATACGGTATATATGCTACCTTGAGCTCCTGGGATGAAAGGGGAATATAAATGTAATGAAAATAAAAATAAGAACAAAAACAAAAATGAATAAACAATTTTTTCCATGCACATTGTCTAACCTCCCTGCAATCAAACCAGAATTTATATGCCCACTGAATACTTGTGTTTGCCTCCTGGCAAAAAATTGTGCAAAACGGGCCATGCTCAATTAACAGGTAGTCTGGAAATAACTTGAGTGGTGTGTTTTTGGAAGCAGGCTTGTTTTTTGCAAGAGTGCCAAATCCTCTTTAATCGCACAAGCTTAATTCACCGGTATGCGAGTGAATCCCACCTGTGAATCAGCAACAGTCTGTACTTAGTTTTACTGCAGTCATTGCAACCCTGAACCTCTTGCAGACTGGCGCGGCCAAAACTGAAGGCAAATAAATGAATAATGAGAGAAACTTCCTAAGTAATGTTAAGTGAATTCCCATCTCCACATTCTCCCCCCGCATCGCACACACACATACCTTGTCTTTATTTTTATCTGGTTAGTTTAATGCACAGGTTGAACAGCAGGAGAGGAACCTGATTTTAATTAGAAGGTTTAGCGGAGCCAAAGAAGGGGCCAGAATACAGGAGGTGGCTGTGTGCCAGCGTCAGGCTCTCGAACTCCACAAATGAATTATTTCTAAGTAAAACATTTTCTGCACTTTGTGGTAACAGCAAGGCCAAAAAAAAGTATTTAAATGGAAGAGACCTTTGGATGTAGAATGAGCCAAGGGAGAGTGATAGGTGATTATGGGCAGGAGACATCCTATTGCAGGTTCAGTTCCCTATCTGTAAAATGGGAATTATTATTATTATTATTATTATTACTCTGCCCACCTGGGTTTCCCTATTCCCTAGGGACTAGTAAGGATCTGCCTAGCACAGTGTTGTGGACTACAAATACTATCATCCCTGAACACTGACCACACTGACGGGGGCTCATGGGAGTTATAGTCCAAAATACCTGGGGAGTGCCAGCTTGTCAAAGGCTGGTGTACATCATTTTGAGGGCCTTAATGGAAATTCGGGATGTGCATAAAAGGTAAAGGGACTCTGGGGTTGCGGCGCTTATCTCGCTTTACTGGCCGAGGGAGCCGGTATACAGCTTCCGGGTCATGTGGCCAGCATGACTAAGCCACTTCTGGCGAACCAGAGAAGCGCACGACAACGCCGTTTACCTTCCCGCTGGAGTGCTACCTATTTATGTACTTGCACTTTGACGTGCTTTCGAACTGCTAGGTTGGCAGGAGCTGGGACCGAGCAACGGGAGTTCACCCCGTCACGGGGATCCGAACCGCCGGCCTTCTGATCGGCAAGTCCTAGGCTCTGTGGTTTAGACCACAGCGTCACCCGCGTCCCTCTGTGAGCCAGTACACAGATACATTTATCAGTGAATTGTCACATTTGGTATCGTGCAGCAAAGGCCCTTTGAATAGGCAGGAAGAAACGGTGATGAAGTGTTTTTTGGGGACAAATCGCAAAAGTCACAAAAGTGATTCTGCTGGTTTTGGTAGTAGGCTGCATGTGCATGATACCTGCTGGAGGGGCAACCCCCCCCCCAACCTATACATAAATTCCTGCAACACCCGCAAGCAGAATTTGAACAAAAGAGCCCTCTCTAATCCTGTGGTTTCCAGCAACTGGCGTTCAGAATCACTGCAGCCTCCAATCGTGGAGGCAGAACAAAGCCATCAAGAGCCCTCTACTCCTCCTCCGTGAATTTATCCAATCTTTTAAAGCCATGGAGGTTGGTAGCCGTCACAGCTTCCTGTGGCAGTGAGTTTCATGGTTTATCTTTCCTGAATCTTCTTTCATCTGCCCTGAATCTTCCAACATTCAGCTTCAATGAATGTCTGGGGGGGGGGGGGGAAGAATTTTTCTATATGCAAGTACAGCTGCTAGAATAGTGATTGCTGCTAGGTGGAAGTCACAAACTATACTTACAAAGGAGGAATGGATTTGTAAACTAAATGAATATTTAATTTTGGCAAAATTAACTGCTATACAGTCATACCTCGGGTTGAATGTGCTTTGGGATGAACATGTTCGAGTTACGCTCCGCGGCAACCCGGAAATAACAGAGTGCATTACTTCCGGGTTTTGCCGCTTGCGCATGCGCAGATGCTCAAAATGATGTCACGCGCATGTGCAGAAGCGCCGAAATGTGACCCATGCACGCGCAGATGCGCGGACACTGGTTACGTTTGCTTCTAGATGCGAACAGGGCTTCGGAACGGATCCCGTTCGCATCTAGAGGTACCACTGTAATAAGAAATCCGTCGAATCAAAAATTTAAAAAAGGAGTGGAAATGTTTTGATGAATATATGGCAAAATATTGCTCAAAAAGAAAAAGAAAAAGATACGCTAATATGCCTAGATTAAAATGTGAAGTACTGGATGGAAGAAAAATTTGTAAGGAAAGATAATAAGAATATATAGATGAGTTGAGAAGATTGTGGAATGCAAAGATTACTGTAAATTGTATAATGTGGAGGACATTGAGTGGGGGCAGAGGGAAGTGGGAGGAAGGAGAAAATAATAATATGATGGATTGAGGAAATATAAATGGAAATGTATGGGGGGATGGGGAGGAAATGGTGTTGGCTTTGGTGCATCTGTATTGTAAGGTAATATGTGAAAACCAATTATATATATGTGTGTGCGTGTGTGTGTGTGTGTTGGGACATAATATAAATACATAAAATAAACTGACACACACAGAACTAAAAAATAAAAATAAAAATAAAAATGAATGTCCATGGATTCTAGCGCTATGAGAGAAGGAGAAACTGTTTTCCTCTTCTCAATTTTTCCATGCCTGGGCTAATTTCTACATCTCACCAGCATAGGATCTATGAGTTGCCACCACCTTTCCAGCCGGATATTCCTCTCTTTTCCATATATCCTTAAACCTGGACTTAAACCCCCCCCCCCAAAAAAAACCACCACCCAAATGTGACACTACGAGACAAATGGCCGAAGACCTACTTGGTTCGAAAGTTACTGTCTGCACAAACGGTCCACAGCTGTTGCTTTTCTGCAAGCTGTTGGCTCCGTCCTGCCAGATGACATCTGGGCTGCTGTTGCTCCGGAGGAACAGGCCACAGCCAACACATATCCATCACATACTTTCAGCGCTGACCTCTCTGTCCATTTGCCCTTTCTGTTTTGGGATGAAGCGGGATTTCTCATTAAGCGGGTTGCTGGCTTCAGTCTGCAATGGGAGCCAGGACCTCTGCATGTTCCAGCTGCAAGGGGCAGGACATGCGTGGAAGCCAGAATAATATGCGGCCGCAGAATCGAGGATCCTGACCCGGCTTTGCATACAAACTGCTTCTCCAAGGAAGACGTTTAAAAATTGGCAGCAGCAGGGGTGTGTGTGTGTGTTATGAGAGCAGGGGACAGTGGTGTTCAGACTTTTTCTGATCAGGGATTGCTTCCCACATTGACTTTTCTGGCAAGGCACTCCCCCAGGCATCAGCCACAGAATGGTTGTGTGGTGTAAAGGAGTCTGGGAGATATTTGAGGAGTCACACAAGTCTGTTAGACCACGCCGTAACGTTCTGTGTGAACGGAGGCTGTAGATCAGGACAGCTGTGCGCTGGTGGGTATCTGGATGATTCACAGTTGATCAGCATACAGTGGTACCTCAGGTTACATACGCTTTAGGTTAAATACACTTCAGGTTACAGACTCTGCTAAGCCAGAAATAGTACCTCGGGTTAAGAACTTTGCTTCAGGATGAGAACAGAAATCGTGCTCCAGCGGCGCGGTGGCAGCGGGAGGCCCCATTAGCTAAAGTGGTGCTTCAGGTTAAGAACTGTTTCAGGTTAAGAACGGACCTCCGGAACGAATTAAATACTTAACCTGAGGTACCACTGTACATTTAAAGCACCCCTCCAGAAAAAAAGAACCCTGGGAATTGTAGTTTGTTAAGGGCGCTGGGAATTCTAGCTGTGTAAGGGGCGAACTAGAGTTCCCAAGATTCTTCGGGGGGGTGTGTGCTCTAAATATATATAGTACATATGCAGGCTCAGTCCTGTAACAACAACAGGCTTTTCTCCTGCTCCTTAGTCAGGCGCTGAGCACGTGCGAATTGTAGTACAGTAGTACCTCAGGGTACATACGCTTCAGGTTACATACGCTTCAGGTTACAGACTCCGCTAACCCAGAAATAGTACCTCGGGTTAAGAACTTTGCTTCAGGATGAGAACAGAAATCGCGCTCCAGTGGCGTGGCAGTAGCAGGAGGCCCCATTAGCTAAAGTGGTGCTTCAGGTTAAGAACAGTTTCAGGTTAAGAATGGACCTCCAGAACGAATTAAGTTCTTAACCCGAGGTACCACTGTAACTTACATTTGTTTGTACCATTTCGCAGTATTTGTACTGGTTTGCAGGTCATTCCAGTGTTTGACTCATGAAGGCGCTGTTGATAATAAGCTCCGCCCCATGCTGACTAAAGTGGGAGGGGATTGCAGGCGCGGGGGACCTAATCCGGACTGGGATCCTGGCGTGGGGTAAAAAGGTAAAGGTAAAGGGACCCCTGACCATTAGGTCCAGTCGTGGACGACTCTGGGGTTGCGGCGCTCATCTCGCTTTATTGGCTGAGGGAGCCGGCGTACAGCTTACGGGTCATGTGGCCAGCATGACTAAGCCGCTTCTGGCAAACCAGAGCAGCGCCGTTTACCTGCCCACTGGAGCGGTACCTATTTATCTACTTGCACTTTGACATGCTTTCGAACTGCTAGGTTGGCAGGAGCAGGGACTGAGCAACGGGAGCTCACCCTGTCGTGGGGATTCGAACTGCCGACCTCCTGATCGGCAAGCCCTAGGCTCTGTGGTTTGATAATACGCTCCGCCCCATGCTGACTAAAGCGGGAGGGGGTTGCAGGCGCACGGGTCCTAATCCAGACTGGGACCTAATCCTGGCGTGGGGTTAGGGGAACTTTAACCATTTCCTCCACGGCTGTTGCATCTCAATCTCGCTTGCTCTCCCTCCTGCACCTGCAGTTTTAATTGCCAAAAAAGGGACCCATAGGAGATGTTCTGCAAAGCAAACATATTGGTTCCAGGAAACACCTTCTCAATTATCCCTCCCTCCCTATTGAGAAACTTCTGGTCAGCTTTTAAGGAACTTCAGGGTCCCTGGAACAAAAATGTACACAATCCAAGTTACAGCAGTCCGTTGGAGAACTGATGAGGAAATGTCACTCATGCTAAGCCACTGTCTGTAATGGCTAATTGATATCTGACTTTTTAATATAGTTTTTATTGCACGGTTTTACTGCTGTAGGGACGCGGGTGGCACTGTGGGTTAAACCACAGAGCCTAGGACTAGCTGATCAGAAGGTTGGCAGTTCGAATTCCCATGACAGGGTGAGCTCCCGTTGCTCGGTCCCTGCTCCTGCCAACCTAGCAGTTTGAAAGCATGTAAAAGTGCAAGTAGATAAATAGGTACCACTCTGGCAGGAAGGTAAACGGTGTTTCCGTGCACTGCTCTGGTTCGCCAGAAGCGGCTTAGACATGCTGGCCACATGACCCGGAAGCTGTACGCCGGCTCCCTCGGCCAATAAAGCAAGATAAGCATCGCAACCCCAGAGTCGGTCACGACTGGACCTAATGGTTGGGGTCCCTTTACTTTTACTTTACTGCTGTAAACGACTTTGGCGTTGTTGTTTTTAATGACACAGCAGTATATAAAGAAATAAAGTAATGATTTGAAGAGGAATATGATGCATCTCACTACAGTGGGGTCCACATGCCAAGTGAAAAATGGTTTATTTGGGTAAACGTTTTGAGGTTTTTCTCTTCTTTTTTTTACAATCAATCGGTGTCTTCATTGTATGAAATAAATAACTAAGCGTACCTGCTCAGTCTGCTGCCCAGGTGCTTCGAATGATGGGCAACTACAAGGCCTTCTTGGGGTGCTTTATCTTTTAAATCAGACCTGGTCTGGACAGCACTTTGTAAATAAATGATAATAATGAGAGCCAGTGTGGCATAATGGTTAGAGTGTTGGACTAGGGCCCAGGAGACCAGGGTTCAAATCCACACTCGGCCATGAGGCTCACTGGGTGACCTTAGGCTACTCACCATCTCTTAACCTAACCAACATCACAGGGTTGTTGCGTGGGTGAAATGGGGAGAACCGTATACACCCCCCTTGAGAAGATAAAGGTGGTATATAAATGAAACAAACAAATGGAAATCTTCACACAGAGGACTTACCCCTGACAGCCTTTTGTAGAAGGTAAAGGTAAAGGGACCCCTGACCATTAGGTCCAGTCGTGGCCAACTCTGGGGTTGTTGCGGTGCTCATCTCGCTTTTTTGGCCGAGGGAGCCGGCATACAGCTTCCAGGTCATGTGGCCAGCATGACTAAGCCGCTTCTGGTGAACCAGAGCAGCGCATGGAAACACCGTTTACCTTCCCGCCGGAGTGGTACCTATTTATCTACTTGCACTTTGACGTGCTTTCAAACTGCTAGGTTGGCAGGAGCAGGGACTGAGCAACGGGAGCTCACCCCGTCGTGGGGATTCAAACCGCCGACCTTCTGATCGGCAAGCCCTAGGCTTGTGGTTTAACCCACAGTGCCACCCGCGTCCCTACGACAGCCTTTTGTAAACAGTGTTTAATGCTGATTTGATAGATCAGCAAAACCTGTGGTAGGCATTGGGGTCAAGTTCGCCTCCCCTCCTGTTCAGGGCTGTTGCTTCTCCCAACTTACAGCAGGGCTGTAGCTCAGTGGTAGGGCATCTGACCTGCATGCAGAACGTCCCAAGTTCGGTCCCCGACGTCTCCAGACAGAGCTGGAAAAAAATCCCTGCCAGAAAATTCTAGGGAGCTGCTGCCAGCCCGTGTAGACAGTACCAAGCTAGATTGACCAATAGGCTGAGACTGCATAAGGCAGTTTCCTATGTTTAAAGAGGGGGCTGAGATGCTACACGAACCTTGAACCGAAAAATGCAAAACAAGAAACTCCACAGTCACATCTATGCCAGGAGCATGTGGAAGAGCACTTGGTAGCTTGAAACGTGCGCTTTACAGCTAATGTTTCTGAAAAAGGGCTGGCAGACACCCTGGATGTGGCTTGCCCATTTGGCTTCCTTGATACTATACTATGGACCTTTTTGTTCATTTAGCTGAAAACAAGTGTACCTATTTTCCTTCTGTCAGATGTTGGTTGGCAATAGAAACACACTCCCCCCTACCCTGTGCTTTCATCCTGGGAGTTTGAGACTCAGACCCAGACTTGCTAAGGCAACTTCCTTCCTCTCCAGCCGTGTCAGTTTCACCCATTGCTCCCCTCTCCCAGCCACTTTGCATGGACTTCCTCAGCTACACACACACACACACACACACACACACACACACACGTACATCACACCCAATCCAGTGGACGTTTGGGAATTTCGCAGATTTACACACAGGTACCCCTGTATATTTCTGCTGGAGTTGGTTCAATGAGGACTGTGTTCATTTGCTCTGTCTGCACCCCACCCTCCGAACGTTAAGCTGCGGCTTAAAGATAAAGGAAACTGGAACATTGAAAGTGCAAAGAAGTTTAGAAAGCACATGTGTTTGCTTTTAGAAATGCAAGACTGGCGTATGTTGAACGAATGAACACACACACACACACAGCGGAGTTTTCCACTTTCCGCAGGAGGGATGGGCTATTCTGACGATAGGATTTTACCCAACCCCAGCCCGGCGGCATCAAAACTTTGGGCACAATCTTCCCAGAAGTTCTTTACAAGGAGATGCATTTAAATGAGTGGGAGATGCACAAGGGCATCTGTCACAGAATTGTAGAGTTGGAATGGCCCCAAAGGATCATCTAAGCCCAACATCCAGCAATGCAGGAATCACAGCTGTGTCGTTTTCACGTGAAAATGTCTACCTTTGACTCACGCAAACGCAGACAAACGCACAAACACACTCCAAGGAACAAGGCAGAGGAAGGACTCCCCCAGCTGACATCTCATTCCAGGTTGCTTAGACGAGGCCACCTGCTTGGGGCCCCCACTTTAAAATCCCCACATTTGAAAGCAGATGAGCAAGGGACTGTGACCAGGACATGGAATAAGCACTTGGAAGGAAATAGATGCTCTGAACAAATGAATCCCAAGCCACCTTTCAAGTCACATAAAGATCCACTTCCACACTAAAAGTGCATGCTATTTTATAACATCCTTCAAACATCTCCTCCTTTCTGCAAATCCTTTGCTTAACTACCCCCACCCTGGGGTCTGCATCCCCACCAACCGCAGCAAAACCTAAACATGGTGAGTGCATTTCTGCACATTCTTCCCTTGTTAAGCTCTGACTTTCCTCCTTTCCATGTGAAACGGCGGACTGTAAACTCCTTGGAGACAGAGACCTTTTCTTTTCCTGCTTCTTCTCTCAAGTGCTTGGTGCATGAACGGTGCCGTAGGAATAATATTGCTTTTGCTCATTCCCCATGTTTGCAGAATTCTTTTCTGCAAAGCAACTTCCAGTGCTTTGTAACCAATAACACACAAACACACACACAACCTTGGGGAACTATAATTTCCAATAGTTTCTCCAGAAATGTGAATGTCTTTGGTGCCACGACAACTCCCCAGGGTAGGTCCACTCTCCCATGTAGATGCAAGGAGCTGCAACCACGAGACAGTAATTTGCCCAAGGCCCAAGGTCTGTGGCAGAGGTGGAACTTGACCCTCCCACCTTCCGGATCCCAAACCCAGCTCTAGCGGCACTCCGCTAAACTGGCGCACACAGTTTAACACCCAGAGGAGAATCTCCAAAGGAAAGTGGTACTTACAGGACATTGGTCTGTGGTGGGACTTCAGGGATGGTTTCCAGCATCAAATGCATGCATCTGACTGTGGTCCTGAAGCATAAGCACCGGCTGGGGCAGGAGCTGGCTGAGACAGGTAAGAGAAGCACCAGGTAGATGCTGGGGAGGAGGCCTGCGGCTCTGCCCAGCATGGTGTTTGCAGGGATGTTAAGTTCCCCAGATTCTGAGCTGCAAAGAAGCAGACCGAAATCTCCCAGCCTTGAGGGACGGGGAGGAGGAGAAGGGGGGGGGGAGGAAGGAGGAGGTGGGGACACACACGGACATATGTTTCCAATTAAGTTAAGGCAGTCTGACAGGCCAACTCCCACCCTCCCAGCTTACGATGCACATACAACATCCGAAAATCAAACTGCGACCCCAGTTGGGCTCTGCTCTCCACAGCAGATTCCTCATTAATTCTGCCTTGGCTCCCAGCCTGATTAGCAGGAACTCTTCGTTTTCCCTGGGTGGCAGGGGGGGGGGGGGTCTCAGGACCCAAAGATCAGCAAGCGGGGGGGGGGGGAGGGATGGGACAGAGAAGCCTGCTTTGCAGAGGGAGCTTGGAGACCCAGTCGTTGTTTCTAAAGAGATGCAATGGTGGAAGGGCAAAGGCACCATCACTCTTGGAGCACAGATGTAGCAGACTCTAGAGACACTGCTAATGGCTGGTGTACTCTTTCACCAGAGCATCACCAACAAGCACTTTTCACAAGGGCTTGCTGCAGGTGCACCAAACTGCTATGACATGGGGGGCATACCTGTCTCTAGGCAAACCGCCCTGATCCTGGAGGCTAAGCAGGGTCCAGACAGGTTAGTACTTGGAGGGGAGACCTCCTGGGAGTGCCGGGTGCTGTAGGCATGGTGAGGAACCTCTGGTCCTCCAGATGTTGTTTGAAGCCACCTCCCATAAGCCCCAACTAGCACAACCAATGGTCAGGGTTGATGGGAACACCAGACCAGCAGCATCTAGAGTGCCATGGGTTTCTCAAACCTGGGTTGGAGTTCATTATGCCCAACCACTGAAACCGCCGTGTTCAGTCTGATAAGCAGCGATGAACTCTGAAAACTCTAGAGCAGCCTTTCTCAACCTGTGGGTCCCCAGATGTTGTTGAACTACAACTCCCATCACCCCTAGCTAGCAAGGCCAGAGCTCAGGGATGATGGGAGTTGTAGTCCAACAACATCTGGGGACTCATAGGTTGAGAACCACTGCTCTAGAGCAAGCAAGACTAGGAAATTCTGGTTCATGGGCCAATCTTGGTCCACTAAGGACTTCAGTTTGGATCTTGGGGCCATTTTACTCAAACCACATCCACCTGACCTTCAGCTGGTTGGGAGGACAGGATTAAATCCTGCACTGGCTGCACATACCTGTTCCCAGCAGGGAAGGGGCTCCCATAGCCAAGGATTTAATATCCACTCATCAGCTGTTGTCAGGGGATAAATCCTGCTCCATTCAAGGTGCCTAATGCTCCCATTTGAGCCATTGGTTTTTGGAGACTTGAGTGCACTGTTCTCTCTTTCTTTCTTTCTTTCTTATTCTTCTTAGCATGCTGGGCATGTCAACTCAAGCACCTTTGGCCCTTAAAGGTAAAGGTAAAGGGACCCCTGACCATTAGGTCCAGTCATGACTGACTCTGGGGTTGCAGCGCTCATCTCGCTTTACTGGCCGAAGAAGCCGGCGTACAGCTTCCGGGTCATGTGGCCAGCATGACTAAGCCGCTTCTGGAGAACCAGAGCAGCGCACGGAAACACCGTTTACCTTCCTGCCGGAGTGGTACCTATTTATCTACTTGCACTTTGACGTGCTTTTGAACTGCTAGGTTGGCAGGAGCAGGGACCGAGCAACGGGAGCTCACCCCATCGCGGGGATTCGAACCACCGAACTTCTGATTGGCAAGTCCTAGGCTCTGTAGTTTAACCCACAGCGCCACCCCCGTCCCCCTTTGGCCCTTAACCAGCAGTATAAAACATGCACCAGTGAAAAGATAATAGGAAGAGCTACCCACAGAGGAACAGCCTGCAGATTTGATTTCATTATTTTATATATGTTGGAAGCCGCCCAGAGTGGCTGGGGCAATCCAACCTGATGGGCAGGGCACCATCATCATCATCTGAGGGTGGCAGGTGAAGGCTCTTGACAGCTCCTACAGGATTCAACCCCCCTGCTCTTATCCTGAAGTGGGAGAGAGAATTTCTTCACCCAGTATGGGGGGTGGGAATTAAGTGCTGTGGGTTGCTGCTTTGCTGTGGGGATCGAAGCCCCATGTCCTTGGTTGGAAGGTGGGGAGAAAGGTGCTCCTAGATGTTTCTCCATGCAGGAACCATCAGGCTTTCCCCCAGATTCCATCTTGACTCCACACTGACTGACCAGGCCCTGCCCTGGTTCCATGGTGGGCTTTGGGCTCTAAATATTCTAAGGCTAAGCCAGGCACCCCCAAAACCTTGGCCCTCCAGATGTTTTGGGACTACAATTCCCATCATCCCTGACCTCTGGGGTCCTGTTAGCTAGGGATGATGGGAGTTGTAGTTCCAAAACATCTGGAGGGCCAAATTTGGGGGTGCCTGTTCTAAGCCCTCAGTTGCCTCCACTTGGTCTCCCTTACTTCCCTGCCCCCAAATTTCCTTAGAATGCGGTGACCCAGACCAGACAAATTACTCCAGTTAAGGCCGTACCAGTGCCAAATAGAGCAGCCGTCATGAGTTTCGGAGATTATTCACACTTGGCCGGCCTCTGGGCATTAACTAACATTAATTAATTGTGTTTGTCGGAGCAAAGAACCTCACTGGGTTCCTGGCAGAGTTGGACGCATTCATGAAGAGCATCCCACCATTCATTATAATTTTCCATCATTTATATATCACCGTCAATGTTCAATTTGTGATTTATTTATTTTTAATCCTCGTGGAAAATCTTCAGTATTTTAGTGCAAATTTCTCCTAAGCACGTTTTGTATGCAGCTTTTACTAACGCATGGATTTTTGCAAGTTATTTCCCTCAACATGCTATTTCTTTCTGTGTTGTCTTCACCTGTATATGCATTTTTGTAAAGATCCTTTGGCTGGCGAACGGCATCACAAAATTCAGAGAACTACGAATTATCGAAGGTTGGCTGTTCTTCAGTTCTCATAAAGTTTCAAAAAGTGCAGATGTGATTGCTTCGGCTTTCAATGTGAATTGGATCAGACTTCTGCCCCATCTCTAGTAGTGGCAAGGGAGTGATAATCTGCGGAGAGGGGAGCTGTTGCATGTGAGGAGTGTGCATGAGATAGCAGATAAGGGTTCCAGGAGGTTGACTAAGAGTGAATGCAACCATCAGGCCAAAGAAGCCTAGCTGCCCCTATAGTAAGGATGAGGAAGCTGTGGTCCTGCAGATGACAGGTATGATGGGAGTTGTAGTCCAGGGGTAGGCAACCTAAGGCCCGGGGGCTGGATGTGGCCTAATCGCCTTCTCAATCCGACCTGCGGACGGTCCGGGAATCAGCGTGTTTTTACATGAGTAGAATGTGTCCTTTTATTTAAAATGTATCTCGGGGTTATTTGTGGGGCCTGCCTGGTGTTTTTACATGAGTAGAACGTGTGCTTTTATTTAAAATGCATCTCTGGGTTATTTGTGGGGCATAGGAATTCGTTCATTCCCCCCCCCCCAAATATAGTCCGGCCCACCACATGGTCTGAGGGGCAGTGGACTTGCCTACGGCTGAAAAAGGTTGCTGACCCCTGTTGTAGTCCAACAACACTTGGAAGGCAACAGATTCCCCATACCTGACCTGTAGACCAACTTGGCGCTGCCCAGATGTTGCTGGGTCGATCAATGTAGAAGTCTTCTAGACTACCTTCTAGACTTTGAGTACTTACCTGTGACATCAATGGGCCACCTAGCTCCCCGAGGAGCTGGCTTCAGGTACTAGGCCTGTTGGCAGACCCACTCTGTGCTACAAAGATGTCTGCAGACGTGGCATGAAGGCTGGCAGCATTAGCCCTGCCCTGTGGAATCCCTTGCAGATGACTGCAGTGCATTGAGACAGACTGTCAGGTTGTGCATCTACAGCAGTGACCACGGTGCAGCTGCTGCAGCACAACCGGATGCCTTCCTCTGCCCCAGCTGCAACAAAACATGTCTCTCCCATATCGGTCTCTACAGCCACAGCAGGCGCTGTAATCATCCAACCGTTTGACTTCACCCACAAAGGGGCACTTCTCCATTGTCTCCTGAAACAGATGGATGCCAAAAACAGCAACCTAGCTAATTTGCAACTGATCTGGAGAAAACTCTTTTGAAGCCCTCCAACAAGTGTTTGGGTGATTAATGTCATCGGTGCGTGATTCTGCTAGCAAATGCTGTTACGATACTTAAGACATCATTTCAATTGAGGAGTAAGGAGTCAAAACCAAATATTTCACAGAACAGCTTTTTTCTTCAGTGGCAAAGAAAGTGATTTTCTTTTCTGAGAGCCTTCAGTTATGGCCCACAGAGGTCAGGAAGAGCTGCCCTTGCTCCTCAGCCCAAGAGCACAGAGCACCTGCGTGGTGCATGGGGTCCAATAAGATGATCAGCACCGTCAATTAAGCTCAATGGCCACTTTACACAAGCACCTCAAAGCAAAACACGAAATGAACAAATATGAAAAACAACACGAAATAATTAAAACACAAAGCACCATGCAAAGTAAAAATAACCCCAGCGTTCCCTAACATGGGTCTTTAAAAACCACAGGCAGCCCCCTGCCACGATCAAAATTTATATGCACTTATACATTCATGCAAACACAACCAATCACTGCAAAGAAACATTCCCCATCTCCACCTCCCTGGATGACTCAGTGGATGGGTTTGCTCATGCTTGGGGATTGACTCATTGCTCCGCTGGGGATTAAGGAAGGAAAGAATCTTTCCCCAGGCCAATTGGGGTGTGTGTGTGTGTGTGTGTACCAATAACTAAGGATTATTTGTTTTTCTTTGTGGTGGGTGGTTTGGCTCTCACGCGTGAGTGAGATGGAACTATTGCTCCGAGGTCTTTAACCGGGGTTGCACCTGCTCATTCTTTGCTTGGGTGGTATGATAGCAGGGTTTGCAGCGTAGGCTGACTAGGGTTGCGCTGGCTGATTCCAGCGACCCTTCTCCTCCTCCTCTCCTGTGCATGCACGTGTGAGCATGCGCACTCATGCACGGCACTTTGAATTGCTCCCGTTTTACTTCTTGGTAAGCCTGCACCCCACCCGGCAGTTCCCAACACTGCGCTCTAAGAGCAGGATTATACACTTCTGCTGTAAAGCTTTTCGTCTCGGCAGAGGGTTGAAGGTGGTACATTTTAGGACTCTGCAAAAGGACAGAACGCCAAGCTATTTCAGTTGCGCCTAAAAGGGAATTAGAACCTTGCACATTCCACGATGGCAGCACTGAAGAGGAAGGGTCTTCTTCTGGCACCTTTCATTTCACTACCCCGATTACCTGGCATGGTTTAAAAGGAAAACGACATAGTGGTAAAAAAAACAACAGCAGCTTTCTAGCACGACACTGAAGACTTTGTTGCTTGCAGTTCCATGTTTCAAGCCTCCAAACAATCTGCTATTTGTTTTCCTTGGCTCTAACTCAACAACCAAGGACAAACTTTGCTGGAAGCCATCCCCCTTGGAGGATTCCTACAACTTGGGAAGAGCGCACCCCCTAGTGGCAAACAAAAGCACTTTTTCTCTCTCTCAAAAGCTTGATGCATCGACTGATGGGCCGAGTTATGTGACTACGGTGAGTGCTCCCAGACATCAAGGGCTGCTTGTGCATGCAAGCTTTTTGCAGAGTTGACCCGATGTTGTCCTCAAAATGCCAGCCTGCACTTTTTAGCCATTTAATGATGATTTCCCAGTAAGTAAAAACAACCCATTATGCATCCAAAGTCACTGTTAGCAAGGAAGCTTGTTAGCACATTTTTTTGGGGGTAGGGGCCAGCTGTTCCCCTGCCCCAAATTCCAAACCCATTTCCATCTATTGCTGTGTGCTGATGTCACTATTTCTCCAGGTAAACCTCATAGACTGTATTAACAGTGCATAACATCAGACTTCAATAATAATAATAATAATAATATGCAGGTCTTTCACAATACCCTATTATTCTGGCATGTCATTGCTGGTTTTCAGGCAGTAGAAACATAACGTTCTGCTATTAGTTTCTTTCTGAGCTTGCCATCCACCCTCAACTCCACCGAAATCAAGCAGATCAGTGTGGCTAAATATCACTCTAGTGTGATGAGAAATGACTGCTGGGAGGAGTGCAGAGGCCCTGGTGCATCTACAGCAGCACAACTGGACGCCTTCCTCTGCCCCAGCTGCAACACAACATGTCTCTCCAGCATCAGTCTCTCCAGCCACAGCAGTTTGGAAAATCTTTCCAGTATGGGATTTCTGAACACCAAGCAAAAGCAACTGAAGGAGGCTTACAATGGGAACATATTTATTGACACAAGACGTTTCATTTTGATAAAAATTTGTTTTTTAAATCATTTGCTTCCAACGTTTCTCCATGCCTCAGAAAGTACTCCCCACCCCTGCAAACCTTCATTTCTACAGCTATGTACATCTTCAGCTACCAAATGAAAACGAAACCTATGGAGGAGAGCCTCCTTCTGCGTGCGGACAACTTGGCGACCCTACCGAAAGCTACGAAACAACCACGTGAGGCTTAAACGCAGGTATGTGAAACTGCAGACGGTTGATGTCCGAGGGCGAAATAAAAGATGAACAGATTTCACAAAATAATAATCATAATAACAATGACAGCAGCTACAGTTAGTTTACTAAGAACAACCACTGAACTGGATTAAACATTGTGTAAATGCTGGTGTGTAGGAATACCACTGATAATTTCCCTCCTGTTACAATGCTACAGCCTACGTTATTTCACAATTATGTTGTGTGTACACACGCAAGCGAACATTTGCTACTTTTGCATTTCGATAACACAGCAAGTGGACAGAGCATAATTACTCATGAATGTATTTTCAACCAAAATGAGGGGAAAGCCCTACAAGAGCCTATCTTTCTATTAAAAAAAGGAGAGTCCTGGAAGATTTTAAACTTGACAAGATGATAGGGGGAAAACCCCTTACACAATGTCTTTGATAACGCTGCAGGGGAAAAGAAGTCAAACATGGTTAATGGAAAGATTGCCTCCCTCTGGGGCAGCTTTCGCTGACAACTCAAAGAGGCTTGTTCACCAGATCATTTGAAAATTAAGTCGACGTTACGGAGGGCAACTTCATAGCTTCTCTGGCAAGCTGCTCTTTGGCAGATAAAAACTGGTCTTGCTCACTGGGGAGGCACATGCCATACAAGAGCCATTGCCGTCCACAAAAGATAACGCCAGGCTAAATGGATCATTAGTCTGGCTCGGTATAAGGCAGCCTCATATAAATTTAAAATGCTGAATGGTTGAACAGGAGAACTAAGAAGTACATAAGGATTTTGACAGACAGCAGTGGTGTGTTACTTTTCAGATTTTACTTTATAAGATGCATTTTGAACTTGCAAAATGGGGACCAGAGTTCTACAAAGGATTAGTTTTTGTTGCCTTAAAACCTCTCAGTTGACACAAAATGAAATAATAGAACACTGGACATGCAATGTCTGGGCTGCAGATCATAGCAGATCCCTGCTTTCATGAGTACAGCTTGGGGACACCTCTGAATACTATGGGCTGGATAAGAAAGACACTTGCATCCTTAAGTATGGATTCACATATGCATGTGGGAGATGATCGACTCCTACATGGGACAATTTTTATTTGTCTATTTGCAAGTTGAGATGAAAATGCCAATGAGATGGCCATTTTACAAGATGAACAGGAAACTCCAAAGACTATAAAATGGACCAAAAGAATTGCATTAAATTTCTTTGGGAAAAAATTGCATTTAGTCCCCAGCATTTCAACTTCCAGGAAAATCCTAGACTTTCAACAAGATCCACTCTTCCTTCTTTTCTCACTTCAAATTCCTAGGCTAAAGATTACCTACCAAGGCTAGGGAAATAATTTAAGTAGATGTGCCATGGAGCAGTCTAACACATCTTTGTACACTGTCAAACTAAAGTATAGCTGTGTAACTGGTGAAAAGGGACAAAATCAAACTAAGATGAATGAGGCTGTATAATTATATGCCTTTCGCCTAGAAAAACCTACACAAAGAGTCACCTAGCCCCTTTGCTGCAGCAGAGGTCTCTGCTGGGTCAATGACAACACTATGCACCTAGCCTTTTAAGTTTTCTTTAAAAAAACAAACAAACACTGATTCCAGATTCTGGGCACTCTCTGAAAAAAAAAAAAGAACCACCTTCCAAGTGATGAGGTGCTTACCCCAATTAAAAAAAGAACTTGACAGCTGTCAACATTACATACCCGATTCAGCACTCCTGAAACAGACCTTCAGACAGGTCTGATGGCTTTTTAAATACTAATCAGTCTCTGCACTTCCTCCCCCCTCTACTGCTCTCCCTAACCACTTAATATCCTTTCAGAGAATGTAACCACAAACTGGATGAGCCCAGCAAGTTCTTCATGCCATCAAGTCAAAAGCAAAAAAAAAAAAAAAAAAAAAAAGAGAGAGAGAGAGAGAAAGTGAGTTTTGCAGTATAAAGCACTGCATCTTAATTATTTCTGTTTCAACCTCACAATGCCCATTTCTCTCTCTCCTATCAAATAGGAATTCTGTTAATGAGTTTTTTAGGAGGCCATATTGATACTCTTAGAGGGTAACCTCCCTTGTAAAAAAAAGTGTTTGCCTAAACCAAGCCCCTGCTGATTTAAAAACAACAGCTTTAACTGGGCATCGCACATACACCAAACCCACAACTTTGTACTTTTTTTTTTGTAAAATTGTGCTTTTTTTGTGGGCTTTTGGAGGAGACCAGGCTTTGTGGGTGTGAGTCTGTCTTCTTCCTGATTTCCACTTTTAGGGTGAAGCAACTTGTTTGGGTGCTGCCCAAAATGATTCTGAAACCGCCACCTGGCAAAAAACAATAGTTGAGAAATCCAGAGATGTCTCGGCAAAGTTGGTTTCCCTCCGCTACCGAATGAGACCCTCATTTCAGTAAGCAGCTGAACGCTTTGCTGCCAGCCTGCCCCCACCCCCCCACCCCCAACCGAGGAAGCTCTGCTGTAGGACAAAACTGGAGCACACTAACCAAGGGAAGGAATCTGAAAAATGCTATCACATTTTAAGTACACGGCAGCCACGATCCCCCGGCCAGCTTACCACCATGCGTGGTCACATTAACAGGCAAGCAAGTGGCATACATCTGTCAAGCCCTACTGAGTTGTTTTATTGTCCTGCCTACCTCTCTGCTTGATGCTGACAGTGACCTTTATTTCTCTCTGTAATAAAGCAGGTAATATTTCAAAGGGTCAGGCAGAGGCAGACTCAAGACCTTCTCTCTCAGGACATTTATAGGAGGCTCGGGCTTCAGTTCAGGGACAGCTTTTTCCACCTCTTCCAACTTGCTCTCCTCCTCCTCCAACTCCTCGCAATTGTTATCGTCGGAGGGGTTGGAGATCCGGCTGGCAAAGACCTCTTTGTCCAAGAAGACGATGGTTTCCATGCGGCGGCGGCGGATGCGCCTTCGTTTAAACCTCGGCGGGTTCCTGAGGCCGTTGCCGTTTCTGCCCGCCGTTTCCTGGTGAATCAGCTTCTTAATGGTGCTGCGGATAGCAATGCGTGCAAGGTCCTGAAGCGTGCGGACCATCACTGGTGCTGGAAATGTGAGAGAGGGAAGAGTAAGAAGCGTAGGACCTTGGCTGGCATGGACTAAAGAGCAGGCACACTTCCTCAGATCATGGCTCTTTCCATATGAACCTACCTGGACCCTGAGATCACCATTTGAGGCCCTTCTTTGTGTGCCTCCTCCTTGAAAGGTTCGGAGGATGGCAACAAGAGAACGGGCCTTCTCTGCAGAGGCTCCCCTTTTGTGGAATGCTCTCCCCAGGGAAGTTCGCCTGGCGCCTTCATTATACACCATTAGGCACCAGGCAAAAACCAGGCGTTTGGTTGATCTGATTTACATCCTATGCCCTTTTAAAATGTGGGTTTTTTTGTGGCAGAGGGGCTATTGGCTTGTTGTTTCTATTTTTATTAGGTATTTTGTGGTTTAATATCTTGATTCTGTGAACCACCCTGAGACCACCGGGTATAGGGTGGTACAGTGGTACCTCGGGTTAAGTACTTAATTCGTTCTGGAGGTCCATTCTTAACCTGAAACTGTTCTTAACCTGAAGCACCACTTTAGCTAATGGGGCCTCCTGCTGCCGCCGTGCCGCTGGAGCACGATTTCTGTTCTTATCCTGAAGCAAAGTTCTTAACCTGAAGCACTATTTCTGGGTTAGCGGAGTGTGTAACCTGAAGCGTATGTAACCTGAAGCGTATGTAACACGAGGTACCACTGTATATAAATTCTAATAATAATAATAATAATAATAATAATAATAATGGCTGGAAGAAACTGACCGTTAGTCAAGAGAGCACAGCAGCTTTGCCACAGATTTTGCCAGCAAAGCCGGCAGCTGGCTAATCTGTGCCATTCTCAAAGTGGGGCAGGTCACCACATAAGTTGCTGTGTAACTGGTGCCTCCATGCTAGCCAATGCAGTGATGATATCACCAGCATGAGCACACACAGGCAGAACTGAATGCTGGGTGAGTCCTGTTTCCATGGTGAGAAAGTGCACAGCCTAGGGCAAGTCAGACTGCAAGCTATGGCAAAGAGTGCCCACCTCTGAGGAATGTCTCTCTGAGCCTTGCACAGCCCAACCCAACAAATAAACAGACAAATAGAGAAGGTGCATAGATAAGTGGCACACTTACGCAAGTGAACAAGTTTTGACTTCCCCGAATCTGCGTGGTTGGGCTGGATCAGAGGAGCAAAGGAAACAGCTAAGATCTTCTTCGTCTCCCAGGCCAAAGGGCCAGTTCGTGTTATCTTTGTCAGCTGCGTTTGAGAACAAAAACATAAGATGAATCACCTCTTGATAGCAAGAATAGATGGCCTATTTCTCAGCCTTGAAAATGAACCCTCTCCCCTTTCTGCCACACAGCTGGTAATTTGGTGAATTGAGCTCACTGCAAAAAGCAAGGGGTAAATGGTACATAGGAATGAGAGGACCTGCCGTCCCACAAGCAAACCTTTTCTTCCAATGGCATCACGAGGATCCCACCAACTTTCAGTAAGTTCTTCATGTAATCTTCATGCTCCTTCTGGACTCCCGCACCACAGTAGACACGGTCATATTGAGAGCAGTCTGGAGAGATCTCCAAGCAGTTGCCGGTGACAAAAGAAGGCTCGCAGAATTCAAACCTGAGAAGTGAGTGATGCTTGTAGATGGCACAAGTATTTCACAGGCTGGAGCTTCTAAGCCCCCACATATTAAAATATCAATCCTTTAATATCGAGGCAAGCAAAGTATATGGCCAATACATTCCAGAACTGCAAACTTTGCCATTTTGGAATACTGTTATGGAAACTTGGCAAACACAGTTTTCTAAGGTAGCTGGGGCCGAAATGAGCAATTTACCTTCTTATACAGTTGGTCTATCAAAACCAGTATTTAAAAAACCCCCAACACTGCATCGTAAAACTAAAAAGGGCAAGATACCAAGGCTACGAGATAACTTATGGACCTAACCCAAACAAAAACGTCCAACCTTGCCACCCTGAGCCACTGTGCTGCATCCTCTATGTGGGCTACAAGCCAGCCCCCCATGCCTTCCACCACTGTCCCCGGTCCCTTCCCAGCTCCCTTGCTCCCAATCAACTACCTCCAGAACGTCCTGACGATGGACCTCTCTCCACGATGCTCTGAGACGACTGAATGGCCAGTGCAGGCAGTAGCCTCCTTACCTGGTCTTTGCTCCGCCCCCAGGCCACCGTCGATTGGCTGATTTAAACCAAGGCCAGGCAGGAGCACTGCAGCCTCTGCAGCCAGCCCAGGGATGGAGCAATGGCAGGCTTTTATGGCATGGCTCCGGAGGCCAGGGAGCCCGGGCTGGGTTGCAAAAACCACCCACCAACGCGACTGTGAGCCGTCATTGTCTACTATTGGCAGCACCTCTCCAGAGTCTCAGGTTGAGCTCTTTCCCAGCCATATAAGTTAATTTTAACTGGAGATGCCAGAGACAGAACCTACACCTCTTGTGTACAAAGCAAGTGCTCTGCCACTGGGTTATGGCTCCTTCCTGCCTTCTCCCAGAAGTACACTTTCCTTGGGGATGGGGGTCCAGCAGTAAAAGCATGTTTGGTTTGCAGCGTGGTGTATATCCCTCCTTCTTGCCCAGTGAAACCACAATGTCAATTTCCCGATGGAAAAGCAAGTTTTGGGTTGTATGAAAAACAACTTATTTCTTTAGGCAAGCTTACCCTGACGCGTAATTTTTATTCTGTATATTTGTTTTTTGAAAATGCTTGGTAAACATTGTCATATTACATTACAGAGCTTATTATATTTGTAATGTAATAGAAGAATGTTAATAAATAAATAAAACTGGGGGATAAAAGAAAAAGAAAATGCTGGCTTTATCTATATTTTGATAATTTAATTATGTCTACTGTTTTAAAATCTGTTTTTAAAGCTATTTTTAATCAATATTTTATACTACGTTATGTAAACCACTTAGAGATTTGATTAAAATCTTAATTTTAATATTGATAAATAAATAAAAACTTCACCCACTGCATTGTTTTATCTCAGAAGCCTTTTCAAAAACTGCATTCCTTTGTAATGTACCATAAAGAACCTGAATAAAATTTCTAGAGTGAACCCAACTAACTGCTTTTGTTTCTAAGCTCGGGCATGTATCAGGTATGTAAAATCCGCAAGAGTGGAAGACAGAACTGTTCTCGATTTCTTTCTGCGTCCTAGCACCTAATATTGCATATGCAAGACACCCATATGCATCTTGAACTCACCGTATGCTGCTAACTAGGAGTTACCACCTAGATTGCTACAATCTGTTCTGGAAGTCAGTTTAAATGCAAATTAGGCATGTCCAATCTTACTTGTCAAAGCTGTCACTGGTTCTGATGAAGAAGTCCAGCTTCTGCTTTGCATATTCTATAACGTCAGAGTGAAGCTCTACGCCATGGTTAACGCCGAAAGGGCCTGCATATGTTTAGGGAATGCAAGGGGAAAAAACATTTGAAAAACAACTGGATGGAGAACCAGAATGAATCCAAAAAGCTTTGCTCAGACTCTGAGCTGGTTTTGATCTTCTCTTAAGGCGCAGATACAAAGCAAATTCCTCAAAACTTGAGAGCTGGTTACTAGCATAAACCACCCAACCTGTAGAACTGAATGGCTACAAAATAAGTCCCACATCTCAGTAAAAGTAATAGGCAGGGAGGAACGGATGCCAGTGAGAGGAAAACCACCAAGGGAGCATGAGAAAATACATCTGAAACAAAAGATGTGCAAGTTTGGGTTTGGCCAATCCAACACCTGGCTCTTACATGGCTTTTTTGTTTTGGTAAGCTTACCTTATTTTCAAGTTATTAGCAAAGCATATTCAAAACCTTGGAGAAATGCATTCAGAGACTTCTGTTAAGATGCTTACGGATGGTATATTTAGTGAAAGTTACCTTCCCATACAATTAATGGGCTCAAAGGCAGTCCTCCCAAGAGCTTCTGTTTACCTGCCCTCTGTTTCTCCAGAGGAAACAAATCTCTCCCATTTCTCTAGACCAGAAGGTCATTTACACCAACATATTTTGACCCAACTAAGCAAGAATCTCCTCCAGTGGGTTTTGCATTTACTTCCATTCTTAGAGCTTCATAACACCATTAGAGAAGGCTGTTTCTCGAAGGGGGGGGGGCAAATGACAAGCTGCCAACCACCCATTCCTGGTTTTATTTACTGCTGTGCTACAATATGAAGTGGAGCATGAAAAATGAGTGAAGCACAGCAACAGTTGATGGGGATTTCAAGGGCAGGGGACCACAGCTGTTTTTCTCTGAGCAAGGGAGTAAAGCATCAAGTTTAGGAGAGTCCGCTCAACAATGCAAAATCCAGATTTTTCTCTGCTCATTGAAATTTCACAATATTTTGCATCTGCAGGATCGCTCTGGAGCAGTTTCCATGGCATATGTGTGTGAAAACGTTTTGCCCAAGTGCACCATCCTAACTGATGACCCTGGAAGCAGAGTACGGGGCCAGCAATGAGGCACGCTGCATGGATGATCCGGTTAGGCAAACATTTTCACATCTATGCACCCTGGGAACTGCTTCAGGGTCCATCTTCGGAATCTAAAAGAATGGTGCTTAAGCCCTTCTAGATACACCCCTGCCATTCAGCAGTTACACTGAAAGCTAAAAAACAAAAACAAGCGCTAATTTTGAACTCCAGAAAATAACTGGCACAGTTGTAGCTTGCCCCAATTGTTTATTGCTGATGACTCCCTTCTATAAGCTATTATTGCTGCTGAAAAATGGAAGGGTGGGTGGGATGGGATGGAGAGAGGAAGAGAGCACACACAGTCGTATTTAGGAACAAACTTCAACAGAAAATGCAGTGTAGCAATTAGTGTTGGGCTTAACGAGTGAGACCACCTGGATTCAAATAGCTGCTCAGTCATAAAACTCACAGGATAGTTAAACACTCTCAGCATAATCTACCCCACAGGGTTGTTGTGAAGTTATAGGGGAGGCAGCATGCGTGCAACGCTTGGCTTCTTGGAGGAAGGATGCATTAAAAATGAAAATAAATAAAATGTTGTAATTGAAAAAAGGAACTTGTTGAACGCAGGTTATTTTTATTGGGAAAGGGAGAGGAGAAGGGTACTCTCAAAGACTCAGCTGCCGGATAAAAGGCTGTTTATTCTTTCATTGCTTGTTAACTGTTCCATTTTTAATGATTTCAAAGTGTGTTGTAAGCCACCCTGGCATTTTTTAAAGCTGAAAGGCTGGGTAAAGATGCTCTAAATAAATAATAAATGTGCAGCAAGGTGCTCAGGCTGTTCCTGAACACACGCATACACACATAATTTGGAAAGCCAGGCAACCACCTGTGCTGTGCTTTTCATTTGATGTGCAAGATGATTTACTGACCATCTTCTGTCTGAAGTGACCCCACAGAAGAGCAGAATATGGAGTCATGAAGATGGGAGAGATCTTAAGAGGTTTGAGCATATTACACTGATCCTGGTCCGACTGCACTGGCTACCCATTAGTTACTGGGCCCAATTCAAAGTGTTGGTTTTGACCTATAAAGCCTTAAATGGCTCAGGACCACCATACCTCAAGGACTGCCTCTTTCCAAATGTACCTACCCGGACCCTGAGAATTATCTTCTGAGGCCCTCCTTCGTGTGTCCCTTCCTCGAGAGGTCTGGAGGGTGGCAACACGAGAACAGGGCCTTCTCTGCAGTGGCTCCCTGTCTGTGGAATACTCTCCCTAGGGACGTTCGCCTGGCACCTTCATTATACCCCTTTAGGCGCCAGGCAAAAACATTTCTTTTAAACCAGGTCTTGGGTTGATCTGATTTGCATCCTATGCCCTTTTAAAATGTGTTTTTGTTTTGTGGGGAGGGGCTATTGGGTTGGGTTTTTTTTATGTACTTTGTGGTTTTATATCTTGATTTTATTCTGTGAACCGCCCTGAGTATAGGGCAGTACATAAACTAACTAACTAACTAACCAGTTAGTTAGTGTGAGAGCCAGTGTGGTGTAGTGGTTAAGAGTGGTGGATCCGTAATCTGGTGAACCGGGTTCGTGTCTCTGCTCCTCCACATGCAGCTGCTGGGTGACCTTGGGCCAGTCACACTTCTCTGAAGTCTCTCAGCCTCACTCACCTCACAGAGTGTTTGTTGTGGGGGAGATTGTTAGCCGCTTTGAGACTCCTTCGGGTAGTGATAAAGCGGGATATCAAATCCAAACTCTTCTTCTTCTAACTAACTAACTAACTAAAAACAACAACTATCCAAACCATAGCTGTCAACTTTTGCCTTTTCTTGCGAGGAATCCTATTCGGAATAAGGGAATTTCCCTTTAAAAAAGGGGAAAAGTTGACAGCTGTGATCCAAACCCCTTGCTCAATGCTGGAAGCAACTACAGCATCTCAGATAGATGGCTGTCCGGTCTTGGCCGAGAGTCGAGCCTGTCCTGAAGCACCCTGTCCCACTGTCAAATAGCTCTACTGAAACTTGCCACCTTGCAATCTCCACTCCGTAGGTTGTCCTGCCCTCTTAGAGCAACAGAGGACAAGCCTGCTCTACCTTCTGCAAGACAGGGCAGCCTTTCAGATATTTGAAGACCACTACAGTAGACCCTCGGGTTAAATTACTCTTGAGTAACGTAAACTTCGGGTTGCGAAAGCAGCAAACCCGAAAGTATTTTTCCAGGTTTTGCCACTCACACAGAAGCGCTCTGCACATCACGCACATATGCAGAAGCGCATGCGCAGAAGCACTCTATCACGCCGCACACAGAAGCGGCACCTCTGTATACGGATTTTTCGGGGTGTGCACGGACCCCCGGAATGAATTAAATTCGTATCCAGAGGGTCCACTGTATTATGTTTGTTCTTAATCTTCTCCTCAAAACATGCCCACAGGTTAAACGCGCCCACCGTACTGTCAGTGATAAGAATATGTGTTGACCCCACACAGTAAGAAACTAGAGTTGCAGGGATCATTTAGCTGATCAAAAGAGTCACTTACCCAAGATGAGCCCAACCATGGAGCTCAGATAGCCAGTGCCACTTCCCAGGTTCAAGAAGGAAAGCCCAGGCTGCAGATCCAGGGCTTCCATGACCTCCGAATAAATGCAGGGAGCAGAAAGGTGGATGTTCCCGTGCTTCCATGCCAAGTCTTTGTACGCATTGTCCTTAAACTCCTCCAGGTAGTAGTCTGCCCGGTCGACAGCTCTGAAGGCCTGCTCCACGAGCTCTGTCCGGATGTACTGAGCCTCTTTCAGGTTATCAATTAGCTCGTCATTGTCCTCTCCTGCGCTCACAGCACCTCCCATTGTCCACGCTAACAAATTCAAAAACCAATTCTGGAGAGCAGAGGAGGAAAAAAGGAGAAAGTCACTGCACCAGTCAAAGAAAACTGCTCAAGTACAAAAGTCCAGTTGATGCTAAGTGCACTGTAGAGCATATCCTGCATGTCAAAAGACACAGAACCAAAATCACTTTCACATATACAAACATCACCAGTTACTGCTCTCCTTTTTTGCTCTGGGGGATTTCAAATACATATGCATATTTATTAGAGCAGAAAAACCCTTTGATATGATATACCAGTGAACCTTCTGGACACTTTTTATTGTGTTGTCAGCTGTTCTGTGAAGCTGCTTCTGGTTATGGAAACATCATGGATTCTGGATAGTTCTATATTGCATTCCCCACACCGAAGCATATTCTGCCTTTTGCCAACATTCAGAGCAGAAAAGCACTAATACTGCATGGAGGAACTTTGAACATTTCTTAGAAGAGGAGGATTGGCGAGACCTCAAGCCTATGTATCACAACAGGTCTGGTCTCACATTTCTTGAGGCTTCTTGAGCCTACTTCTTAACCCCATGCTGCACGGATGGGGAATCTGTGGCCCTCCAGAGGTTGTTGGACTACTGACCATGCTGATGAGTCCAAGAACATCTGGCGGGTCAGATTCCTTATCCCTACCATATTGGTTTTCTAAGTGCCACCACTGGACAATGGATCAAGGAGGGTTCTTGGGATGAACGCAAACAGTGCAAACTTAAAGCATGTCTTATTGAAGCCTTATTGAATTCAGGCCAGTAGAGTTAGGATTGCAGCCTAAATCAAGAATGGCTGGGTGGGCATTACTCCAAAAACATCCCAAATGACCACTCCTGTTGCTGGAGATTACCTGATGAAGCAACTTGCTCCAAACTAGGAGGTGCTTGCTTGCATGTGGAAGAAAACACAGGTCTCCTTTGTGCTAGTTCACTGCAGTTTGCTGGAAGGAGAACTTTGCAAATGAGATGGACTGTCAAACAGAACCCCTTCAGATCTCCCATGTAAGCCTCACTTGGCTCTTAAAGAGACATTCTTTAATAATTTATACCCCAGCCAAATGGGCGGGGTATAACAACAACAACAACAACACCCTGAGAAAATCAGACTCCAAACTGAGCCACGTGTGCATGCCTGAACACATGCACAAGGCAGACTGTGTTGGTAAGAAAAATATGCATAAGACTCCATGTAGACCTACACAAATGCCTGCTTTACAGAGAAAATACAGCCTTTTGTATTAATGTGCATAAGGGAAGAAGAAGAAGATGGAAGGGCAAATGTCTGCCTTAGTGTGGCCAGCTGGCCAATTAGAAAATAGCAATTTGACTTAAAAGCTAAAATAGAAATAGTCAAAAATCCTCCTAGGTGAACCTGGCATGCCCTTAAAGTAGTACCTTGGCTCCCAGCCTTATAATCAACTGAGGCTGTAGCTCTAGTTATAAACAAAATATACCAGAGGGATGGCAAACAGACTCAAACCAAAACCTTACTGTTAAGGCAAATGTACAAACACCACACCAACACCCAGAGGTGAATGGTAGTGGGGTTAGAGAGCAATTTGGAGATCATTGCAGTGATCTGTACCACAATATAATATGCAACAATCTTTGAACAATACCAGCCCTTTTTAAAAGAACCGGTTCTAATGGGAAATAACTTAATTTGCAATGCCAAAGCTGTCTCATTTTTCTCTACAGACAGCTAACATTTCATACTGGAAGAGCACAACATGAATTTTTATTTACAGTGCTTTTTCTGGCAAGAACTGCAGAAGCGGCAAATTCAGTGTTTGTTCCTGCTTTAGAAGGCTCTGCCTCAGCTTCATTGTTGCATGTATTCAGCAGAAACAACGTTTCAACCGTGCACATCAAAAACTTAGGAACAGCACCAGAAGGTACTGCAAAATGTAACCAAGGCACAGGAGATTATGATCATCCTTGCAGAAATCTTGAGCATCTTTGAAACAATTCTCATCAGCAATGCTCAGACTCATTACCACAAAAGTAAACCAGACTTTGCACACATTGAGTTTAAAATTTATGCACAATGCATTCCTCCGTTTGTATATGCCTGCTTATCTGCATGTTTTGACTATAAACTGCATATTTGACTGTGCTCAGAATTTGACACCGAGACAGTGTAATCTCTTTAGCACAGATACCCTTTGGGCAATAGAGGAGTTAAGGCAGGAACAGAATAGAAGTATTCCATGAGACCTATTTGATTCAGGGATGACCATCAAGTGGCCCACCCCCACCTATGCCCCTGTAGTAGCTAAATTTGTAACTTTAAGCCCCATACAAGCTCCTCCTGGTTGCCTTTAGAGGTGTAAGTGCCCAGGGCCTGATGTCTTTCTACTTTCTGGAAAGGCTCAGTGCCAGGATGAGATTTCAGCCTCTGCTAACTATGTATATGTTGACAAAGAGGTAAAAGGGATGATAACTTGGCCATTTGCTTCTGCATTCTTCCCCAGACTGGCCTTCTGACCAATCTAGTTGTTGATTAACTGGTCCAGCAGATACCTGAAGAACCAAGAGGGCATCCAGCGCAAGAAGCCTCTGCTGCATCTAGTCCAGAGTTGCATTTTCCAATGGCCAGCCAGACTGATGTTGCTGGGAAGCCCAGAAGCATTGCATGAAGATATTAACTCTCTCCTTTACCCCCAATAACTGGTATTCAATGCATATGGCATATGAACACTACAGGCATTAGTCAGCGTATTGGTGGCAGTCAAATCCTTCGAAAAACTTACTTTTTCCTCAACAGAAACACAGCCCAAAGACTTTGCTTATATTTCGGTAGAGCTCCCCTACCTTCATTTGTCTTCCTGTTGAAATTAATTTGGAAGTTCTTTGGGGCAAGGGCCTGTCTTGTTCTTTCCGGCACTGGCCTGTGTTGCTCGGTAAAGCGCCAGGCACAATAATTGTGCAGTACAGTGGTACCTCTGGATGCAAACAGGATCCGTTCCAGAGCCCCGTTCGCATCCTGAAGCGAACGTAACACGCAACTGCGCGTCTGTGCATGTTGCGTTTTGCCGCTTCCACACATGTCATTTTGAGCATCTGCGCATGCAGCGAAACCCGGAAGCAACGCGTTCCGTTACTTCCGGGTTGCCACGGAGTGCAACCCAAAAATGCTTAACCTGAAGCGTATTCATCCCGAGGTATGATTGTAAAAATTAAGGTGGTAACATACAATCCTCACATTATCAAAACGTGTACCTCCAGCTGTGAAGGGACTAACTTGCTTTCTAGAAAAGAGAAACCTAACAGAGTCTAGGAATTCCTATTCAGTGTGAAGTATTTGGCTGCAGAAAATATTCCAGGCATGGAGAGCTAACCTCCCAACAGCATCCCGAGGGTGATTTAAGTTTGAAAGCACCTCTTTCCAGCTTTCTCCTTCTGACCTTTAATACAGCTTAGGCCTTATTTACATACACCCACAATAGAAGAGGCTTAACCTCTCCCCCCACCCCATTTGCTTTCCATTCTTCACAAAGCAACACGATCACAAAGTCAAAAAGCACCCCAACACAAGGCAGCTGCCATCTGACCTGGCTGCAGTCCAGTCACAGGGCTATTAGCATGCCTCTGCATGCTCTGTTCTACCACTACAAGAGAGAATTGGTTTGCGGCCAACCCAGGGCACACTTGCTGAAAACAGAGTCTCCTGTCTACGTTGCCCTAACACAGAGGAACTGTGTAGCACAGGGAGAGAGGGTGGCGGGTGGTAAGGAATAGTCTTCCCACAACACAGAGCAATGCTCCTTTTGCAGCCAAGACCTGCTTCAGACACCCTGGATTCAAAATGCATTAGAGCCACTGAATGATTTGTGCATTCCATTTGTTTTCTGGCACTAGAATTATAGCCGCTGGCAGCTGCCCCGTGCCTCGTGCGTAGATACGGAACCAAAACACTGTTATGTGGACTAAAGGCCAGGATGCTGAATGGTACTGTCAGGGGTTCAGGAGCAGAGGCAAGGGCAAGGGAGGAAACAGAGAGCGAGGGGGAGGAGGCAGAAGAAAAGATGAGTGATGACGACGACCCGAGATCTCCGAGTCTTTCCAGTGAATCAGAAGATTCACAGAAAGGAGCACCAGTGGCCAGGGCAAGGGGGAGCCTAGGGGACGCCCCAGGAAGATAGAGCCAGAGGGGACTCAGAGGGGAGCAGTTGGAAATCGGGACCAGCGTCACCGCCAGAGAGCAGGGAAGAGGAAGGGAGCCAGGGATCAAGCGCTGGCAGCTCACAACAGGGGGGAGGGCACGAGTCAGGAGTGGCCACACCTCCATCAGGGAGCGAAGAAACGGTCAGACGGAAGGTGGAAGGTTGGGCGCGCGCGCCTGTTCAAATGCACAGGAAGGTGGCACAGTAGGCAGCCCGGAAAGGGAGCCAGGTCCTAAAGCCCGCCGAAAGGAGGGAGAAGAGTCAGGGGGGTCAGCGTCAGCGTCAGAGGAATCCCGGAAAGAAGAGACCCCAGGGGGCAGAGGGACCCAGAGAAGAACAGTCAGGCGGAAAAGGTGGAGCAGGGCTAGGATATTAAGTTGGTGTACAAGGGGCGGAGACTCAGACGGAGCTTCGCCGGTCTAACCATGAGACGTAGAGTTGCACGCAGCAGTTTGAGAATGGAAACTGTAACTCAATAAAGACTTTTGTTTAATGATCGCTGGCTAGCGTGATCCTCTGTGAGCTAGGATCTGGAAGCAGCTCTGACAGGTACAAATAATTAGGTGGAGTTACAGAACTTTGCACGTGTGTCTGGATACTCACTGGATGCCACCTGGAAAAATGAAATACTTTTAATGATCAAAGTTCAGATCTCAAAGCCAATAGTAACATTTTCAGTAGACCAGGACGAACCTTCATCGTTTATTCTAGAAATGGTGACGGATAAGGCCATATCGTAATGGGTGAAAGAGGGAAATTTGCATTTACTGATAAACTTCTACAGCAGCTCTCATTGCAACAGTTAACTAAGAGTCCCTAGGACTAAAGCAGGACACAATGCTTGTACCATCAGTGATATTGGAGGTAAACTGTGGGTGAATACTGTTTCACTTCGTAAGTTTATGGCTCTAGCCAAAGGCCATGACAAACTTGTATTAAGCAATAGTAATAATAAACAGAATACATTCATAATATAAAAATCTGCAACACTCTGCCAAGTTCCTGATCATTAAAACACATTTTCCCTTGTGCACCTCTGACAACTCCAATTCTAGTATTATTTTGCCTTTTTAAAATCCAGTTTGCCAGCATCCATTATGTAAGGGGGAGAAGTTACCAGAGACACCAACAAACTGAAAACCCAGCTTGATTTCTGATCAAACCTCCAAATCATCACATAAATTTATAGTGACCCCTTTTTGCTGAATTATTTTTTCCCCTGCAGCCAGAGCATAGAGGATCACTATTTGTTATGAAGCTATTACTGTCACTCAAAAGAAACCAAACCATTTCTGTCAAGGTGTGTGACTGCTTGCTTGTGGGACCAAAGGTTTTAGAAAGAAATCTCTTGGATCACTATATAAGAGACAGGCTAAAAGATAATGAGTGATGTCTTCCACCTGAGACTGACTATAAATACAAAGTCTGTCTGCATATGGGACCTTGTTGTAGAGACTATCCGAGACTGCAGAGGGCATCACTTGGAAACGCAGCCCAATATAAGCATTTCTTAAGGAAACTGGTGAAAGTTTGGTTAGATAATTAGCTCAAAATGCTTTGTTCTCAGGAACAGATACCAAGGAGGAAATACGGTGTCTCTAAATAGTTGCAGGTCCCTTCTAGATTCTATCCAGGAGAGCAAATCCCTTAGCTGACACTTATTCAAGGTCAAAGCAGAGCTCAGCTCTGGTAAATAATAACAGTCTAAAACATGTTGACAAGCTGCTTTCCAGGGTTTGTTATCACCCAACTCAATAAAGCACAGTGCAGGGAAAAGCTCAATAGACATAATAGCAATTTTAAAAATATGCTTTAACTGAGTGTAGTCCGCTGTTGCCTTTAATTGTTGACCACCTGGATTCTGAAGGCAGCTCTGTTTAGGGAAGCTTTTAATGTTTGACGGACTACTGTATTTTAATATTTTGTTGGAAGCCGCCCAGAGTGGCTGGGGAAACCCAGCCAGATAGGCGGGGTATAAATAAATAAATTATTATTATTATTATTATTATTATTATTATTATTATTCTGTACGAGGAAGCACTGCTGAAATTCCTGAGTATAGCTTTTGAAAAACATTATTCTGCAGTTTCCAAAACTTTAATGGCGTTCAAATCAGAGCCCCAGATTTCAATGCCATAGTAAGCATTTCTCTATCAAGTATCTTCGGGGCAGGTTCAATCAGTCCTTTATTGTAAAAGAACTTCATGTGCAGTGTCAGAAGCAGGTGGGGGGGGGGAGGAGGAGTGAAATTTTAGAGCGGGGTGGGAAACCTATGGCTTTCAAGATGTGCTGCACTACAACTCCCATTGTCTCTGAACAGTGGTTATACTGGGTTGTGCTGATGAGAAATGGGAGAGCAATAACAGCTAGAGGGCCATCCCTGTTTTCGACCCGAATGCCCCTGAGATGGTGTGGTAACATTAGGTGGTCTTATTATCAAAAGGAGTAGGGGGGCTGGCTGCATCATCCCACTGTCATAAGGCTAGGGAGAAGTAGTGAGAAAGATTGAGGGACTGCACCCATTGCTCTGGAGGCTTGGGCTGGAAATACAAAGAACTAATATTATGGTAACCCATTCTCACAAGAGAGGGTTTACCAAGGACACATTCAGGAGGAAACCATTTAAGTGTGCTGTATGTGGAAAGAGCTTCATAAGCAAAGAACCTACATAGGGGAGAACCATTTAAATGTATAGAGTTTCAGAGGAACTTTTGTGGGAGTGGTAACCTTACTCAGCATTGAAAAACACAGATAGGAGAATCTGCCTGAATGCAAACAGTTGTTGTGGTCCAAGGGGTGACTTTGGGTCACAGTCCCAGGAGAAAACTGCCTCTCAGCAGAACACTCACCCCAATGGGCTCCCCAGAGCAATACATTTTGAACCAGCATAGCTTGTCCTTGGCAGGATGCCCAGGAGAGGAGGAGTTTGCAGGCACTAGTGAGAGACTTGGGGAAGGTGAATAAGATCCACTGGCTCTCACACCTTCCATTGGTTGTCCTTACCTGTAGGCTTTTCCCCTTCTGCAGCAGAGATCAGAAAAGTGCCAAGAGCCAGGTGGCAGCAGAGTGTATTGAGCTCCAATTTGTGTTATGTAGCAACTCTATAACTAGGCCTTTGGCTGATTAAGCAATCTATGGTCTTTTAAATGTGGTTGTGGGTGGGGGTTATTGGTGGTTGTTGTTATATGTATTTTGTGTTTTCATTTTGTATTTTTATGCTGTATACTGCCTTGTAATCTTCAGATGAAGGGTGGCTTATAAATTTAATTACTATTATTAATATTAATGTTTAGCTTCCATTGGAGATTGGAGAGGCTTGGAGTTGGGAGAATTATTACAAAGCCATGGATGATAACAGCAAAATTTAAAAAATGTACCCATTACTCTGGAGAAAGTAATTCGGTTGGCATCCTTCTGTCTTGGGAGACAATGGAGGAATATGCCTTTGAGGCTGTTGGAAGGTTGCAGTGCCTGCTGTGACTGCAGAGACCGATACAGGAGAGACATGTTTTGTTGCAGCTGGGGCAGATGAACGCATCTAGTTGTGCTCCAGCAGCTGCACCACGCCTTTTCTTTTCTCTGTTCTTCCCAGTAGTCATTTCTCCTCTGGTCATCACTACTGATACATGACTTGACTGCCTGTCTCCAGGCACTGCAGTGGCAGAGTGAAAACTATGAGAGGGTGACCCACAAGTTTGTGTAGACAGTAGTGAAAAAGAACTGCGGGTTTATGCCCATTATCTTGGAAGTTGGGCTAGAAAGATACACATTATGGGGTCTCATTATAAGAGAGAGATAAAGAGCTGGCTTGTCCCATTACCAAGCTGGGAAGAATCAGGTACTTTATGGTGGAGGTGGGGTCGATAAGGGAGGAAAGGAAGTTATGGGGTATTTTTATTATAAGAAAAGTGGGGAAAGAGGGGAAAAGGGCTGCCAGGCCCAGTGTATGGGGGAAGAGGGATTTTTAAAAGTGTAGTGAGAGGGAAAGAAGTTATGGAGTTCTAGCCTCAAGGTGGGGGGGGGGGGAGGAGAGAAGGAGTAGAAAGACCCCAGTCCCATGGCGGGTAAGCAAGATGTGTGGGGTGGGATTTTATAGCCTTTATTCTAATTACTTGGAGAAGGGAGAAAGTGAACCAAAGCAGAGAAATTCTCAAGTGCTGTCATTTTGGCTGGAACACTCACCTCACTTATCAGGGAGTAATGAGTAAGCCCTACTAAATTCAGTAGAACTTATTTCTGAGTAGACATGGTTAGGATTGTGCTGTTGCTGTCTTAATAGCACCCTGTCTTTTACGGCAAGTGCTCACAAGGTGCCTTAAAATAAATTTTAAAAAACTGATTACAGCAACACCAGAAGCAAGCTGGAGTAAAAGCGGATATGTGAGGAGCTGTAGGCTCCAACAGTGTAGCCAACAGTGTGACGCGACAGCTAAAAAAGCCAATGCAATTCTGGGCTGCATCAATAGGAGTATAGCATCTAGATCAAGGGAAGTAATAGTGCCACTGTATTCTGCTCTGGTCAGACCTCACCTGGAGTACTGTGTCCAGTTCTGGGCACCACAGTTCAAGAAGGACACTGACAAACTGGGACGTGTCCAGAGGAGGGCAACCAAAATGGTCAAAGGTCTGGAAACGATGCCTTATGAGGAACGGCTAAGGGAGCTGGGCATGTTTAGCCTGGAGAAGAGGAGGTTAAGGGGTGATATGATAGCCATGCTCAAATATATAAAAGGATGTCATATAGAGGAGGGAGAAAGGTTGTTTTCTGCTGCTCCAGAGAAGCGGACACGGAGCAATGGATCCAAACTACAAGAAAGAAGATTCCACCTAAACATTAGGAAGAACTTCCTGACAGTAAGAGCTGTTCGACAGTGGAATTTGCTGCCAAGGAGTGTGGTGGAGTCTCCGTCTTTGGAGGTCTTTAAGCAGAGGCTTGACAACCATATGTCAGGAGTGCTCTGATGGTGTTTCCTGCTTGGCAGGGGGTTGGACTCGATGGCCCTTGTGGTCTATTCCAACTCTATGATTCTATGATTCTAGGCAATGGCAGAATAGGGACCATTCAAAGCAAAGAGGCCAAACCACCAGCTAGCTCCAGCTCCGTGGGGCAGGTGGGGAAGGAGACATACTGAGCGGCAGCCTTACATAAACCCCACTGTGTCCAGTTGTGATTACTCTTAAGGTTAGCAGGCGTAGGGGTTGCAGCCTTGGTTTATACCAGTGGCTTCCCAAACTTTCTTCAGGCTGCCCTCCCTCTTCTCGGTGCCATGAAACCTAACCCTACCCTATTAAAAAAAAGAAAGATAAAGCATTATGCAGAACAGCACTTTGCAGGACCCGCTAAGTCAAGCAAGCACGACAAAACCGGGGGAAAGAAACGGCAACAGTTAATTGCATGCCGATTCAAAACCCAATTAAAACCACTCAAGTTTAATTCGGGAGAGGCTGCTGTACTTGATCCAGAGGTACCAGCCCTTTCAAAGCCTGCTAGTCTTTTTTGACACTTCCAGAGGAGGAGGCACCCCCAACCCCACCCCAGCACACCCCCTTAGGTCACCCCAAAGCCCCCTACCATGACCTTGGAGTCTGGGGTGGGGTGTGTGACTGGGGGTGGGGTGGGGAGGGTGAGGAAGCGTGTCACCCCATAACAAAGTGCCTGTCAACCCAACCCCCAAGAAGGAAGCCCTTTCTGGGCCCTGCACCACCATGGAGACAGGAGACTCGGGAGGAGGAGACCCCCCCCAACCTGGGCGGGGGGCGGGGCAAGCACCCCATTGGCTGTTGTGGTAAACAATCTGGGGGGGGAGAGGGGGGAAGAAAGGGCCGGGGCCTTTACTGCCAGGCGGGGGTGAGGCGGCCATTGTCACGGGATTGGGGGGGGTCCTATTATGACCTGGAGCCCCCCCCCCAAGACTGACAGAAAGGAAGGAAGGGGGGAGGGGTCTCCTTGCCCCCTCAAGATTACCTGCTCCTCCAGCGCCAGCTACCGCCGCCGCCCCTTCAGGCCTCCGCTCGCTTCCTCCGCACGCCGAGTCTCCCGCCCCCCCCGCAGCTGTAAACAGTCGCCCAGCTGGAGAAACAGCCCCCCTCAGGGCAGCGGCACCACTGCGCAGGCGCCAACGGCACGGGGCGGGCAGACGGAGCGACGCGCGACGCGGCGGACGGGGAGGGAAGGAGGGTTGGTGGGAGGGGAATGGTCCATTTGTGGATGGAGGGGACGCCCGCCGCGGCCTTTGGGAAAGGGGAGGGAAGTACCACTGGGTGCGGGGGAGAGGGGCGGCGCGGGCGACGGAAGGCGGCTGGTGATGACGAAGGACGGCGGCCTAGGCTCCCATGGAAGGGTTAATGGGGGCGGGGAGGACTTTTAGGCCACCGCCTTTCTAAATGTTAGCTGCCCTTATATTACTTACCATGTATTTAATTGGTTTTTGTTCGTTTGTTTATTACATATTAGTAGGTCTTTAAAATTGTGTGTTACTTATTAGCTATTATTAAGGTGTGTTTTATTTAAATAGTATTTATTTATTATGCATTACTAGGTTTTAAAAAAATACTTATTTAATTAGGTTTTTTTAAAAAAATATTATTTAGTTGGGTTTTTTTTTAGAAAATATAATTTATCATTGGGTTTTAAAAATATTTATTATTAGGTGTTTTTATATATATATATATATATGGTTTTTATTATTTGATTTTTTAAAAAAAGTACCCTTCACTATTAAGGTGCCATTGTGTGTGTGTGTGTGTATATAGTATAGTATCAGCAGCCTATACAGTGGTACCTTGGGTTACATACGCTTCAGGTTACAGACTCCGCTAACCCAGAAATAGTGCTTCAGGTTAAGAACTTTGCTTCAGGATGAGAACAGAAATTGCGCGGCGGCAGCAGGAGTCCCCATTAGCTAAAGTGGTGCTTCAGGTTAAGAACAGTTTCAGGTTAAGTACGGACCTCCGGAACGAATTAAGTACTTAACCCGAGGTACCACTGTACAATAAGATGTATGACACCATAAGAACAGTTGATATACGATTAACATGATCAGACCAGACAATCTGAATGAATCTGAACGGTTACATAGACCAGCCTGCATTTTTAAAAAAGTTGTCCAAGGCGCTCCTGCCCGCACCTTCTGTGAAGGAAGCATCCTGGTGCTTGTCTCCAGGCTGGAACTAAGCTGGTCCTAGGAGGCCAGAGCTTGGGGGAAAATGAGACAAATTAACATATCTTATTATTTAGTTTAATAACCACATACATATAGATGGTCTGATTCAGCAGGACTCTTCTTAGGCCTCACTTGTTGAATTTCTACCTGTCAAGTCGTTATTAGCTACAGCAGCTGTTCCCGAAAAACAGATTTCTAGAATCAATAAATTGTAAAGTTGGAAAGGATCTCCAAGGTCATGTAGTCCAACTGCCTACAATGCAGGAATCTCCACTCCTAACCTGCACCTTTTACTTCTAGATATCTCATTTGCTTCCCTTAAATTAAACTCTGCTACTTTCCCCTCCTGAAACTCTTATAGAGTAGTGACTAACATAATCTGCACTATCCCAGGATATGGTCTGAAGGCTGAAGCTAAGCTGACCTAGATCAGGTTAATGCCTGACCACCTAGGAACCACATACACATTGCCTTGGGTTTCCATGGGGAGGAAAGTGGGATATAAATTTAAATAAATATATAAAATTAAAACCTGCTTTTTGGGGATCCAAGCACTGACCTACCTTGCAGGGCTATTGGAAAGATTCCAAGGTAATGTACGTGAATCTCTTTGAACACTTGAACATAAATGCAGATATTCTCCTGCATGGCTAAGCACCCACACCGTTTGTTGTTTTGGCAGAGACCCTACACTGACTTGGTCACAAGGTGTCAGCCTTGCTCAGCATTGCTCTGCACAGGAAAGAATCTGTTCTCTGCTCTTTTTCCTGTCTCTCTCTCCCCCCCCCCCCCCAATGATTTCACACTGAAAACTGCTGTTTTTAAGAGATTGTATTTTTTATAATTTCATTTGTGAGCTGCCCAAAGAAGAATGCGGTTGGTCATATTAAGTGTTGAAGCCCTGCCTGACTTCTAGAACATCTGAACGGCTCGGGCCACTGATTGACATGATCACCCCCTGAGTGCCCTCTCCCGCTTCCTGGAGCCTGTTTTGCTCCCTGATACACTGCGGAGGTTAGGGAGAGGAAACAAGCTGGGAGATGGCTCTTAACATGAGTGGAAGGAAACTCGGGTTGCATGCAATCAAACACAGGTACTAATCATCGAGCCTGCGTAGAGGCAGTCAAGGCAGCAATGAAGGCATACTTTGCTGCCTCTATTGCATCCTTACGCTGTCCAGCAGAGCTTTTCCAGATAGTGAGGGTCCTCTTACTGTCTGGCCTGAAGGAGGTGGCAGAACTGATGAGAGCTTGCTGTGACTTTCTTGCAAAGCATTTTGAGGACAAAATTGTTTGCATCCAGCAGGATCTTGGCTGCTGTTACAGCAGCTGAATCTCGAGGGGTATCCAGAGCACCGTCTAGCCCTGTTGTGTTGGATGAGTTTCAGTTAATAAGGCTAAAGGATGTGGACAGGGTGCAACCACTTGTACTCTGGGCCTTGTCCTCTCTTAAAGGAAACAGAAACAGAAACACCGTTTACCTTCCCGCCAGAGCGGTACCTATTTATCTACTTGCACTTTGATGTGCTTTCGAACTGCTAGGTTGGCAGGCGCAGGGACCGAGCAATGGGAGCTCATCCCATTGCGGGGATTCGAACCGCCAACCTTCTGATCAGCAAGTTCTAGGCTCTGTGGTTTAACCCACAGTGCCACCCGCGTCCCTTTTCCTCTCTTAGCTGATAAAAACTAGCAGGGAAGGGACAGTTGCCTGGGCCAGGAAGACTATTAATGGCTTCCTGTGAGGGCTTGACAAGGGCATCAGTGTAAGGCCCATGGGTTCTGTGCTGAAGTACTCTTGCAGCCCACTTGGTATGAAAAGTTGGACCGACCTGATCGAGATGAAGGACGTGGCTTTTTTCTCATGGAGATCATAAAATCATAGAATCACAGAGTTGGAAGAGACCACAAGGGCCATCGAGTCCAACCCCCTGCCAAGCAGGAAACACCATCAGAGCACTCCTGACATATGGTTGTCAAGCCTCTGCTTAAAGACCTCCAAAGAAGGAGACTCCACCACACTCCTTGGCAGCAAATTCCACTGTCGAACAGCTCTTACTGTCAGGAAGTTCTTCCTAATGTTTAGGTGGAATCTTCTTTCTTGTAGTTTGGATCCATTGCTCCGTGTCCGCTTCTCTGGAGCAGCAGAAAACAACTTTTCTCCCTCCTCTATGTGACATCCTTTTATATATTTGAACATGGCTATCATATCACCCCTTAACCTCCTCTTCTCCAGGCTAAACATGCCCAGCTCCCTTAGCCGTTCCTCATAAGGCATCGTTTCCAGGCCTTTGACCATTTTGGTTGCCCTCCTCTGGACACGTTCCAGTTTGTCAGTGTCCTTCTTGAACTGTGGTGCCCAGAACTGGACACAGTACTCCAGGTGAGGTCTGACCAGAGCAGAATACAGTGGCACTATTACTTCCCTCGATCTAGATGCTATACTCCTATTGATGCAGCCCAGAATTGCATTGGCTTTTTTAGCTGCTTTCCAAGCAGAAGTCCTGTTCCCGCTACAGTGGGCCACTTCTGCATCACCTCCCAAAAGAGGGTGCATATTGGCGTAATATTTGTGCATGCTAATTTATATTCACAGATGTAAATTCTTATATAGAGAATACAGTGCGTCTCGCTATAGTGGGAAAGGTCTAGGTTCTGACTGTGGATGAGCAACTTAAAGGCACTCCTTTTCCTACCCCATCCACAGCTGTGTGCTTCCTTAGGATACTTGTATATTTAAATGAAATTAGAGTGGGGGGGGGATGGACCCCAGGACTTGGGCTTGAATGTGGCATCTTGGAAATCTCCTCTGGCCGCACCTTCCACTGGTCTTTGAACTCACAATGTCTCTAGCTTGTCTGGGTGAAGCACACGATGCATGTGCAGGAACTAGGCTACTGCTAAAGGTAAAATTCGCATTTGTTGCTCCACGCAAATTTTACTTTTGGCCCCACCCACCAAATAAGATTACCCAGAAGTGAATTGGTCTGAGACAGCTTCTCCACCCTTGAAATAGAGGAAGCTTTCAAACAGAGGTCAGTCCCAGTTTCCCAATTCCCACTTGTGCATTTTTAAAGGCACTTCTCGGATGCTAATGTACTCCTGTGCTCCTAGTAATATAAAATAATCAAAAAGTATTAACAAGCTACAGCGCAGTAGATGCTGTCCATATGGTGAATTCTTGAGAAATGCAAGAAGCACATCTGTTGTTCATTAGAAAATTAGACGGGTGAAGGCAAACCTCCTTTGTTGTGGCTGTATGTGGTTAATAGTTTGTTTTAATACATATTAATTGCCTTTCAAATTAGGGCCTCACGTTTTAACCACTGACTAAAACAACTGAAGCTTTAGTTGATTAATCAGCCTAAGCCCATTATAACCAGCAGATCTGGGAGTTGGAGGTATGTTTACATTTTTGAGACAATTTTGTTCCCACGTGTTACTGTACTGTGGAATGAATTTAAAGAAAATGAAAATGAAATGTTATTCCTGCTAATAAAGAGCATTGGCTTTTGATTGCTTGATGGGAAGTTATCTTACTCTTCCTTCAGCTTCTCAGAAACTGCACCTGTATAATGGCTATTGGTAATACGGAAACGTAGTTACATTTAAATGGTTAATTAGTGATGGCAGTTTTAATAAGTTTATGGCACTGCTGCCAGACCCAGCTCCTGTTAAATGGCCTGGAGAGCAGAAGGCCATCTGTAGCCCCCAATGAGGGGCCTGTTAAAACCAGAGAGAGAATACCTCACTAAGGAAGAATGGTCAGGCGGACCTATTAGGGGGTTATTGTTATTGTTTGTTGTTTAATAATAATAATAATAATAATAATAATAATAATAATAGTAAAGGTAAAGGGACCCCTGACCATTAGGTCCAGTCGTGACCGACTCTGGGGTTGCGGCGCTCATCTCGCTTTATTGGCCGACGGAGCCGGCGTACAGCTTCCGGGTCATGTGGCCAGCATGACTAAGCCGCTTCTGGCGAACCAAAGCAGCGCACGGAAACGCTGTTTACCTTCCTGCCAGAGCGGTACCTATTTATCTACCTGCACTTTGACATGCTTTCGAACTGCTAGGTTGGCAGGAGCAGGGACTGAGCAACGGGAGCTCACCCTGTCGCGGGGATTTGTACCGCCGACCATCTGATCGGTTTAACCCACAGCACCACCAATAATAATAATAATAATAATAATAATAATAATAATAATACCTTTATTTTCAGTGTACAGCCTGTGTACAGTGAAATTAACTGAGCCTCCCTCCCCAAACACTCAATCTCATTGTACTCTGTGTTCTTGTCCCACAACACACCAACCCCGAAAGTCAGTTGCACTATATTATTTTCCGTTCAGCAGCCTAACAGCCCACAAATAGAAACTGTTTTTTAGCCTCTTGGTGCGTCTGATTATACAGTGATAAAGGTAAAGGTAAAGGGACCCCTGACCAGTACTCTGTGAGTGGTTTCTTAGGCATTGCCCAGGGACAGAACTGACTTCCGGATTCCAGCGAAAGCCAGTAAGGGAAAACAATATTGGGGAGAAAATGGAGCTGGGTACCAGACCCTCACCTCTCTCCGCATGCTCCCAGGGGCTTGTGTGCCAATGCCCCATGCCAGGGATTCGGACGAAAACATGGCGAGCCCCTGGATTCCTTTAACGGAATTCCCTTGCAGCAGCAGCATTGGAAGGGCAGGCACAGCCAACCACATCCCCTCCACCAACTGAAAAATTTACCAATGCCTAACCGCAACCTTACAAGTTGTGATGATTTGTTACGCAGGAGGCAAAAACCAAATGGCACCAGCCAATCAGCCAAATGGACAAAATTCCTACCAGGCCCCTGCCCCAAAAGCAGACGACCCCATGACAGCCGTATCAAGGTCAAACGCAAGATCCCTAAATTAGGGAGGGTGGGCAGGTGATCTGGTGCACGCAGCGAAAGAGAACATGCTGCGTGCCCTGTATATAAAACCTTTGGTCCATCCCACAAATTGGCAGCATCAAAATTTCCCCAGTAACCCAAACAGCTCAATCACTGCCAATGGCCATCTAAATGACCCCGCCCAGCAACAGAGGGGTGGCCTGTCAGACCCCACCACAACATGTGCTCTCCATGAAGGAGAACACTCTTTACAGAAGTGTATCTATGCTTCAGATTGTTCTGAGTCACTCTCCCAGGCTTGCTGACTCTTCCATGCTTAACTAGTTGCAGGTGCAGGATACACACACCCAAATTAACCAGCACACCTAACTTAACCCTTTCTTGTCCTTCTCTGCGTGCACAGACCCTTACGCATTAAAAGAGATGACAGTTTTGTTTTGGAGGCAATCACAGGTTTGAATACGCTCCCTGTGCAATGTCCACATTCCAATGTACATTTACAGACTGCCTCTAGCACAGCATTGTTTTTGCAAATGTCATTTTTGAGCGCAGTGGGATTTTTGCGTGGAATCTCTCTGAAACAAAAGCTCGCTTAAATTCTTGAGATGGATGTGGTCCTCGGTTGGAGCAGAATCACATCAAGCCAGACAGTTTTGCTTGTGTATGGGGATTTTAAAATGAGGGGTGCATATCTAAACATTGTCCTCCTTGTGCATTCTGTCATGGTACTGGCCCTGGAGGGCTATACGACACGATCTTCCCCAAACATTGGAGCCGAGTGAAAAATGAGTTAAACAATGTTGTGTTGGCAGCTGTTTGGGTAAGCAGCTATCGGTTTTAAAATCCCAGTTGTTGATGTTTGTCTTAGCAATAACAGGTTAATGATGATTTGAAGTGGCTTGGAGGATTCTTATGACGAGATCCATCACTTTGTGCCTGTGGCACACAAGAGAGTGTCTTTGAGGTTGTTTTCCCAGAAAGGATATTGGAAGAGACCTGAGAGCCCTCCAAAGCATACAGCGTGCCATCTTAAACCGATTCAATTCCCTTCCCTGTGATAAAGGAAGCCA